CCAGTTGATCACCCAGTGCTTGAACTTATCTACGGTAGCAGGCTTAGCGCAGTTTAGACGGATCCTAGGGTTTGACACATTGAATACCGTGCAGTGCGAATCGAGTTCGAGCAGCCATGTCGACCACTTCGAGTAACGTTGGATCTCGAAATACCTCAGGTTCCAGTGGTGCCAGAGCGCCCACTACGGAGGAACTGATGGGGATGATTGGTCAACTCCAAGGCCACATACAGACGCTAGAGGGGCGTTTGGCAGTTAAATCAATCAAGGTCAGACCGCCAGAGACCTTTGATGGAACTAGATCCAAGCTACGAGCTTTCACGACTCAGTTGGACCTATACCTTCGAATGAACCATGAGAAGTTAGCACACGAAGCAGATAAAGTTTTCTTCGCGTCAATCTATCTCACAGGGCCAGCATTCGATTGATTTGAACCCTACATTAGGGACTATCAAGAATAACCTGTCGACAAACAAGATAACGACACAAAAGAAATATTCGCCAGCTACGACGATTTCAAGAAACGACTCCAGGGAACGTTCGGAGACATCGATGCGACAAGAAATGCCGAAAGAAAGCTGTGGCGACTCAGACAAACTGGATCAGTTAGCAAATTAGCATCAGACTTTCAACAGATTATCTCACACCTAGACTGGGATGAAGATTCTTACATCGCCAAATTTGAAGAAATACTGAAACCGGAAATCCAGGAGAAGCTGATCTGGATGGAAAGACCAGGATCACTCAGCAAAATGATAGAGCAAGCAGTCAAGATCGATAACAAGCTTTACGATTTCAATGCTCGACAAAAAGAAAATCGGTCTGGAATACGATTCCAAGGACACCAGAAAACAAACAGTTATTAAGTCAATGACAGACGAACAGCGCAACCAAGAAGCCAAGGATACAGTGATCCTTATGGGCTACAACCTATGGAGCTAGACGCTACCGAAAAACGACAACAGCTATTGTCGAAAGAAGAGCTCGATCGACAAAAAAAAGAACAGTTATGCTTCAACTGTAGAAAAGCAGGGCACCGATCGAAAGAGTACAGATTACCAAGAAAAGGAGCCAACGGTGGGACACCGAGGAGGTCCGGCACTAAGGAGCTCAGAGCAACGCAAAAAATTAACGAGATTGTACAGCCCGCGAGAGGCGCATACGACATGAGTTGGTGGCCTTTAGGCGTAGCGGACGCGCAAGGACCAACAGAAGAATCATGCATTGTCCAAAAATCACAAGACGAAAACGACTACCCACGAATTCCCGACAACGTGGAAGAGGCCACAAGGAGATTAGCGAATTCTCCACAGATGTTCAGTGAAGCAACCGAGAAGCTTCTGAACGTAACACGCTATGACGAGGATTGGGAGGAAAGACAGTTCCAAGACCCAGAGATATCCGATAGCGAAGACTCAGAACACTGGCCTATGAACGACGAGACGGATGGGTCTCTCAAAGCCATCAGCAAGAAGCCAGATTCATTGGGCAACAACTGGATTCGAATGCCAGGAAGTTTCGACCCACTGAACGAAGATTACGGGACTCAATGGGAAGGCCGTAATCCCAACACGGAGACACTCTCAGAAATACCGGAAACACCCGACGAAAACTTTCACGAACAGATACCCAGTCAGGAGGACGCTGGCAGCACTGACTCGGAAGATGATCAAGTGATCAAGAATACCTCTGATTATAATCAAGCGGAACACAGAGCCTCTGATTAGAAAGGGGAAAACAGCGAAGCCGATCAGCATGTCTTTACTCTACTGAAAGAAATCAGTAACGAGCAATGGAAAGAGAAGTTGATCCAGGACCTAAAACAGGATCCAACCAAACTTACAGGGGAACTGCGACGCATTATCTCGCAATGTCCGCACTGGAAGTTGGACTGTTGGAACCCACAGAGAGAGGACTGGGCAACACACAGAGTGAAATGCGCAACAGAATATGCCACAAGATGCAGGATATGCGACCGATGGAATCACGATTACTATCAGGCTCTACAGAAAATGAGTAAACGAACCGGTCACATCAGATCCTTACACGCATGTCGACAAGAGAATTGCGAATGCTTGTATCAGACAACACACGCAACGCACCATTGCTTACTATGGGTTGCATGTCAGGACGACGAATGCAAGGACCCAATACACGAAATACTGAAATACATCTCACAATGTTACATGGTCAAGGAAGGGACAGGATACCTATGCAGGAAACCAGGGTGCGCTTGCATTGGATACTCCATGCACCCAGACCACGGGAGAAGACATTGGACAGGATATTGGGAAGACTATTGTCAAGTTCACTACGACGCGAAGCTTGGACAACATTTCCCACGACAGCCACGAGGGTTAGCAGGACCCCGTTGGGCAAACAGTTTATCAGTAACAGCCCAAAAAGGATTGCATCTGAAGTTAATAGCTACAGTTCTGAACCAGAACGCTCGAGTCATGGTGGACTCTGGAGCAACGGGCAACTTCATGGATCCAAGATTTCAGGAACAGCTGAAGATCTTAGGGATAACAAAGGCTACGCCAGAGCCTATTACAGGACTGAACGGTGAACCATTGGGAGGACACCTCACAGTCGAATCAGGACCAGTACCTATGGTTGTAAAGGGTCATTTCGAGTATATAAGTTTCGACGTGACACCTTTGGGACGGTATAACGTGGTGTTGGGGATCCCATGGCTTCGGGATCACAACCCAGAGATTGATTGGAAAACAGAGAGTTTTCAATTCACGAAATGTGAATGCCCACGACAAGGCCAGATAAAGAAGGCATCTGAGGTCAAACGGCGTGCTTAGGGCCAAGCGAGCCGAGCTAACGCTAAGAGATTAAGGGGTAGATCTACTAACACGCTAACTGAAGACGCCGAGCAGGTGGACACTGCAGTCGCAGTTATGGCAGCAACCAAACCTACGGGAAAGGAATGGTTAGCACGACTTTCTGGTTGGGCACCAGATACACGACAAGAGTACGCCAACACGATGGCTACTACTGAATACAACACGGAACTGCACGAACAGATCGAGTCATGGCAAATGATCGATGCTACAGAATTAGCGGCCAGCAAAGAAGTACAGCAGTTACCAGACAAATACGAAAGATTTCAGGAGCTATTCGAATAACCCGAGAAGCCTGAACTACCAGAACACGGAAAACATGACCACCGGATTCCTCTCAAAGATGAAGACAAAGTTGCATGCAGAAAGATCTACCCTATGTCAGAAAAGGAGTCTCAGATCTTGCGACAATACATTGAGGAACAACTTGTAAAAGGCTACATCAGACTATCGACATCACCTGCAGGACACGGAGTCCTGTTCGCACCAAAAAAGGATGGAAACTTACGATTGTGCGTTAATTACCGACCATTGAACGAACAAACCATTAAGGACAGACATCCATTACCGCTCATTGCAGAGATACAAGACAAAATCAGAGGAACAAAATGGTTTACAAAGTTCGACATTACCGACGCATACAACAGATTGAGAATCGCCAAAGGAGAAAAATGGAAAACGGCTTTCAGAACGAAATACGGACATTTCGAATACTTGATCATGCCATTCGGGCTAACTAACGCGCCAGCATCATTCCAGCGATTTATTAACGAAGTTTTGGGAGAATTGCTCGACACCTTTGTTATCGCGTACCTAGACGATATTCTGGTATTTTCGAATAACGAAGAAGAGTACATTCGACACGTAAAACAAGTGCTACGGAAGCTACGCATTACTAAGTTACGATTGAAACTCAAGAAGTGTGAGTTCTATGTCCAAGAGACAGAGTTCTTAGGACACTGGATCACCACCGAAGGAGTACACATGGAAAGAAGCAAAGTCCAGGCAATCAGGGATTGGCCTGTACCTAAAAGCCTGAAAGAAGTCCAACAGTTTACCGGATTGATCAACTATTATCGGAGGTTTATCGATGGATACGCCAAATCTATAATACCGATATTCAACTTGTTGAAACAGAATCAGAAGTTTGAATGGACAACACAGGCACAGCAAGCTTTCGACGACGTGAAACGGAGAATCACGACCGCACCAATCCTAGTACAGCACGATCCAGAGAAGCTGACTACGATCGAAACCGACGCATCCGACTATGCTATCGGTATGAGAATGACACAACCAGATGAGAACGGCAGAGCCAAACCAATTGCGTTCCATTCACGAAAGCTTATTCAGGCAAAAATGAATTACGACATTCACGACAAAGAATTGCTAGCCATAGTGACAGCATTCAAAGTATGGAGAGTGTACCTGGAAGGAGCTCAGCACCAGATTCTAGTAAAAACGGATTACAAGAACCTTACGTTCTTTACCACGACCAAAGAATTGACCAGAAGACAAGCGAGATGGTCAGAAAAGTTATCACAGTTTGATTTTAGAATCGAACATTGCAAAGGAACAGAAAACGGACAAGCAGACGCGCTTAATTGACGACCAGACTACGAAATTACGGATCGAATTGTGGAGCCGGCAATATTGAAACAAAACAAAGACGGTTTACTTTCGTACAACAGACAACATTCGATCTCGGCAACAATCGAAATCAGTAACAACATTGTTAACAAAATCATCAAGGCAACCAAGGAAGATGCCATAATTTAACAAATTGCAGAAAACTCAGCAGAAAATGAAAAGATCGCTACTGATGAGGACGGGTTAGTGTATATGTACGGACTCATCTACATACCAGAGTGTATGAGAACTGAGATCATTGCTATATATTATGATAACCCTATGCACGGACATTTCGGAGTCGAGAAGACTACCGAACAGATCACAAAGAACTACTACTTTCCAAACGTCAGACGGAAGGTACAGGATTATGTTACGAAAAAATGCGAGACTTGCATTAGGGACAAACCAGCAAGACATCAACCCTACGGAAAAATGCAGTCACCAGACGCACCATTGAGACCTTGGAAATGGATTACGATAGATTTCGTGGGACCTTTACCTAAATCTCAGGGATGGGACATGATCGCAGTCATCACAGACAGACTGACAAAGTACGCATACATGATACCATGCAAGACAACGATAAAAGCCACAGATATAGCACATTTGCTATTGGCACACATCATCACACGACACGGGATGCCACAACGAATCACTTCAGACAGAGACAAACTATTTATATTGAAGTTTTGGCAATCACTTACCGACCAAATGGGAATCAATCACTCATTGACAACGTCATATCATCCACAAGGAAACGGTCAAACAGAAAGGATAAACCAGACGATGGAACAGTACCTCAGGCACTACGTGAACTACCAGCAGGACGACTGGGCAGGACTGTTACCAATGGCAACATTCGCATACAATAACGCGATACATTTAACCACAGGAGTCATACCGTTTTATGCAAATTACGGTTACAACCCTATGTTAACTGGAGAACCACGGAACAAGGCACCAGTTGCGACAGAAGCTCAAGAGACACTTGACACGCTTAAATATTTTCACGCACAGATGTCAAGGGATATCGATTTTTTCAATCTTAGAGCAGCAGTATATTACGACAAGCACCATAGGGAGAAATCTACCTTCAAAAGGGAGGAAAAAGTGTTCCTGCTCCGCAAAAATATTAAAACCAAGCGACCAAGTCAGAAACTCGACCACCAAAAGATTGGACCATTTACGATCGAAGAAAAAATTGGATCGATTAACTATCGTTTGAAGCTACCAGAATCGATGAAAAGGATACACCCAGTATTTTATGTCTCATTATTGGAACCAGTACCAGCAAACGCGCAAATCGCAGAAAATGTGGAAATCGCAGACGATACGGAACAGGAATACGAAGTTAAAAAAATCCTGGATCACAAGAAAGTCAGCGGAAGATCACACTACCTGGTAAAATAGGAGGGATATGATACCTCAGAAAATACATGGGAACCTATCGAGAACCTGATGGGGTGCCACCAGTCGGTTCGACGGTACCACCAGCAGCAGAAAGATCGAAAACCGACCAAAAAGCGGGATCATTCATCAACTGGCTCAATGTAGGATCACTAGAGACAGCAGCAAGCTGGGCAGTCTCGTGTTCACTGGCCAAACGATCCAGCTCGCGCAAATCTTCGGCAGACGGAGGGTCTTCTCCGTCCAACACGTCCATTATATAGGAATTATGATCCAACATCTTCCCACCACGTTCTTTTAAGAAATTGCGATGCTTTCGCAAACGTTTCAGTTTAGCGAAGAGTTGTTCTATTTGCTCTTCGGCTTGTTCGATTTCGGAGGATAATCGATCCTCGTCACGTTTCAGACGATCCCACTCTCGTTCACTATGAAATCGTTTTTCGCATTTGCGGCCACGACGGGTGCAGACTGCACAGTTTCAATTTTTGGAATCCATGAAGCAGGGAAGACCGCGGGAAAAGCACCAGGCACAAGGAAGTTCGACCTGGACACCGTCACGGATAATACGGTCAGCCTGTTAGCAACGTTCCTTATAGCGATCACGCTTGGGCATAATGACGCACGTCAAGAAAAGGGGTCAGGAAAAGGAAGGAGAACACTCACCAGCGATAAGACGGGAGATAGCTGTCTTATCTGTTCTTTAAGGGATAAAGAACCTGAAGGAGGGGAAGTGATGTTACGGACTCTTGCAACACTAGAAGCCGCGAGGCAGAAACGATAGGATAACAGCGGCCCGAGGCTGATGACGCTACGGAGGAAACATGGATCACGTAATATGGTATGCCAGCACCATATGGTATACGATATACCATCGGGTATGTTGTAGACCAGATGGTATGCCGCAGACCTACAAGGTATACGGGATGGTATACTCAAGGAGGACTATATAAGGACACTCGCTCGCCCACCTGTTAGATAGTTCTTGTTTAGTTCCTCGTGTTCAATAACAATTACGTTCTTTGATAGTAACTTGTTACTGCTATTAGATTCGCCTATCACTATCACAGGAAGGTATACGTACCGACCTGGCCTTACTTCTATCTTTGCTGCATTCAGGATCCTCAGGGGGGATCACCGAGACACTCAATACCCGTTCCAGTTAGTAGAGCCACCGGGCTCTCAGGTTAAGTATCACCCATCCAGGACTTAGGATCAACCAGTTGATCACCCAGTGCTTGAACTTATCTACGGTAGCAGGCTTAGCGCAGTTTAGACGGATCCTAGGGTTTGACATTTGGCAAGAACTTAGTAGATTTGACTAAGCTATAACCATTCATTTTCTGTAAATGGAGGGATCTCAGTCTGAAGAGCCAGAAAACGATTAATCTGGACCTTTACTTTTAACCTATTATCAATTATCCGATATGTAGGATTTCATCTAGTTCTACATCATATTTAATATATTTGTCAGAGAAATTTATAAATTAGCAAATATCCTTCTATTTTTGCTTCCGTTGAGGGCTACGAACAATTTAAAGACGGAGAATTCGGAACTTTACCAGTGCTAACTGCATAGATATAGACTGTCTATTGTAGAGATTATTGCAGGCAGCATTTGCCTCTTCACTACTACCAGACTTTAATGCCCGAAGGATGTCCTTCACAACCAAGTTTAAGATATGAGCTAGGCAGCGAATATAGCTATCAAATTCTTAAAATTAGAGTGTACCGCATTCACTCTTCTTTTTCTTTAGAGTATAGTATAGCTCTAAAACTATAACCTCGTTATTACTATTTTAAAGTAGATGACGGCAAATGGACTGCCAAAAACGGCCACAATCGACGCCGTTTTTGGCGGTCGATTTGCCAACCCTTCCGCCACTCACTCAGGTACTTGCATCCACGCACCACTGACTCACTGGTCGATCTCATTCGCCCGCAGTAAGCCCCAGCGACCATATCCACAGCCACCTATCTATGCTCCCAATTTCACATTTTACCTAGTGCACTGCGGTTTCACCACGGCGCCCAGAGCGGCTCCCTTTTTTGGTTCTCAACATAAATAGCGGCCTTCCGCGTCCTAAAAGCCCGATGTTCCTTCTTTCAGTCCTGGGATTCGCCGTGTACATCCCACGATCCTACTTTGAGAGCTGGGCCTACCACCTAAAGCTCGGCTTCTCTAAGATAACACCAAATTACTACCTCAAGGGGAAATTCACAAAGGCCCATTTTTCTGGTTCGTGATACTGTTATATCATGGCTCGCCGTCCTCGAAATGCAGCCTACCAGTCATCCAGCGACAGTGACGACTCCGATAGAGACAGCACCGAAGATAGTCGATACGACACTGACCTAACCGAGCCTGACGATGAAGACGAGGAGGACCAACTGCGGGACTCTGGTGACGCAGCCCTGCTCTTTGCGGATAATGAGCATCCGCCGGAGTACTATATCCAGCAATTGGAGAACTTCGACGAGACGATCTATACCCAAGAAGACTATGGCAAAGGCACCACTGCTCTCCTTGACCGGGTTGAGGAAAAATGGTCCCAGTAAGCCACACTCTCCAAGTCTCTTTCACCTTACTTCCCTTGTGAGCCACTTTCCTTACTTCGGATCCACTAGATTCTGCGCTTTTCTTCGAAAGGATCCCCAAGAGGAATTCACACGTCTGTCTGTGGCGATCTTGTATAATTTCCTAGACCGGGTTCTTAATCTCCGACGTGGAAAGAATGGAAGACATCTTCCAGGTATTAAGTGCAAGAGCTCGTTGGACACTTTCTAGAAAGTGTTTCGCCTGGTATATGAAAAGGAAACTTGCAACAAGATTGGAAACCAAATGAACCGCCGAATGCGTCGAGTATGAGTGACCCTTTCTTTGACATACATTTTGACCCTGACATCCGCTTCATCATTGCTCAAGGCTTGGTCTATGACTAACCTAAGCTGACCGGCTAGGTGATCCGACGGTTAGCCAAGAAGCACAAGCTGTCTCTCAAAAGACGCGATAAGCCTCCTCTGGATGTGAAAGATTTGGCAAAAGTTGTCGAAACCACCATCAGCACAACCGAGAAGAAATTTGGGCACGGCCGCCATCGCATTGAATTGGGACTCTTCTTGCAGCTTGCCGGTCTCACAACAAACCGTCCTCAGGCCATCTTAAATCTCAGATATCGGCATATTCAAGTCAGCTTGCTCCGCGACCCTCAGGGCGGACCCCATCGGATCGTAATCGAATTTACTTTCGAATTCACCAAGGAGTGGTTGGGTGCTAAAGAGGCAAATCGGCCGCGGAGGCTCACGACCGCGCAATTAGAATCCGTCAGTCAACAACCGGAAATAGTCGCTCTGGTTCGTCGGCGCGATGAGCTTAGTCGACAAATGGGACGTCCTTTGTCGAAACACGAAGGAACACAGGAATATGTGATGCATAAGAAATTGAATCAAGAGATCGCGGGTACCAGGCAGCGTGCGCGAGATGCCCTACTTTCTCAGATCCAAGCCAAATACGATCGAGAGCAGCCGATGCGAGAAATCCAACGCCAGCTGTCTGGAGTCAAGTTAGCTGAGGCGGAGAAACCCTTGAAGTGTTCAGAGGAGTTACCTGCTCCACAGAAACGACTGATGGAGAGCCTTCTAACCTTGCCTCGGCCGACAATAGAGGAGGAGATAGCTAGGCGGACGGAAGCGATTGACGCTGTGGCCGCTTATTCTCTCTTTGAAGGTGACACGTGCCGTCTCCCACGAGACAAACGCTCTCCCAGGGACTGTGTTGCTGTGGTGCCAGTCCATCAAGATGGAAGTATGCAAGATGCCAAGATGACAGAAACTATTTCCCTCGCGGGTGATCCACTGCAAGCTGCAATTCGATCCGTGATGAGGGACAGGAGTTCCATACGGGAGGATAAGGGATCCCAGGAGAAGGTTAAGAGACCTTTATTCTGTTTTATCTGTCTGGGTCAACCAGACTTGGATATTAAGAAGCGCACGTACAAATTCTCGAGCCCCGGAGATGTGTCCAAACATATCAAACGAAAACACCTTCGGCATATCTCAGAACTATCTGATATCACGTGTAATATTTGCGATGAGCGGTTTTCTCGCAAAATGCACCTGCAGCGGCACGCCATTGACGTGCATGCCACTGTAACCTGATGCCAGCGGCGGTCGTAGCTTGAAGCATAAAGCAAGAGTGCTTTTGTATGTTGATATTCACCTTGGCCATGCCAATAATTTCAAGTGGGAATGGAGCTGGCTTCCGGAAACAAACACTTTCTCAATGAACCATGACGCTCAGGGCGTAGAAACTGTCCCAGACGATGTTCACCGATTCGGACTCTGGTTGGAAGCCCGTTGCAGATGCCTGAGGATCCGCTGTGACAGTTGTCTTGTAACTGTATTGGCAATTCAGGTTTAGTCTCCTATGATTTTACCATGGGACCCGCGGACTCGATGACAGTCTTTCCATTTTCGGTCTAGCTCGGGGGGCTGGATTGCATTAGCGTGCCTTGAGTGGCAGTCACACCTCACAGCTTCAGAGTCCGTCTGCTTTTTCACTCACATTTCGAACCTACTGAAAACCAGGACGATGGAAAATACAGTAACTCAGCTCTTTTGCCCTCAAGGTGAAGCGAAACAGGCTGACGATCGTCCCGCGAACGCCGAGACCGAGGCCAACAAGCAGCGCAGAAAGGCTCAGAACCGGAAGAACCAAAGAGCGCGCCGTGAGTCTGTCTCTCGCTACCATAGCCACCTACTGTGCTCAGAAAACCCTACAGGTCTACGGCTCAAGGATAAAGATGCGGGGGCTGTTCAGGTATCGCGCCCATTCCAGGTCAGGCGCTGGCGCCTTAACGAACGCGACGACTATCCCCCCCAAGGAACCTCGCTAGCGTCCGAGAGCGCAGCAACCACGCATATCTCCCCTGGACCACCTCGCACGTACACAGGCTTATCGCCCTCCGCAGCCGAGCGTACCATCGTCCTCCGAGGATCGCCACCCACCACCCACATCTACCAACCGTTAACCCTTGACCCCCAGCCCTTTCTTTTTCCTCTCTCCTCGGACCACCTCCTCCATCTCATCCAGTACAACGTCTTCCGCGCCTTAGTCTCTAACAAACGCACCCTTAACACCCTGCCCACCGACCTGGCTACCTGTTCCGCTACCAGGCCCTGCCGCGACGACACAACGCGCTTCCCCCTCAACCCTAATATTCCTCCCTCCCTCATCCCGACCAACCTACAGCAAGCCCGCTACCATTCTACGTGGATCAACGTCATTCCCTTCCCCCGCATCCGCGACAACCTTATCAGACGCGAAGGCCGCTTCGACTACGGGGAGCTGATGCAGGACCTTACTGGCGAGCTCATGACCTCTATACTCGCCCCACGGCGGCGAGGTACGTCGGGTACTGCCACAGGCCCCGAGGACAGGATATCCCTGTCCCTGCCATCAGGAATCGATGCGGATGAAGTCACCTCCGGGCGCAATGGGCTCATTGTCTGGGGCGAGCCGCATGAGCTGCAGAGCTGGGAGGCCACCCCTGGTTTCCTCGCGAAATGGGCATGGGCCGTGGAGGGCTGCGAGGAGTTGGTGGAAATAAGTAACACCTGGAGGATCAAAAGGGGGGAGGAACCTATGCGACTCTCGGTGTTGAGGAGCTATCTGCCACCACCGGTTTCGCACGTAGCGCAAGTGGAGGATGAGTGTTCATATAGGGTGTAAAATCAGTATTACCCCCTCCACTCCAAAGCACAAGAAGAGAGCCATACTAGCCTGGTTGGTACCGGTACCGTCAGCATTTTCACATGCTTCGTGCGGTTCGCCAAGCCTGATTTCGGCCTCATACGAAAGAGGCAACCATTTCGTACCGATGGTGGTAAAGCGCGCCTTTTTCTGGTGGAAGGAACGATACTAAGAGCTGGGACTGATTGGACGCCTTCTGGGACTGGCCCTTTGTAAACATGAATAGCAGCACAACCGCGTTGTGGGTGAAGGATGGCAGGCACGATGCAAAGTATATTGTTTTACAAGAGCTCACAGTTGAAAGGGTCGGATAGGAGTAGAAAGTGGAAGAAATAAGGGCGATGGGGCCAGGAGCCAGACTTATACCACAATCATTATTGACTGGATTGCGGCCCACAGATTTAAGTGTACCTGTGCAACTATGGTTCGCTGGTGATTGATTAATACATACTTAGTTATGGGCCGCGAAATCGGGCAAACCGCCGAAGTGCCGAGGATGGCTAGTCGTACTTGACCAATCTATATCTTAAGAGGCCCGCGAGCCATAACGTGGTACAACCATGGCTAACAAGTGCGTCGAATATATACAGAATATTTCTCAGCGAATCAAAAAGGATTTGATATCTATTTTGGACACTATGTGCGAATTGCGGTAATGGACTAAGTGTAGTAGGCTCATGCCCTGTCTACATAGGTTAATTCTTGCTGCTTCGCTTTGAAGTCATCCCTGTTGCAACAGCCAATATTCCAGGGCCCCTGCTGGACAATTTAGGTACTTTGGCCATTCCACTCGAATGACAGGTGCAATATGGGCCAGGCGGACACTAATCTAAGTTTCGACTCGCATTGTTTCGAAGAGGTTTGGGATTGAAAACTTCTTAACTGTCTGTAAGACACGGTGTGGCAGCTTCGAAATATTTCTTAAGAACCGAATACCTTCGTCCAGTCCTGCTTCTTGAGGTAGTCTTCCACTGTATCAAGAGACGGGGGCGACTTCAACTAAATCCACATATAAGCAGCTACTCGCGACATTATCAAGAGAAGATCCACTTACATCGCGGGGATGAATAACTGTAGGGTCATCTCTACCCTCATACCCGAACTCGTTCCAATAGCCCATGTTGTCTTCAAGCTGGGCTTTCAATTCTTTTGAAATAGATGGAGGAAAGTGCCCTTTCGGCAAAGTGACAACCTCTGCATGCAGCCCTGTAGCCTTTGTAAATGCCGATGCTAGCTCGCGCGTAGTGAGCCATTCTCGGTAGCCAATGAGATTCTTTCCAGCGGGCTCCTGTATGAGAGCTTTGACCAAGGGCCCGGAATCTTCCTCGGCGGCAACAAATGGGATTTTGACGTCTGGCTCCATATGCCCGATGAATTGAACTACTCCATCGGAGTTCTGAAAGATGTTAAATTCATTCGCTAAGTATAGAAATTTTCTCGGAAATGCTTGCCTTGATAGGTGGACTCATCCCGTTCTTCGAGGTATAGTTACTCAAGAAAAGTCCTGCTTGATAGATACTGGTCTTTGCCCAGAGGTCCGGATATGTTTCCCTGCCGTACTCTGCCGCCTTGGCTTTCGAGTCAAAGTGGTACACATGAGTGTATACCCCTTTTGACCATTTCGTAGCGTCAGACAGAGAGGAAAATATAAATCGCTCCAAGTTCGGGACTTTGGCGGCTGCGTCGATAATATTCTTCAACTGTTGTGTTTCGTGCTCAGCCACCCACACATTCAGAGGCTGGCCCGGCTGCGCTTTGTCCTTGTTGGCAGGATCACCAAATAAGCCCCAGTAGTCACTCACAGCGAAGATGGCGTTCGCGCCTTCAAACGCTGTCAATAGTGTGGCAGGTGTGTCAATGTCAGCTTGAACAACCTCAGCGCCTCGGGCTGCCAGGGCCTGGGACTTAGTGCTCGAAGTGTTTCGAGTTAAGGCGCGAACTTTCCAACCTGGTTCCTCGAGGAAGACGTTCGCCACAGAGCCGCCTTGATTGCCAGTGGCTCCGATGATAACGATAAGCTTTGAGGAGGACATTGTGGAAGTCTTGATGGATGGTAAAAAGAAAATAAAGAGTCTGCTTTTACAAGTCTGCTTGACTTGTCGCCCCTTTTTATATTTTCTATCCCTACTATTAGTTTGCGTCATGTGCTTCCAGACACATTTTGATTTCTCAGCGAAAGGCCATGCTTCGGGTTGATTTGAAATCAAAGATGCGTCGAATAGGTGGAAGTTGACGCTTTCAGCGCATACATGGTCCACGTTCCTGATGTTGGACCCAAACTCAAACTGTCGCCAGGCCTAGCCACTTTAGAGCTCCAAAATTACACTGGTATCACTGCAATGGCGTTACGCCATTGGCGTTGCCGGCCTTGCTGAAGTGTCCATTCTAATTTATACTTGCCGAGATTGCTTAGGTTCACTGATGCTGGACGTGCGGGAGGAACAAAAAAGAAGCATGAAATTCTACACTCCAATTTAATATCACCCCTTGTTGTATGAATAGAAATAACTACCCTCTTCTGCCAGTTAATATTGAATGAACTGTACCGTACGAGGCAGAGGATCACGGACAATATCAATCAATATAGTTTGGTGTATTGCCGTTCATTATTCCGGTATAGACCATTGACGCACCATGATGACATTTTTCCCTTTTTCGGCCTAGCGCTCTGATTAAAGTTGCACAACAGCTCCGAAGCTCCGGTGGTTTCTCCACTTGATGACACTTTTCCCTCCTTCAGCCTAGAGGGGCGGGCTCATACAGCATTGTGGGGCTCGCTATCTGTGGAGTTACTAGCCAAAGTCGTTACGGCGTCATGGGTAAGTGGTGAGAGTAGTGGAGGCCGAGGAAAGGACGGATCATGACATTATTTAATTGGTCTTATTCCATAAAATCTTCATGAAGCGGCGGTATGACCTTTTCAGATTGGCCTTTTCTATTGCTGGAAAGTGCCACCAGTGATATGTAAGCATAAGTCTTGCCAGTAAATGCTCCCTTGCAATGAGCCCACAGCGCCGTGTAGATGTCTTTTAAGCAGGTTAGCTGTAAGAGTCTACAGCCATATTGTAAATTATGTCCGCTGCTTAGAAATCTGCTCTGCGAAATATATCTAACAAAACTTTACAACATCTTCTCTTATTCTTGATTTCTCTATATTTTTATAACTAGCTTGACCCCCTTCCTATTACCCCTGATAATGTTTTCTATATCTTTGATACTCTCCGCTGAAGCGAGAGCCCTGGTTTTTACATAGTTTAAGTTAAAACAAGTAGTGCTGTTATATGTACACCCGGTTGCAAAAATGACGCAAAAGTTAACACTCTTCTCTTATTTCTGGAACCCTAGGACTAGGCCTTATTAGGCAAATTTTCGGAATCCAGGAATTTCGCTAGTAAAATGGAGACCATGCATAAAATTATACTGTACTAAAAAACTGTACGAAGCAACAAGGGATGCCTCAGGGTGACTCGGGGGTTTCCGGGTCACCTGACTGGTAATTAGATACTATCGAGCCTCTCAAGCTGGTACTATACAGTAGTTGGGAACGCACTTCTTCCTACGTCTTCCGGACCTCCTGTCGGACTTCACAGCTCATAGGATCCTCGTTGGCTAATCTACAACTCTTTGACTGAGAGTTTTTAAGTTACCCAGACATGACTGGCGGAGAATAGCTAAATCTACCTATTGTTATTCTCTTTAATCTAACCGAAACGTTTATGAGGATCATCTGCCAAGACTGTAGCACGAATCTATATGGAGTAAACCATGAGCAGTGGCTTAAAAGACCATTCTCATCTTAAGCTTGTCTTTCTCCACGATTTCGTCTTTCTTCTTCATGAGCTCCTCCATATCCCATGGACAGCTCACGTACCTCCCCCCTAGCCACTCCCTGCGCTCGGCGGCCAACCATGCAATTGTATCACCAGCTATATCTGGACGGTCAGGAAATGCTTCCCGCACCATCCCCGGCAGTATACCCTCACTAATCTTTGTTTTAATCGCGCCTGGATTCACACATAACGTCAAAAGCCCTTTATCACCATATTCCAACTGCAAGGACTCGGTCCACCTTAATATCGCGAGCTTTGAACTCCGGTAGCTTCCGCTTCCCGACCGAGCGCTCAATGCGCCTGAAGAGGATACATTGATTATTATGCATGAACCGTTGGTGTTAGCATGGGTTGAAAGTTGCATGGGAAGAAATGTGCGCGCCATGTTGAATAGCCCGTGAACATTAACTTCCCATGTTTGCCAGTACACATCCGGGTCTGAATCAAGGAACGGCTCGAACGGTTCCATACGGGCCGCATTGTTCACGATAATATCCAGGCGCCCACCAAAGCCCTGCGACACCGTGCCATGCATTGCTTGAACGCTGTCTCGGCTTGCGATATCAACCTTACAGCTTAGCACCAAAGGTTCAGGACGACCAGCTTGTACTGCAGCTGACTTCAGTTGCGCGACAAGATCGCTTGACACGCCATGTAGGTCAGCAACAGCTATCGCAGACGCTCCTGCCCGCGCAAAAGCCGTAGCTGTGGCATATCCTACTCCATCTTCCCAAGCGGCGCCTGTGATCAGAACATGTTTACCACTTAAATCTAATTTAAGTGGCGAAATGTAGTCATAGGTTGTAGAATGATGTGTGGACGTAAAGTAGCCTCCCGATAGCTCAACTTTACTAGACATTGTTGACTTGTTGTAGCACGCGAAGTCCGAAGTTGCGGTCAGATAGTATATTGAAATGGTCAAGGCTGTGGAAAGATCGTGATTTATCAATCAACAGATGGCTAATTGTTGCCTCTGAAGTTATGTTGTGCTTGCTAAAGATGAATCCACGACATGGGACAAGAAACGAGGTAGCCTGGAGAGATCTTGGGTGGAGATAGACAAAGTGTCCACGTGGTAATAAGGACGCGCCTGTACGGAAGGATACACATTATGTAAGACACGCTGAGTCAGTTCAAGCATTAGTTATTAACTAGTTAACGTAATTCCCTACCGAGCCGGCCACCCCCACTGAGTCGGCCACCCAACTCAATTCGACCGTGCTTAAACAACTTGAATCTATTCCCAACAACACAAAAGCGATAATTTCGATTAAATTTAATCAGTTCTAGGTACAAGTCAACTAACTCTGTTATGGCCCTGAATATGACAATTAGAACAGGTCGGCGGTGCACGTCTTGGCACGCCTGAAGTCGACGGTGCAGATGTGCTTGAGGAGCTCGAGGGACCAACCTCTGTATTCAAATAATCATTTCTCTGCGATATTAGATCTCTAGCTTCCTGTACAGCAAGCGAGGCCTTGCTTAGGAGCCATCTGGCGTCTAGATCGATTCCTTTTGACCTTCTCCTTTGTATTTGCGGCCTGTAATTCGTGGTTTTCCTTTGCCAACTGAATCGAGTTGTATAGAGCTATTTCACAACCTTTGTAAATCTGTTGTAGGGCGTGTTTTGAAGGCGAAGAAGGACTTTGAGAACCTCTTTCAAGTAGCCTTTTAACTAGAATCCTAAGATAGTGGGATATCTTTGTGATGAGTTGGAATCGCAAGGAAGCCTAGCAAATTTGGACGAAAAGATAAGTTGGACAGCAGAAGGAGGGGCAGAGTTATGGCCAGTTTCGCTCCTTGTAGTTGATTCAGCCATTGGAGGGCGGGGGAGACAGGGGTTGTGGCCTTCAGCCAGCCACGGGCGCAGAGAGCCAGCTTTGATGCGCCATACTCTTACTCTTCCTGTTGCTAACGCTTGTAGGATATGCCACTGCAGGTAGTTTTCGAAAATCCATAATTAATAAAGACCTTACACATGGTTCGCTCCATGGTAGCATGTGCGGTCTTTCTCAACGTTCTAAGGGTAATAATGGCCGCTGGAACTTTCTGGCTCTGGTAACTATCTTCTGGTCAATTCACGCTAACCTAAGGGTGTTTAACTCCAGAATGGAGCCACCTATATCCCGAGGCAAGAGAGGGTCATGCTGGCAGTTTTCACGTGAACACATAGTACAACTCTTCGCCAGAGTGCTGAACAAGGCCTCGAAAAAGCTCACTCGGCTTGTCCCGTCACCCAATGATGACGTGGATTATTATGATTTCTCAGAACCATATCCGAAGTTAAGGAAGAATACCGGCAAACTTGGGATTTACGGCAGCCTGCGTTTCGACGGAGATCTGTCGTTGTGCACAGCTGCTGATTAGACTTTATATCTGCTTATATAAGTTTTATACAAGGCTCAGCTCATTCCGAGGTTCTTCCCCAGAACCAGCAGATTCAGCGGTGCCGAGCAGACAAGGATGAAAACGATTCTGACTTCGGTCAATCTGCCACCTCTCTATGTAGATCATCACAAGAGTTAATTAGAGCACTTTGCTCACGTCTCGTTCTTAGGGGCGAATATTGGAATTGTTAAAGCATTTAAGGAAACAAATTTCATGTTCCGTTTAAAAGTTTCTCTTCCACATAGGACATGAAATATATTTATCTAAATACCTGAGCTATCTCAAAAAAATTCTCACACCAGTGTTTTGAACAAATGCTTGAAATGGCCCGTATGACCATTTACATTTAGACGCGGCAGATTAGCAGAAGTATGGACTATTTCCATCCTGGTCTGCTCGGCAGTGGTTCTGATGCCTTCGGAGTGCTTCGTTTCTGACCAACTAGAAAGATTCTGCAGTCGAATGTGCTGCACATAAAAACTTATATAAGCATACATAAAGATCATAAACCGTGCACAACGGCAGATCTCCATGGAAGATTATGGAACCCCACACCGCCAGAGATGTCCTGTTCCTGGTTCCTGGTTCCTGGCAACTGGGCCATGTGGCATCTTCCCTCCCATTGACGAGGCCACTGATCATATGGTACTGGTGAATGATCTATTCTCGTATGACAAAGAGAAACGCGCGTCCATTGTCGAAAACGCCACTATTACAAACTCTGTGGACTATCTTGAAAAAGCACTTTCTTCAAACCCACTGCTGACCAAGGATATCGCCATGCTCCTGACATTGGATTAGGAATCTAAGCTACAAGAGTCTTTGCAGAGCCTATCAGAGATCCCAAGATTGACTGAAGCTCAGCTCCGCTATGCTCACGGAATGGTCGAGTCAGCAGCAGGCAATCTGTTGTTTTCTCTAACCTTCCCTCGGTACGGAAAAGGACATGGAATGGTTGTCGTTAATAACCATGGAAAGTCCCCCCAGCAGTGTCTTCACTGGCCGGTCTTGAGAATCGCAACGATTGGATCGGTTTTCTGGGGGATTAGTCGACGTTTGACTGTCTAATGGAGGTTCCTTTCAGTTGTCTGCTTGTGGGTTTGATCCACGTTTTGTATACTGAAAAACAATATTTGCTTTCCTCGTTGGTTTCCTCGTTGGTTTATTCACCTCTCGTTCGTGAAAAACTAACTCATATTTGAAAGCGCCTACTTCACTGGGTTGTTCTCAAACCAGTGAGCATGATCCATAATCTCTTAGGCTGGGCTAGATTTACGTAGCTGATATTTAGTTTCTGATCGTTCGATCGAGTCCCGAGGCTTTACTGGTTCTTTGTTGAAATAAAAAGTCTATCAAAACTGTATTTGTGTTTTCACTTTCTTTGACATCCTCTTAGATGCCTCTGCCAGGCTAGGATCTCAAGCTTTCCAACCTGAAATTCTATAGGCAAACCGCTGATAAAGACTGGATCGCTCGACCTCTACACCATTCCTTGTGGGATTATTGTGACCCACCGAGGCGTGTCGTGAGAACTTTATTATCTATTCGGACGATGAAGTTACTCTTCTCGTGAACCAGGGATCGGTAAGGCGCAGAACTGCGGGTCAGCTTGACTAATCGGACTATTACAACATACTGGAGGCAAAGGGCCGAGCTGAAATGAGTATAATATGCCACCCATATTACAGAAGAAATAGTGCGTCTTACGATTGGATAAGGGAACGCTATGACTCCTGTATCCTCGAAAAAGACCGGTTAGCGGAGCCGAGGTTGGCGCAGGCTTTTGGGTCTAATATAACCAGAAAGACTCTGAACTAGCCAGACCTTTACAAACTGTAGCAGCTCAGCCTGGAGGACGTAGTCTTGTGGAAATCTGGAGAGATTTATCGAGGATAAAACGTCCGGGCCTACGTCGCAAGATGAAGCCATCTCTTTCTAACTGACAAATTTAATATCACCTACTTTGGAAGATATCATTGTGAATCGAGGCTCGGGCAGTAAGTAGATGATAGGGCTTCGTACACGGCATTTATTCCGTTTTTTATCCGTTTAAGCTCAGAGTGATTACAATTCAATTTAGACTTCACGCTGTATATATAACCTCTTCTTTTCAGATGAGAATCAGGATAATCAATCTTCCATCTAAATCGCATCGTACGACCGATAGATGTCCGTTGGTGGCGTGGGAACCCAGACCAAACTCCCTTCACGGCTTGCCTCACAACGCTACCCTTCCTTTTTCAATCCCTGTTTTGTATTGAGCGATCGGTTCAAATTATACTTTCTTGTAAACAGGCTGCCTACCAAGGCGACCCCAGAGATCGCGCAGCAAACGGCCCAGATGATGCGCAGGCTGTTGGTATAGGCCTGTTTGATGTGGGTCTTTTCCAACCCATCCTCCATTGCGCCTAGGACCAATACAAGTTCCGTCGCTTCCTGACTATACTCTCTGGCCTTAGAAGCGAGTTCGGGGGATTTCCGTAACTCCAATTGCATTTGGTTTTGGAAGATCACACCCCCGATGGCCACACCGACGCATTGACCAAGTGAGCGGAAGAAGCTGGTGAGTGATGCGGCCATGGATAAGTGCGCATCTGCTACTGATGCGTGTACTGCATAAGCCAACGCGGGATAGAGCATTCCAAGCCCAATACCAGGCACGATGTTCAGAAAGATCCACCCCGGAATGCTGGTGGTCGGTGTGATGATGCAGAGGAGGCCACATCCCAGAGTAACGAAGATCCAGGCAGACCAGATCGCCCATCGAAACCGACCCGTGATGCTGATGCCAATACCTACAGCAACCGAGCAGGGCGCAACAGTGAATGTCTCGGGAAACAGGGCAACGCCCGCGATCACCGGACTATAGCCCTTCACCGCCTCATAATACAAGGGTAGGTAGTAGAGAATACACCACAGAACGATTCCCTGCGTGAAATTACCCAGATATGAGACAGACGTCGTGGGGGTCAGGAAAATGGGCATAGGAATCATCGGCTCCATGGGAACCAACAATTCATATACCACAAACACGCACAACCCGATTGCACCGACGAGCAACGGAACCAGGGTATGCCAGGAGCTCCATGCGTATGACACACCGCCCCATGTCAGCGCAATGAGGAACGAACACAAGGAAGCGACGAGCAGGACCATCCCAATATAGTCGATCTGGCGAAGCTTGTGGGCAAAGGAGGCCGGCGGTCGATTGAGCTTGAGAAAGACGAGGGTTACCACGCCTGCGACCCCGATGAAGGGGAAGTTGATGTAGAAAATCCACCGCTAAACCATCGAAAGTACCGAGTTAGTCAGGGCCTGTCTTCTCAGATGAACTGAGCAAGGGTAGCGTCCTTACCCAAGAAACATTCTGCGCAAAGCCACCCCCAAGGACCGGGCCAATGACAGATCCCACGCTCCACATGGAACTCAAGATGCCAAGGTAGGCGCCACGCTTTCGGAGGGGCACAATATCTGTGACCAGAATCGACGATAAGGCCATAATCCCGGCACCTCCGATCCCTTGAATGGAACGGCCAATGAGCATGTGTATGAAGTTTGTAGCCACCCCGGCTAGTACTGCGCCAACCAAAAAGAAAAGAAGAGCCGTCATCACGACCGACCGACGGCCGAAGATGTTGGAGAAGGAGGCACATGCACCATCCGCGATTGGGCCACGTAAGGCGGAGACGTGGATGTCTTTTGAAAGTAAAGAATAGTGATGAATACACTAGGGGTATTTTGCACCACGGGTTGCAACCCATGTCCCATAAATTTAAAGAGGTTTAGCAGACCCGCCTCTAGTATTCAAAAACGAAACAATCGATTCAACCACACAACCCTGTAACCAGTGGTTTTATAGAGGCATAAAATAGCCATAAAATAGCTATAATTAAAGCTACTATAGCTGCCACCCGTAAGGGCTTCAGAACATAACCCGTACAGAAAATCATTTCGGCGGGGAATTTCGATTAAACGATAGTGCAGCCATAAATATGGGTCCCTTTCCTGTTCGGGACGGGACATGGGCTTCAGCCCATGGTGCAAAATATCGCTATTGGGAACATGTCAGAGTCTGCATCCGGAAATGTGCTTTTCTCCCATACGAGCCGGACTATTTTGCATTTCAGCCAGCCATGAGATGCGCAAGTCCCTCCATGGTGGGCCGGTCTGGTGCAAGCGATCCCAATACTTTAGAGCCCCGATGGGAATAAAAATCGAATTCTATCTCCGGCCGGCGATTTATTTTTCACGAGCACCTTTACACAGGCCGTGAAAACAAAATGAAGCTGGATTTGCGTCCTTTATCTTCTGGCTCGGAGCTGAGTGACTCCGCAACCCTGGCATCCAGTCAGCCCTCATCGGTCCCCTCCGTTGCCACACCCCTAGGAGGCGATGCGGTGGCCATTGTGGGATTGGCATGTCGCGTGGCTGGCGCGTCTAATCCCCATCAGCTATGGGATAATATAATCGAGCAGAAGGATTTGAGACGACTGATACCGGGGGATCGGTTCAATGTGGATGCCTTTTACCATCCGGAAGGCACCAATAAAGGAACGGTAAATTCAGAGTCTCTGCCTTCAATGTGCCTTCTATCGTGGTGCGTCTATTTGCTAATCCAGTAATAGACAAATGCGCGACATGGCTACTTCCTCGACCAGGATCTCCGGGACTTCGACAGTTCGTTCTTTAACATCTCCGGCAAGGAGGCGGCGGCCATGGACCCCCAACAGCGACTGCTCTTGGAGGTTGTGTATGAGGCACTGGAGAACGCTGGGATCCCCATAGAAGACATCAATGGCTCCCAAACTTCGGTTTACTGTGGCTGCTTTACCAACGACTACTACTCGCTGACCATGCGCGACCTGGCCTCCTACCCGAAGTACACTGTCACCGGCACGGGCAATTCCATCCTCGCCAATCGCATCTCCTATTTCTACAACCTCCATGGACCATCGATGACCATTGATACGGCCTGTTCTTCTTCAATTGTCGCTCTACACATGGGCCTCCAATCCCTTAAGAACGAAGAATCGGATATTTCTATCGTCGTGGGCAGTGCTTTACATTTTCTGGAGGACTCGTTCGTCATTATGACCGATCTAGGTATGCTGTCACCCGATGGACAGTCTCGCAGCTTTGATGCGGACGGGCGTGGTTACGCTCGTGGTGAAGGCGTGTGTGCGGTCGTTCTAAAACGACAGGAACACGCTGAGAGTCAAGGTGACCATATACGTGCCCTGGTACGGGGGTCACTGGTGAATCATGATGGCAGCAAGCAGGGCATCACCTTACCATCTTCAGAAGCCCAGGAAGCACTTATCCGGCAAACATACAAGAACGCAGGTTTGAATCCTGCCGACACACAATACGTCGAGGCACATGGGACGGGCACAGCGCGAGGGGACCCCATCGAAGCGCAAGCTATTGGAGCGATCTTCGGGAAGGAAGACCGTCTCAGCCCATTGTATATAGGTTCCGTGAAAAGCAACATCGGCCATCTTGAAGGTGCGTCGGGTCTAGCGGGCATTATCAAGGCAACGATGGCCTTGGAACATGGGGAAATTCCGCCGAATATGAACTTTGACACGCCCAATCCTCAGATTCCTTTTCAGGAGTGGAAGCTAGAGGTGCCACAGCGGCTCCTGGAGTGGCCGTCAACTCACGGACCCAAACGTGCCAGCGTCAATTCGTTTGGCTATGGCGGGACCAACGGCCATGTCATCCTGGAAGAATATCGGCCACGCTCATGGACTCGCCCCGAACGGTCTTTTCTGGGTATGAGCCCCAAGAGGCCGTTGCTACTCCCCCTAACCTCTCACTCGGATGCTGCCGGCCGACTCCTCATCCATCGTATGACAAGGTATCTGCATGATCGCCCCAATACGGATATAAGTGATTTAGCACGGAGTCTGTCTACCCGGCGGTCGATGCATGCTTGCCGCACATTCGCTATTTTCAGCCCCCGGGTGCAACTCGTTCAGCCCTGGGTTGATGCTGTTTGGAAATCGCTTCCACCTGAATCCATGCCGCGAAGGTTGGGATTTGTGTTTACCGGGCAAGGTGCGCAATGGTGGGCGATGGGTCGTCAGTTAATAGAGCAGTCGCCGCTGTTTCGGCAGCGCCTGGAGTATTGTGATGAGGTTCTACAAGCCTTGCCCCATGCCCCCGACTGGTCAGTTGTCACCGAACTTCTAAGAACGGAGAAAGAATCTCGCATTGCGCAGGAAACGCGTCTCTCACAACCGATCTGCACCGCCCTGCAAATCTCACTGGTGGATCTGCTGGCTAGTTGGAATGTCCGGCCGTCCGCCACCGTTGGTCATTCATCAGGTGAGATTGCAGCAGCATACGCGGCGGGCATTTTATCATTCTCGAGCAGTGTTATTGTGGCCTACTACCGTGGATTGCATATGTCGGCCGCATCCTCCTCCGTGAAGGGCGGCATGATGGCGGCAAACCTTACCCCAGAGGAAGCACGGCAGGAAATTCACGAGTATGGTGGCCGTGTGGTCATCGGCGCTGTGAATAGCTCATCGAACGTGACGATATCTGGAGATGCCGACGCAATTGTCGACCTGAAGGACCGGCTTACAGCACGGTCGATCTTTGCCCGGGTACTTGCGGTCACTCAAGCCTTCCACTCGCCGCATATGTTTCCCTTGGCCCCCGCATACGAGGACGCCCTAGGAAGTTGTCCTGCCTTCCGTGTCCAGCCCGCCGTTATTCGCATGTTTTCCAGTGTGACGGCGCGAGTGGCCGATACCCAGAAAATGGGGCCCTCGTACTGGGCATCGAATATGACTGGTACTGTCCGCTTTGCCGATGCCCTCGTGGGCACAGTCCTAGACGAGGATCGACAGAACGTAGATGTCTTGATAGAGATTGGGCCACACCCCGCCGTGAAAGGACCGTCGCGTCAGGTGCTGCAGTCGTTAGACCTGAATATTCCATATCTGGCTTCCCTAACCCGCCAGATACCGGCGTACGAGGCCGTTCTACACACGGCGGGCGAGCTCTTCCAGCTAGGATATCCTGTCGACTTGGGCGCCGTCAACAGTGATCAATTCGCTGGGGGACACGGCCACCCTGTGTCAATGCCGCGTGGGTCTGTTCTGCGGGACATGCCCAGTCATGCATGGGACCACCAGCCATACTGGGCTGAGACGAGGATGGTGAAGGCGCAACGCGATCGTCCGTACCGACATGTTCTGCTGGGATCACTGGTTGAGCCATCCATACCATCGCACCCTCGGTGGAGAAACTTCCTGCGACTTCAGGAGTTACCCTGGCTTCGCGACCATGTTATTGACGGACTAGTCATCTTCCCAGCTGCGGGTTATATCGCGATGGCCGTGGAGGCTATGGTAGTCAGCACGCCTGACTCACTCTCGGTCACCGAGATCCAGCTACAAGACATCGCCATAACGGCGCCGTTACTCCTGAATGACCAGGAAGGTGGTGTGGAAGTGATGGTGGAATTGAAACCCACTCATCGGTCGGATACAGAGTGGGAGTTCATCATCGTGTCCTATACACAGGATGCACGGTCTGTGGAGCATTGTATCGGATTCATCGCTGGCTCTCGCAAGCCGTTATCTTTGGACAGTGTGGATTTCGATGCACTTCGTCGTGACTTGTGGGGATCCACAGCAGCGACCGTGCTCTATCAGCACCTCTCGACACTCGGCCTGCAGTATGGACCGGCCTTCCAGTTACTTTCGGGGTCCGTGGAGACGGGCCCGAAGTCAGCATTGGGGTCTGTGGTTTTCCCAGCGCGGCAATATACCTCTCACGTGGCTGAGCATACTATCCTCCATCCCACGTTGCTGGACGCATCCTTCCATCTCGTCTTCGCTGCGCTGCAGTCCACGCTAGGCCGGCCCCTAGATCAGCCCTACGTGCCTACGACCATTCGTACCCTCCGGCTGTCCCGAGGCTTCCTCCTTACCGGCAACCATCTAGAACAGCAGGAATTCCTAGTGAGCGCGACTGTGCGGCAGCCGGGACCACAGGCAACTGTCCATGATTTGGTCATCAGGGGCCAAGGCGGAATCACGGAACGGAGATTGCACGTTGAGGGACTGAAATGTGTCTCCCTGGGTGCTAGAAGTCAGATGAAAGACCATCGGTCGCTCTTTTTCCGTAATCAATGGCGTCCGGCATTTAATATGCTTCGTGATGGAAGCACCTCGTTCGGAAGCCTGCCACAACTCGTCGACCTCTTCCTTCACCAGTACCCGAATACCCGCATCGCTCATTTGACGAATGACCTGGAGCAGGTCAAAGATTTTCTGGCCTTACTAGGTGGTGGCAGCGAGCGGCGTCGATGTCAGAGCATTACACCTGTGTTTCCTCCGGGCCTATGCTATAGCGACGAGCTGAAACAGCCGCGCAACTCACACTTGATTGATCTTAGAGAGCCCGACCCAGAAAGCGTTGACTTGGTCATCATTAGCTTCTCGCATGACTTACCGAGGAGCGTCCAGTATGCTCGCGACGGGGGTTACATCATTACGGAGAAATGTGTCGAACCAATCGGGCTAATACCTTTGTTCACGAGCCAGGGATACACAGTCTGGCGCAAGCGCAAGGGACACACTGACATCGAACGAAGGCCTCTGACCATCATTATGATTTCTCAGCCCTCTGAGCGGACACAAGATCTGGCTGAGGCTATCCGAAGTCATTATGGTACTGCGGAGGTGTCGTTTGTTACGTTGGATGGTTCCGTTGAGACATCATCATTCCATCGTGATATCGTGGTGTTATGTAGCCTCGACGCAGACCGACTGCTCGAAGATTCACAGAATTTTAAGGCTATCCAATCCCTAATGACAGGGCCCACTCCACGGCGGATAATGTGGGTGCTTCAAGGAGGGACCATCGCACCAACGAAACCGCAACATGCTATCATCGTTGGACTGACACGCGCTGCTCGAAGTGAAAATGCCTCACTGCGGATGTTGACTATTGATATTACACCAGATACTAGTACTGAGGCGATCCTGCGTCTGCTCGATGCAGACATGGTGCCGGGAGAGGATGAAATCTCTGAACGCGACGGCATATTTTTGATTCCCCGGGTATATGCCGATGACGATCTCAACTCCAAGCTATACAATGGGGTCAATTCCCAGCCCCGTCTCCAACAGCTCGACTTTGATCAGCCCCGTCGCCTGGTGGCTGGGGACTCAGACCATGTTGACACGTTAATGTTCGTGGAAGATGAGGCTCTGCTGGATGATCCGGTCGGTGCCGAGGAACTAGACATTGAGGTGCAAGCATCGAGTCTAAGTTCCGGGGATGCTGCCCTTACCTTGGGCACCGAGAGTGACGATGCGTCTCTGGGTGGAGCATTTGCTGGGGTCGTGTGTCGGACCGGTGCTCGTGTTGATACCCTCAGCACTGGAGATCGTGTTGTGGCATTCCGGCCAGGTCACAGCCCACATCGCACGATTGTGCGCAGCCCAGTCCATCTCTGCCACAAGGTACCCGATAATCTACCGCTCTCAGATGCTACAATTGTCGCCCTGGCTGGAGTTCCAGCGTACCACGCTGTCGTCACCCTTGCGCGTCTGCAGCCAAATCAGACTATTCTGATCCATATATCCTCTTGGCCAATTAAGCAGATGGCCGTACAATTTGCCCGCCGGCTACAAACCCGGATTATTGTCACGGTGCAGTCTCAAGAGGAGCAGAAGCTTCTCCAAGGGTCCTTTGGGATGGAAAGTAGCCACATTCTTCTTTCTCTCGGCGAGGAACAACTGATCCAACAAGTTATGCAACTCACCAAGGGCAAAGGGGTGAACGTCGTCGTTCATGAGAGCCTCAGTGCGGGTATAGAGCGTTGTCTCGTAGCGTTCGGGCTGTGGGTGGGCCTTGACTCGCGGGCCACTATGCCGGTAAAGAGCAATACCACGTTTTCTGTGGTGGATATGATGGTCATCTGTCAGGATCAGACAGACGTGGCATCTGATCTGCTCCACGCTTGCCTTACGTTAGTACAAACAGGAGAAGTCCATTCTCCAGTTGCCATTCCGCACATACCGTGTCGCGATCTGATTGAGGGTTTTGGGATGGTCCAGCAACATCGTCACGATACAGTTATCTTGACGGCAGATCCAGAGAATGATCTTGTGCCTGTTCGTCCACCTAGCTACCGAAGCCAACGTTTACTACATCTAGATAAGCAATACCTCCTCATCGGTGGGCTAGGAGGTATCGGACGCACGCTGGCAGAATGGCTAGTCCGTCGTGGAGCCCAAGAGCTGGTCTTTTTCAGTCGATCTGGCATGGATCGCCCTGAGGCACAATCGACAGTCGCCCTCCTCCGGCAACGAGGCGTCCAGGTGTCTGTCGTCCAGGGCGATGTGGCCAGCTATTCGGACGTTAGGAGGTGCATCGAAGCTCTACCCCGACTGGCGGGTATCTTCCACGCGGCCATGGTCCTCCGGGATGGCCCTCTAGATACCATGACCCACGAACAATGGCAGCAATGTTTGCAGCCCAAGGTTCAAGGCACGATGAATCTGCATGAAGCCACGAAGAACATCGCCTTGGATTTCTTTGTATGCTTCTCTTCCGTGTCAGCCATCATTGGTACGCGCGGCCAGGCCAACTATTGTGCGGGTAACGCCTTCGTGGACGCTCTAATGGCACATCGTCGGTTGCAGGGACTGCCAGGCTCAACCATGAACTGTGGTATGATCACCGGCGTTGGAGTGGTGGCGGAAAATCGTACCCTGCAGAAGGACATGGAACGACTAGGGTATGACGCCGTGAATGTGTATGAGTTGCTCTGTCAAGTGGAGGAGGCTGTCTGCAACGCGAACGCCCCCGAAACAATTTCGGGCTTGAACCTCGCTCGTGACGATTTATATTGGGCCACCAAGCCCCTACTGCGCAATTTGTATGCTAACCATGATTGGACTGCCTTTTCTGAAGGTTACGAGGAAGAAGTCCCATTGGTCCGAGTCCTTCACGATACAACCGATGCCGCCACCAAAACGAGCACCCTGTTGCATGCGTTCATGACTGCGATCAGTAAAATGCTGGTCATCCCATTGGAACAGATACAAGCCACCAAGTCGCTTTCTTCATATGGGCTTGATTCCCTTGTAGCAATGGAAATCCGCAAATGGTTCTCAAGCACCATCGAGGCAGACTTGCCCTTATTTGAGATCCTCTCATCCCCGTCAATTGCCCACCTAGTCGACCGTGCCACGGCTCTGATGCCATCAATCGCACAGACTAGATCGACGCACGCTGGACCGGCGGAACCTCTACATGAAAGCCATACCCCTGAGGAGCCCATCGGCAAAGCGGATATGTCAGAACCAATTCCGATGACACCGTACCAGGTCCGCATGTGGCTCGCTCACCGGTCAGCCACGAGCGAAAGCAGCCTAAACCTGGCGGTAGTCTGCCGTCTGCGGGGATCCCCCGATCCATCCACTATCCAGCGGGCCTTTGGGCATATGAAGCAGCGCAATGCAATCCTACGCACCGGCTATCGTGAGAGGGATGGATTCTACGAGCAATTCGTCACTGGGGACAGCAGTGTGGACCTTGATATTCGCGACTGTCGGGGTCTTGCTGACCCGGAGGCGCTACTAGCAAGGACTATCGCCCATTGCAAAAGTACCCCGGTGAATATCGCTGGCGGGCGAGTGATGCAGCTGACTTTGGTCCATCTGACTGAACGCGAACATGCACTCATTTGTGTCGTGCACCATATTGCCATTGATGGTGGCAGTACTCAGCCCATGTTGCAGCAATGGACGCAAATTTACAACACTCTCAGAAATCAGAGAGCATCAGTAGATATCCCAGCCCCGTCAGTGAGCTACAGTGACTTTGCGGTCTGGCATAACACCCGCATCCGCAGGACCTTGGAGACTGACCTTGTCTTCTGGAAGGAGTGTCTGGATGGCATCCCCTTGGCGCACAAACTCCTGCCCTTTGCCCAATGTGAGCGGCCGCTTACTCGGGATACCGCCCGGGCGTATGTCCACGGGGGACCGATCCCACCTACGTTGGTTCAACGAATGAAGCGCCTATGTCGCGAGACCCAGGTCACCCCGGTAGATTTCCTCATAGCAGCCTTCCGCGCCTTCATCTTCCGGCATACACAGGACGACGACATAATCTTTCTGCTGGTAAATGGGACGCGGCCACACCCAGCTGCGGAGGAGCTGGTCGGCTGTTTTGTCGATATGACACCCCTTCGCTGCCATGATCCGACCTGCAATGATCTCACGTTCGACCAGCTGCTAACAGTGACCCATCAACGAAGCCTGCAGGCACTATCCCACGGCGACGTTCCATTCCTCGAAATCGTGCGTGCGCTTGGCCTCCCCCCAACACGCGCACATAACCCAGTGGGTCAAATCTATGTCAACTACTACATGCACGGGCCGACCCCCACCTACCAGCTGAGTGACTGTACAATTAGTGAGGTGCAGGTGCACGACATCCCTAGTGCCAGTGAGCTGAGTCTTGCTGCTATGGATCATCCCCAGGACGGTCTCCGCATGTCCCTGCAGTACGCGACCAATCTCTATCAGGCTGACGACATGCAACGTTTCCTGGACGGGCTATGTCACTTCATCTGCAGTGCTATACGGGATCATCGTCAGCTGATTAAGGAGATCAGTATGAATAAGGTTGGGGGTGAAGTGTTGGTGCGGTCTTCGGATGACAAGTCCGTTTCGCTCCCTTCCCCTGTGGTGACCTTATCAGCACGCGACCTTGATACTTTTCCTGTGTCTCAGCAGCGGACAGCTCCCTCACGGTCTTGGATTACGGTGACTTTACTTCTCTGTTTTTTCATTCTCTCAAGTTTTGTTTCCTTCCTATACACATCTGTTACCTATCTCCCTGTACTTGCCGTCTGTTTTCTTTTCATGCGCGTGATTGCAATGCCCAGTGATTTAACATCCCCTCTATAATATTTCTAGCGCATATTAGAGTTAATCAAAATTAGATAGTACCATCAAGATCCTACATATTGAGGGCCACTTTTCCCACGACAACAACACTTCGTTGGCATGATTGGCTCGAATGGGCTTGGGTGGTCGGCCTCTTGATATTTCTGGTTCGGAGTGTTAGGAGGCGTTTTTATACTTGGGCCACTACAGTCAAGTATATTTCAATGACGGTGTTATCTCAGCCAAAGCGCAATACTTGATAACATAGATCTAAGTAAAAATGAAAGCCACCGGACGAACACACATAACACAATAAACGCAAAAGTCTGCCCTCTGAATCGCTTAAACACCATGTTTCCCTTGAGTTACTTTAAATTAAACTCTCGCTCAGTGATCATATTCCCTATACAAATAGTTTTTAACATTGAAGCGTCTGCTCTCTACACATCCTTCAAATCAATCGTTTGATCCTGTCTTTTGGTCTTTTTCTTTACGTCGCGTGTCTGATCCTATACATGCCTTTTGATCGCTCTCATAGGGGACAGCTCTGTCTCTCCTAACTGTTCGCCACAGGAGTCTGACGGGGGGCTTATAAGACACGAGACATGGAGCGACGACGTAGGTTCCAGTTTCAACCACACTCCAGAACATAATCTCTGCGCCGGTCCATGTGTTGTCGTCGACGGCGTCGGCGTTGGAAACGGCTGTTATTGTCAGGATTGTCGCGACCAGGCCACTAGAAATTGCATCTTCTTAGTTCATCGTAGGCTCATATGGGAAGAAGCAGTTTATCAAGCAGAAAGAGCAAAATTCAACAACAACAATTCACTTACCGCCCTCCTATGAAAAAGGTCAACAGAAGACCTATATTCAATCGAATTGCCATCTGAAGTCGCAAAATATACGGAATAGGCAATATCAAAAGGACACCGCCTGAAAGAACGTCGACAAGACGCGCCCACCGAAACCAAGCATTAATATCAAAGCAATGACCGTGAATGCTCTTGTCCTAAAGATAATTAAGCGGGATGTAGATCGCAAAACCCGCCCCAGCGACGGCGAAGAAATTCGCGATTACTATCGCTCCAGTAATATAACAGGTGATTTTAAACACCCGGCAGGCCCCAAAGATAGAGAGATACATGCTTATAATAGCTAGCTTTGGGAGCACAGCACAAAGAAGGTAGAGATATACCAGGGCTAGGAGATACTTTGCCCAGAATTGCAGAGTATTTGGGTCATTTCGAACTAAGCGCGCTTCGTGCAGACCGACTCCACCGAATCGCGCATCGGATGTTCTTTATCCATTAGAAAATGGGATTCAATTATCGTATAATAGGACTTACCAATGGTCGTGGTTGCATACGCAATAAAACACATCCAGCTTAGGAGCCATTTGATACGGACAAGCCTTCGCGAGACAAATCGCAGTATAACTGCAACTATACTCAGCACCATAAAAACTCCACAGGTAATATAAAGCTTCGGTTGCCTAGTTTCGTTTAAGTATGCCGGAAGGGAAGCTTGATTTGCAGTGTCGGTCATTTTTCCCGAGTTGCTGTTGTTTAGCAAATGAGTCGAGGCCAAGCGACCACGAAGTATGAGCAATTGGCTCATAAAGTTTGGAAATACAAAGAATTTATCTTGCAGTCAGGTAGCACTAAGAAAGAATGCAGGCGTACACGCGGCGATTTTGATCTGAACTGAAAAAAATACATTATCCACCTAATCGACATAACCGCTGTCTCAATAAAGTAGGGGCTCGAATACTACAAACTCAGTCTGCAAGGTCTTCCTTGGCCCTCGCAGATCTGCTTACGATTATGCGGCCATGACATGCACAAGTGGGCAAAGACTCGGTGGGGGCAAACTTGCAGAGGTGGCTGATGGCATTCTACTGGCTTAGGGTGATTTCTATTCATTCTACATGAGTCATTCAGCTTTTATTGTATTTTGTATGGGTCACACTACTCCATGATCCTGGACACGTGGGTGATTTCATATACTATGTAGGTATGTATAAGCCATAGCAATTATCGGGCGGCCCCCGAGAATTAGGAACGGAATGCAGAAGGCGCCAACGCAAGCTCAATTCACCAATAAACAATGTGTATGTGTTGGATACCTACCGGTAAACTTTTATCGCACGCTTGCCTATAACAATGGCCCAAATCAAAGATGGATCGTTGGGCACCTGGCGCTCCTAGGGGCTAATATCTTTTATTCTATGTGATAGTCGTCTTTATTGCAACTATGCTTGGCACATGCAAAGCATCGACAGGCCTGCTTGAAAAGTTTGTTTGGTCTTTAGAGTGCTCATTTATATCTGAGGTCAGAAAATAGTCGAATGTGTACAGTTTCAAACTTCTCAAGAAGACCAGTGCGATCATCGTATTATCTAAGGGCTACAACAATCCTTTGTCACTTGATTGAGTCGCTGTATGGTTGTATGCCGTCTGTGTTAGTATCGGTGACCTTAATGGAGCGTTTAAATTCAAGAAATCGTGAGTTTCATGGGCTGTCCGTCATATCGCGGGCCGACCAGGAAAGTTTGACCCCAAAAAGAGCTAGAAAGGACAGAAGAAAGGGATACATGGTTTGTTATGCGTGTTCAAAGAATGGTTCCTAAGATATTACCACGCTTGGGCGTTTCATCTAGGAATGAACAAATGGATGCCCTGCTCAATCCAAAGAGCATTAAGGCTGTTGCTCGTCAACACCATGCTTCAAAAATGATTCGATTAGATTGGCGACCGAAAATTCCGTCTTTATTGTGATGGAACAACAGAAGAACGGTGGTGCAATATTCTCTGGCCTGCATATTCGGTACTGGACAAGTAGAAAATTACAGCCTGATTCAGAATATTTTCAAAAATAGCGTCTTCACCATCCAGTCCGGAAAATTCGGAAACTGCCGCCCCGAACGGCATAATTTTAGGTCTTAAATGAGTGGATAAGTTCAAATATGCTGTGTGGTTTAAATTAGGAAAAGGCGATGGATGAATGATAATGTTGCGACAAATCGACAGATTGAATTCGACCCTTGTAAATATGATGCTACCGAGATACGTAGCTGCCAAACAGCGTTGGTTGGGTTAACAACGCTTTCTTTATGGTTTGTTACACGAGCCCAAAGAGAATTTGAGCTAGGGATGAGATGAATTTGAAAGTTAGCTTGATAGGCTTTTTTAAATAGATATATTGACTGCTTCTAAACCTCGTTTTCCTGTGCATGGTATCACATAACATATCGTATAGAAATCCCAAACAGATTACAACCGCCATGATATGATTTGAACATGGTTCTTCAAGTAAACGCATCGGAACTATCGCTGCTCTCTGATCCCATCGGTAAACGCCTCAGATTGCGAGTTCTTTCGATCAGATAGCTCGCCGGAGTTACGCCTTGATTCGGGAAGCAGTCAGTAAAGCTTCTCAATGATAAATAACTGGCAAAGAATAGTAATTATCGTACCCGGTCATCTCTCGCGCCTGTTGAACGAGATTTCCCATGTTGCCGGCGCCACTAGATCTCCGATCGGGGTGGTCGTTCTGGGGATGGCCAAAGCTGCCTAGAAGATTGTTGACCTCTGTTCAATGATCATGATTAGATTCTTCTCTTGGTATGAGGACAGTTAAGTTTCCTAGAAAACATACTGCTCTGAGCCTCCGCGTGGGGCTGCTGCGACTCTAGGGGGTGTCGGGACTCAGTCTTGAGGTGACCGTGTTTTTGGGCGATATCCATTCTGATTAAAGGTTTGATTTGGTCAAAAATAGTAGATTATAGATACTTGTTGAAGCTATGAAAGAAGATTCAGAGAAGGTAGTATACAAACAATATGCATTGTTACATCCACAATAGCCTTAAATACCCACCAATTTCGGTATTACATCATACTAGCCACATCGCAGACCCAATTCTTCATGCACATCGATCAGGAAAAATCGAACAAGCTCGCATTCCTGGCGTGCGTCATGACGAATGCACCTGCGATGCTCATTTGCGCTGGCAGCCGCCAAGATGCTCGGCGGTGGAGAAGCATCTGTCCCATGAGCTCTGGTGCCTGGGACGGTTATGTCAGCCAAGCGTAATGCCCGAGTAATTCAGTCCTGGAAGGGTCTCGCCATTTGCTGGGAAATACTCCGTGACGATATGCTGGGGAATACAATGGAGATATGGCGAAATCTATTATATCATATTGCGTTGCTGGACAGGTGGCATATGCCGAGGTAGGTATTTACTAACGTGCCTGGTGTTAATTATATCGTGATCTAGTGCTCTATTCCATCACTTTAACCCTAGTCACTGGCCCCTTATACACCTTCCTCGCGTACGCAAAATAATATACCATGGAGAATATCGTGACGGCGCCGTAGATGAGAATTCCCCAGTTCATGGTCTCGGGATCGACTTCTCGCGTCATCGGGAAGAAAGTGAATACCCAGATAATCGCCAAGACGAGAACGGAGATGGTATCCACAAACGGCGAGAACCGACCCATACTCCAACGTGCCGGGGGCAGAGGCTGTCCACGCCACCGGCGGATACGCACGCAGGTGATGGAAATCATGTACGATGAGAACAGGGCGGCCGTTCCGAGCGACATGATCGCATTGAAGGCGACGGCAGAACCGATGTTGATCAATGCAAGGAGAGCGACAATGACACCACTGGCAAAGAGAGCATTCAGAGGGACAGTGAAGGTGGGATTAATCTGGCCGGAATGTTAGATCAAAGACCCGGGTCATAGCGATTTGTCATTCCAAGCGTCAACCCCCGGGACAAAGACATACCTGGGCAAAGAAATCTGAAAAAGGGAGACCCTTGTCGCGAGCGAATGCATATACTTGTCGGGATGTTGTGGCAACGTTACTGACTGCCGCACAAAACTGCATAACCATGATGATACATGTCATTCCCGTTGCCGCTCGAACAGATCCGGTCGAGTTGAGGAAGACCTGGATAAATTCAAAGCCGGTCTTGGTTTCCATAACCTCATCGATGTCCCCAACGCAAAAGGCGAAGGTGATTATCATGACAAGGCCGGTAGAGCCGTTGATGATCAAAGTCCAAAGCATACCCATGGGCAGAACGCGCGATGCATCGCGGATCTCCTCGGCTTTTGCAGTCAGCAGGTTGATAGTTGGTCTTTTCGGAATTAGGCATTACTAACACATGTGAACTGCAGAATCAGGTCCTACGTGCATAGATCGATTAGCGAGGTGCCAAAATCATCAATGAGCCAAGGTCCGTACCTATCAATGCCATCATCGGGCCAGTAAGGCCGACCAGACAAGCGAGTCCGTTATTTCCCCAGCCTCCTCGATCCTCAATTGACCCAAAGACCTCCGACGCCGGCGTGGTTGGCGAAAGAACCCAAAGCGGAATGAGAATGGCAAAAAAGCCAAAGCAGTGGATAATCAAAATGATTCCTTCAATCAACGGCAACTTTTGCGCCAGAAATGTGTTGAAGAACAGGGCTACCAAGGCAACGGCAATAACGAGAAGAGTAACATGCCACGGCTGGTAGGTGTAAGAGTCAGGGTAATTGATCGCGACAATGCCGACCATCATGTTGGCAACTGTGTACGAGCAGCCTGCAATTCCCGTGTGCCAGCCCAGCACGCAGACCCAGCCTGTGAAGTAGCTCAGGATGCATTGACAACTAGGAGGTGCAAACTCAGATACCCAGTGATATTGCCCACCAGATGTCGGTGCCCTTACAATCCACATTAGCTTGATGGTCAGAACCAGGCTGGACGAAGATGATCAACTCACATGGATGCCATCTCCGCCATCGACAAGATGGGAAAGCTAAACCCCAACAATCCAGCAATATAAGTGTATATCATCCCTCCCTTTCCACCATTTGTGAGGCCGAAGGAAGCACCACTTCAAGTAGTCAGAAACGTGCGATGAATCACAATGTGTCGACAGCATAGAGATACGAACTAAAGAATAGCTTCCCACGTGCACATGAGCACAGCGCTGAATCCTAGAACTGAGAGGAAGCGAAAGTTTCGCTGGAAGGTTAGCAATTATCTTTAACTCGCATAAGCTGATCCCATACATACATTCAACTCTTGGTCCCTGCCCACTCGGTACATATCCTTCTTGTCCTGAGACGTTCCCCCTCGAGATCCAACGCCGACGCTGCCATCTTCAGGAGAAGTGGCGTACGCCGATGATTGGACTTGTTTGTCTGACCACATTGTGGCTTAAAGTTAATGAATGGGGTGTTACAACTGCAGCATCAAAAAAGAAAATATAATAAAGTAGAAAGGTGAACGGAAGGATGAGGGATTTGAAGGAAGAAATATTTTTGTGACCACTCCGCGGGTCGAGCACGAGGGGGCAAACATGCAGAGAGCTTTGAACGGCCATGCTGCATATCTAATCCATGCAGCGTGATTTTTCTCGCTCCTTCAACAGGGGTCGTACTGTAGTATGCATTATTAGTCCATTGGCAAAGTGTATTAACACAGTCAAGACATGTAGGAATGCCTGGCGGCTTCTGCTTTCCGACAGCTAGCCTACGGACTATTCTGATTACATGCGACCAGGCCACATTTAGTTCAATTTCAAATCGTCTCCACAAGGTCTACCAAAGCAAATTAGTAAAATCCCTCCGACGTCCGTACTCAGTACGATCGATTTGTTCCTTCGGGGTGGGGGGGCATGACCTTCGGGCCATGAAAGCCCAGATGTAACCAAAATCTCCTTTAGTTCTTCTCGGCGCACGGCTTGGGGGTCCTCAGTGGAGCCCGGATAGACGGGCAATGGACACTTAGTTTAGGTTCCGTCCGCTTCGGAGAGGCGTAGGCTGAGGGTCTAGGGCATAATTTGACGCGAGCTCACTACGCCGCAATTATAATCCCTGTCTAGTAGCCAACAAGGAATGTGACCCTGTTTCATCCTGGTGTGCTGGTAAGAGAAAGTTCTTATGTCCCAGCTTCGATATTAATGCAGATCATTTCCGCAACGAGCCAGACCACACAGCGCGACAAAAGTACGGAGCATGGACATGGTTAGACTTAACGATACGAGGGCGGAAAGATCACACTTAATCACTTGGCAGATCCTGCTTCAAGAGCACCCGTCCTTCGGGTCGACAGGGATGAGGGGGAAAAAATGAACGGAACGGATGATTTGCGAGAAACCTTTGCACCAGGAGATGCTGTTCTTGCATCCTGTTAGGACTGATGTTCGCCATCTCGTCCAACCTCCACTTCCCGGCAGCGCACCAGAATGTATAATCCCGCCGCGTATGAGCTTTCGCCTACCGATCAAAGGGGCTTGGTGGTGATCACTGCCACCATGCTCATGTCATGGATGGTGATTGTTTCTTTGATCCGATTGTACATGAGATTGGCCCTGAATGGGCCCCTGGGTTGGGACGATTTGGCAGCTTTTGTCGGAGGTGTGAGTACATCAGAATCATCAAAATCAGCAGATTCATCAGTTCATCCATTTCCTGTCGCGATTGACTCCCATCCGTAGGCTTTCGGAATCGCAAATGTGGGCGTGATCATGAAGGGTGTCTCTTATGGCTTAGGCCAGTCTGCCCAGTCGGCTACAGTAGAGCAGTTGACGAATGAAGGCAAGGTAAGTTGAATTCTGTCCACACAACGTATTTCTCACTACTAAGAACTCCCTGAAGACTTTGCTCGCTGCAGATATCCTTTTCATTGCAGGTCACTGCGGCGCGAAGCTGTCTGTCTGCCTTCTTCTCAAACGACTAGGTCGTGAGCCCTCCTACCTATTGTGGTGCAGGGCTACCAAACTTCTTACGGTGCTTTGGGCGATCGGTTCCATAATTGCTATCGGTATACTGAGCAACTCCGGGACTCAATTGGGCATTGAAAGGATGGACTCAAGAGTGGTAAACACCACCTTGCCCAAGGAAATCCGTATAAATCTAACAAAAACACAGAACAATGCTTGGAAAGGCATTACCACAGTTGATGTCATTACGGAAGCCGTTTTGGTGGCACTAAGCGTATATTTGGTCTGGGGGATACGCATGCAGTTCAAGCAGAAGGTGGCGGTTATTTTCGCGTTCGGGACTCGGGCGACGTGAGTCACTTCATTCATGCAGTTTCTATCAAACATATTAAGCTGACCATACATTTCTACTATAGACTAATCATTATCTCCATCGTTCGACAAACATACCTGAACCGCGCATACTCCGGAACCGATGTTTCACTAGGACTCTCCGACGCATTGATCGCGACGGAAGTCCTTCTACACTTCAGCATAATGGCCGCAACGATGCCGTGTCTCAAGCCGTTCGTCATCGCTTTCAATACAGGATGGGGACAAGGTGTCAGGAAGAATGGAGGATCATATTATGTCGATTCAACCAACACCGCGTCGCATGCTCAACCCAAGCAACGGAAAGACGATGATGAATTGAACCCGACCGTTACTGGGGCCTCTGAAGGCAGCGACAACTCCCAACAGCTCATCATCCGAGAAACAAGAGAGTGGACGTTACAGGCGGAGTATATCGAGATGGACTCCTATCAGAGATAATCACTTTTTGTATCAATAGAACAAGAAATAGACTATTCGATGATTTCAAACCGAGTTCGAGACCACGACAGTCATACTCCATGACCCGTGAGCCCTAATTCTAGTTCTTCAAACGGGGCTCTCGAATCATTGGAAGATTGCCCTCCAAGTTCAACGGTGGATCAACCTGATTTTCAAACCCATGCTTGTAATACAACGGTGCAGCAGGCTCGTACGCATCCAAATAAGCAGCGACCCCATTTTGATCTGCCAGGCCACAGCCCCATTTCACCAGAAGCGACGCAGCGCCTTGTCGTCGATACTCCGGGGCAGTGATGATGAGATCCAAATCTATATCGAATACTATTAGTTCAATCCCTCAAGATCCATAACTTTCTCGGCAGCATGGAAACCCACAATAATGCTCCCTTGACCCCAGCACTTTCTCGCGATGCTCCTGTGTGATCCCGAACAATTTCCCACACAATTCCCGATCGGATTCTTCATGCCACGGCGGAAATCGCGGTTCGTATTTTTGCGCCGCGAGATTCCATTTCGCATACGCGACTACGCGATCTGGGTGACGCGTGTCGACTACTTTGATCATTCGCGAGTCGGGTTTCTCAAGTAGCGAGATGCGGAAGACTTCGTTCCACCATTTGCGGACACCGGGGGTGTCTGGGAACATTTGTAGGTTTTCGGGGATGCCGAAAGCACTATAAAAGAGATCGGTTAAGGACGGGATATCGTCGAGCGTGACGGGCTCGAGTTTTAGTGTAGATGCCATGGCGGCTGATCTGGAGTAATCGGGTGGGAATAATTTGTCAGGTAAGAAAAGCGAATGGACAGGAAAGGTCTATGGTTCTTATGTTGTGGCAATTCTATGGTCTGACATTTATTTCATTTCATTTGTGCCTGCTCATTTCCAGGGAGAATGACAAGGCTATAAAAGCCAGAACAATGGCTTCGTTTCAATAAAGCATTGTTATTGGATGCGAGATGATCCATATCGCGCTCTAATGCCCGGCGTAGCATTTGGTCAATCTCGGCATCGACGGCGTGATCCTAGCGCTGATAGCCTGATAGCCCCGTAGTCGGTCGGATGAAAACACACTATGGAGCCCGGATTACTCGCTATTTCAAGTATTCACCCTCCAATTGTGCCCCTCTCCGCCCATCAATTCTGACCTCCATGAATCCAGAGACTCAAAATATTCCACCCGAAAAAAACGCATCCAACAGCCACGCACTTTCGGGAGACCCAAACAAAGCATCCACATCCACCTGGGCCTCGCTTGTATTCATGCTGCTTTCATCGGGTGCGTCCTTGAGAGGCGGGTCCAGCTTAACCGCCCATCCCTCTTTCAACTTATGCATCATAGCTCCCAGCCCCGAGTATGCGTGGCGGTGAAGAGATTTGTTGTCATTGCCCACTATCTCGGCGACTTGATGCCATTTCTCGGCAATCTGATGGGCGAGGTCTAATATGTCTGCTGTGCGGCGCACGACGGCCTTATCCCATCCTGGAAGATCGAGAGTCGAGAGACGGAAGAGGGTGACAAAACAGTGTGCTATTTGAATGATGTGGGTTAACGGAAACGAGGCGAAGTGGGCAGATGGAATGGATAGGACAAGGTCAAAGAAGCATTTGACCGCGCGTAAACAGGCATAGAGGTGGTCCAGGCGTTTCAGATCGTCTTCGCTGGTGGTTGGCTTCAGGAGAGCGGGTTCGTAGATGCTGACCTCGGTGTGGCATAGATGGAAGAAGATGGGCTCTTTTAAGTATCTGGTTAATTCAAGGTTGATGATATTTTGGGTAGAGGTTACATACTGTTATTCTGAAGTTCTGTGGGGATCTCGGCTCTGGTCTTCTCTAGTTGGTCTCTTAAGGCGGAGACATAAAACGATGACGGTGCTCGGGGAAACACATCAGCAGCGAGCATTCTGTCGTTCCACGGCCCGACAGATATCTTTCCCGCAAGAAGGCGTACTCGCGTGAGTTGCACAAGCACAGCATCATTCGGGGTCTCTGAGCTTCTATCCAGTACGTCCAGACAATCGGTCATATGTGGAGTCCAGCGAAGAGGGTCCATTCGACCCAAGTACTGTGATATCCTAACTCATGTTAGCTGCGGATCAGCAAGTTCGATCAGAACGCCATGTGCTCACATTGAGCTTAGGACGAAAAAGCTCAGCACTGCCCTCCGCTCGTTCATAGTGCGTGTTGCGGAAAGACGAGGCCGGAGAGATTGAAGCTGGCTCTGGCCTAATGATATTTGATTGAAGGTACCAGATTCGGGGTCCCCGGGAGGGGGGTTAGTCAACCCTAGTTCGATGATCAAGCCGTTTGCCAGCTGGGAATACATGCACAACGAGGACTTGAGAGGGAGGCTTTCATATGTGATCCTGGATCTTGTCAATCATATGCCAATGACGATAGTAAGAGACAGACTAACCAAGCAAGATACACCAGAATCGCCTGAAGTAGATCGAGAGTTTTCTCCAAATCAACCAGCACGGCGTGAGAGATCTCGCGACGTAGGCGCGTGGTAAGGTCACCGACGGTGACGACATCCCTGGATTTCGTGACCTCTATACAACGCCAAAGATATGGAGACTCTTTTTTGAACTCCGTTACCGATTTAGTCTCTGGAATATGGACAAAAGGGAAACACGGGAGCTTCTTTGCACGAAACGAGCTCAAGAGACTTTCCTCATAAGCCAGCTTGCCTGTTTCACTAGTCGGCTCAAGCGGTTGGGTCGCAATCCAATCACAGTCAGAAGTCGATGCCACACCGATCGGCTCAGGAGACGTTATCTGCTGCTCCATAGATTCCGATCGAATTGACCTTCGAACATCTGCTTCATTCGTTGATCCCGACGCGCTTAGCAGCGATAACAAGCTGTCCACCTTGTGCTCCAACTGAGCCGTCCTAGACGGCGGTTTCGGGTTCCTCTTTCTTGCCGATTGGACACATTGTTTGTTCAATCGGTTGCATCTGGACCTGTTAGTTTCCACCACCGATTTTAATTTAGACTAGTCAGTCGGTCACCTTTGACATTTCCCGCCAGATGCACTAGGCAAGCATCTACACTTAGCCTGAGCGCAAGCCGTGCACGCATGGCCGTAGGCCGCAGAGGAGCGCGCGCTAGGAGTCATATTAGAGCCGTCAGGGGTATAGCTGGGCGTTTTTGTCTGTGAAGCCCAGGAGAAAGGGATTTGGATTTCTTTCTGACGGACACGACATTGCGACCGGTGTCTGGGACTATATCATCCGAATCCCGCCGCCTTGGGGAGATTGAAACGGATTTCGGGGCGCTTTGGACTGAACTCCGTCTCGGTTAGAGGAAGGTCTAGCCTGTTCTGGTATAGCTTAAATTCCAATGGATGACTCAGCTTCTGAATGTACAGTGACGTCATCTACACCGCTGAGAGATCATGATAGTAGGCATTAGCATAGAAAATGAAAAGATCGTTTCAGAATACTCAGAGCCAGGAACAGGTTTTTCGCCTTATGGTCAATTCCTATGTCAAAAGAGGACGCCGTTAACCTAAACGTGCAAAATCGGGCTGTCCAAAACAAATATATATATCCGCCTGCACGAACAAAACAGTGGAGAATGCCTATTCGCTCACCATTGCTTCTACTCTTGGCATCAACGCGATTAGTCCAGAAATTATTTACATCTCTACTATACATCAAATATCCACCAAGGTCGATCTTTCTTCTTTGTCTGTTCATTCACTATCCGAGGGTGATTGGTATCTCTCGCAAAATTGCCGTTTAGAGAATTCTGCCGGATCATATCCAAGGGTTATACCATATTCCTCACAGAGCTCTGCCAACTCCTCAAACATATCCCACGGCCATTCATCAACGTCGTCACGTGGGGGATATGTCGGCTGAGGTCTGAAGCGAACATAGATATTCCTCAATTCAGACGTTTCCGGCGCGGTTCTCACCAGCTCAATGAATTCCTCCATCCAGAGCAACTCATTCTCCCCAAAATCATTCAACGACTCAGACCAGAGTTCTTCCGTGGAGAAGCTGACCACTAAACGCTTTAGCGAAGGCATAGAAAGCTTTTCATGTGCTCCCTCAGGAGAATCATGAAACAAGTTGTATGCAGAGATAGTCAATTCCTCGAGGGCGGAGAAACCTTGCAAGTTCGGAATTCCGTCGCTTCCTTGGGTCATGACGCCGATATCTATCTTTTTGAGAGCATGGCATTGAGGTAAGAGCAGACGCTGCACGCCCTTGCCTGTGTACTCTTCATATGCATTTGACGCGGTTAATAGGCTAATTTTCACCTCTTCTAGGCCGGCAGGCCATAGGAACAATTGCCGTGCCACGGTGACACCAGCCAAGGGACGTGAAAAATGGATAGATTTGATTTCGGATGTCTTCTGTCGGCTGATCGGAAGAAGCTCATCCAAGGCCGAGGTCAACACCGCATCATCAGCATTCCCGGGGAGGATGGTGGGTGGCGGGCTTGAGGTAGTTGAAGAGTTGGGAACACTCTCGTCCCCCAATTCTGGTCCCTGTTCCTCAGTGTCGGAAGTCCGGGGCCTGAATGGTTTGCTCCAGTCCAGCGACGAAACCGACAAGTGTGTCAATGTGAGCATATCGAAGAATTCAAATATCATATTCAAGGACGGCAGGTCGCTCAGCGACATCTCAGCCAGGCGCATTGTTCGAATGAACTCAAGAATGGGTCGGCCTATCCTATAAGGACGACCGCTCAAGTTCAATTTGCGTACGGAGTTGAATTTTCGCAGCAGGTCTAGCGTTGCCTTCTCCACGGGGTTGTTTAACGAAACAGTAAGATGAAGATCCCTGACGAATCTGCAGATGTGAGGCCTTTCTGTCACGAAGACCATCTGTTCCGACGGTTCATCAAGAATATTAAGCGACAGGTTGCGATAGAGAAGTCTCTCACCAATGATTCGCCATCGCCGACAGACTAACATGAATCGTAGCCATGGATAATATTCCAATCTTCGGTGCCAGGCCGTGTAGCCCGGTCGGCTACGATCGGCATCGAGAGGTGTGATCTCGAATATCCAAGTGAGCAATTCATTGGGGAGTTTATTAATGAATGGTTCCTCCATAGTTTTGGGAACAGGCACAGCCAGATGGGCAGATTCTGATGGTGAACGAATGATGTGGAGATCTTGCTGATTTCCCGCTGGATCTTCCGCCCGCACGGGGCACACTCATGCTTTCGGTGGCAGTATTGAGGTTGGAATGTCTAGGCGATCTTGATGCTGATCAGAATATGTGAAATTCGAGGAGCGAATAGAACATGTATGCCCAGACCCCAAAATAGAAAAGAATTAAAGATGACACTGTTTACTTTTGGAAACTGCCTTTTGTCCGCGCTCTGACCACGTGACCTGTGTTACAGTTGTCCATATCCGGCTTAGCGTTGCTGCCTTGTTGCCTATTCACTGTTCTAGTTTGAGTTGAAGAATTGAAATTCGTAGTTGCTATCGCTATCTATAGTCTTATGTGCAACGAGATTCATGATGTTCCTTGCCAGCTATGCATGTCTTACAACTTGGCCTGCTTCTCCTCCCGCCCCTCAAGGTTGGGGTGAGGAGCTCGAACCGGTCGAGTGACGGCGTAGAAGGCAAAACCGGACGACTTAGTCGAGAACTAAAGATAGAAACACGCATTAGCATTGTTTTGCAAGCCTCGAAGGGTGATTTGGACTCGGTCGAGACAAACTTTGACCTTAGATCCGACGTGGAAGAAAGCGAAGTCACCCGGAACTAGATGGTGGGTGATCCCGGTAGCCTCGTCCTATTAATAGGAATTTCGTCAGTAATGTGTCTCGTGGCTAGTAAATGCAATCACCTGTGATTCAAAGAGAAGGAACATACCAGAATATCGATCTGACCATTCAGGACATACTTGGTCTCCTCGAAAGTATAGTGCGCCGGTCGCTGAGGTCCTGCCTCAATCTTGTAGAACCCCGAAGTAAAGTAGGCAGGAGATTCGGTCTTGGTGCGAATGGAGTGGAAATCGGCCGTCGTCGCATTTTCACCCTGAGGAAGGGGAATGTACTCGTGGCCAGCGCCTTTGATGACGGTGAGAGGAACGAGGTTGTTAGACACTGTTTGACGGGAAATTCATTATTAGCTACTCCGGAGATTCACTGTATTTATACTTGGCTGAAAGGCAATCAATAGTAAAAGATAACTAACTTTTGTTTATCTGAATTGAATTTTGTTTTATCGTAGAACAAGATCAAAGCTCAGCCAGCTTGTAGAAGTATAGATTTAATATAAGAAGGGAGAGCAGTTCGGATGCACTCCCGGGCAATGGCGGAGTCCCTGCATGGTTTATCCCGATGAGGGGAAAAAACCCCGGTGCCTCGTCCGCGAGTGGGGAAAAGACCGGATGCTTGCCCGGTATCCACTACAGGTCAGTCACACTTGGAGCAAGATTGACGTGCGATGTGCTAGATCTTAGATAATAACTAGAACACACAAATGTTTTCAGAAGGGCGAGAAAGATTCGCAAGGAATATCATTGGGGAAGGAAAGTGCGCTACAGTGTTGCAGTTCAACAAAGCATGGTTCACACATTTCCACCTGTTATTAGGAAATACAACATAGCCTGACTTTCTCCTCTGTGAAAAAATTGAACCTTGACCGCTTTGCCTATGAGAAGCCCGAGACAGCATTACCAAAATAGGCATGTTGGTCCTTGAGAACTAAGTACAGTATCCACTCGATTCTTGAAGATGCTGAGCAAACGCCGCGGTCTGATATCTTGAAATGAAAATACAAAAATAACATAAGCATCAAAAGGAGAGAACCAAGAAAAGCAAAAGGCAAAAAAAGGAAAAGCAAAACATTGGCGCGTCTCTTCTTGACGACTGGCTTCACTGACACCTCAGATGAATGCCTGACGGATGGGTCTCTGAGAACGATGGAACAACAGCCGAGGCTTTCAACGTCTTCCCCAATTGAAATCTTCTAAAACACAAAAAGAACGTTCCTGAAGTTCAACTGGATTATCCAGGGCCAGATAACCCCCATACACATTGGCCGTCATTGTCCAACAATGAAGACTCGACATGAACCATGATTCATTCCAAGGATATCACACTGTAGTCTTCTCCAAAAAAGCCGGTTCGTTCGACAAACACAAGATGTATCTGACACTGCTTAACTAGGAGCTCTAAATCGTAGGCCCGTGCTGACAGCGAGACGGAATCAATCTGCATAAGCCTCAGTCCAGGTAGGCTGCCGGAATTTTTGATAACAATGAGGAAACCCCTAAGCCAATGGTAATGTTGTTTTTGCATGCGAAAAAGACAATGGTCAGCCCACGCGAAGTCCTTTAGACAGTTCAAAACAAGGTGTTCAAGCTGCGGTGCCGCTAGCATGCGGACGGCTGTTTTTGGGTCTAGGCACATGAGATCGCCTGTGTACATAGTTATCTTCTCAAGGTTGCTGAAGCCCGAGAAGTTCGGGATGTCATTTTTTCTCAATGGTAGCGCCCCTATCTCAAGGACTTTGAGAGTTGCTGCGTGCAATAAAAGTTTCTCCCATAAGGTCTGGAAATTGTATTCCGAGTTTTGAGAGTCTTTGGGCAACCAATGTAGTCTGACGGTTTCAAGATTGGCTGGCCACAATAAGAGCTTTTCAGTAATGTAGAGAGGAGCATCGGGCCACCAAATTCGGAGGTATGTGATCGTCGAGGTTCTTTCTCTGCTTGGTGGTAAGACGTGTTCTAGGTCTCTTGCCGGAGGAAAACTTCGATCGTCCGGATTGAGCCGTTTTTCCACATTTAACCGCGTCAATGTCGGGATATCATAGAACTCGAAGACTGTCTCCACTCGCGGAACGCTCAATAGTTTCACTTCAGTCAACGGCATTTGTCGCACCAGGCGGAAAACACCAGTGTCAAACAATCTGAACCCAATACCGATGGTAAGTGTGCGGACAGCATTCAATAGTCGTAGTACTTGGCGTGTGATTTTCCGCCCATTATCGCCGTTGTAAAAGTCCCGGAGCTCCACTGATTGGACGAAACTGCGTATCTCTGGTTCCTCGATGATATTGATCGCGTAGGGTCCTGGGTAACCGCCGACATACAAAGTCATTTGGTTGTATAAGACCCTCTCTGCAACATTGTACCATCGCAGACAGACTCGCATAAACCTTACCCACGAATTCACCGTTTTATGCTCTCCTTCGAACGGCTGACAATACTCAAAAATGTAGCTGAGTACCTCGTTTGGAAGTTTGTCAATGGGCGCCTGAGATGGCTGCCCGAGCGATCGAGAAGCCATTGTCGGTAGGGCCATCGTTCATTCAACTCAGAGAGTCAAAATTTCCAAGAGATCAAGGGGGTTCCTGACTGCAATAAATGAGATTAATTCCATTATATAGTGAATACCGAGTGGCCCGAGGTTCCGGTTTGAAGTCCCCGATTAATGGAACATTCCGTACGGAGCTGGGAAATTCCGGAGACCAATTCAAACGGACAATAGCATACATCAAGATCATTGAGGCGCAGCAAGTTGACACAGGAATGGTTGAACCCCTCTACGGGGATAGATATCACCGGCCTGTAAGTAGGCGCGCTTCTACCATCTTGACCTCTTTAATAGGGGCGTTTACCCACTGATCTACTAACAAGACCAGAATTCCAAGTCAACGACTTGGAATGCGCATCACCCTATATAGTGGTTCAGTTCGGGGTCATCACGATAGAGCGGTCCTCAGTTACCGAATGTCGGGATGTCGGGATGCCGAGAGGCCTGAGGCTCCAAACATCACATTTTTGAAACCAAGTTTTTCTGCCGCTTACTCTTCTTCTTTTCGCTCTACTTGAAGTTTTTTTATTTTCATTCATATTCAGTCTTACTTGCTTTCATTCCACATTTCTTTACAATTTATTTGTTTTTTGGTCGCTTTATACCGGAGCTATCAGCTCCTTCGGCTCTTCCCGGGCTGCCAACGGCCAAAGGAATTCACATTCACATTCATTCACATAAACACAGGTATAGACGGTACATCATCCTGTATCTTTCACTGCAAAGAGATCACACTACGACGCTATTTCACTTGGACTATCATAACTATTGGTTGTGACCGGCTTTAGCAAGCTTTAAACAGGGAATCCCGATCCATATCGCCATCACTGCCCATCCAATACAATGTCTCCTCCTGGGATTAAAGATTAGAAACAAGGACTTGAACTGAATGACATTCCCTCCAATTCCTTTCTGATCACCACCGGACAAAACATGAAGTTTTCTTGTTTGTTGTTTGTCGCCGGTGGATGGATGACTCAGCCCTCAGCCACGTGTGGTCCACATGATGACCAGAACCCTATCTTGAACAACACTTCTTTCGGGCTGGAATCTGCTAATGCTACATATGGTAGCTGCTCGATTAGACTTGAAAGATACTTGGCATTCTTCAAAGTTGTTCGACCTGTTTCAATTCCGTTGGACTGTCTTCGACAGTATCGGATATTTTGCGCCAGTGGCAAAATGTATAATTCTTGCAGACAAGCGGCGAGGTCTTTGATCAATTGAATTCAAGAGTAGATTGAAGATGGTATAGAAGTTCCCCGTTATACAGTTCATACAGAGCACAATGATGGACAGGACATATCTATTCAATGCAAACCCCCCTCTCCAGACCCAAGCCAATCACGACCCCCCGAAAGGCCTCATGATGCCAAGAAATGAGCAAGGTCCCACTAGCTAGCGCCTCGCAGCCACTGAGAAGGTCTCAAAGGGCCCAGATCCACGGCACAGATAGTGGGACTCGGGGGGCAAAGATAAGATTATTCAAATTTGGCGATCAATCATTAAGTGAGGGAAAAAAAAAAAAATTCGGGGGCAAATTTCTCAGCGCCGCAAATTTTGGAAAGCGCGGCCACCCCGATTTTAAACACCCTCAGCCCAAAGTCCAGACACAATCCACCCAACCCCAGAAAACCCAACTCCAACATGCAATCAACGTCACCAACAGCAGAGCAACGTCTCCATATCACAACAGATCACCTCACAAATGTCACAATAAACACATCCGCCCAAGATTCTTGGGTCCACGCTTCTCTCACACAAAGCACGAACCCATTCAAAGGCCGCCAACTGCTCGCCTCGCACCTCATAAGCAAAGGCGAACTACTTATAATAGATACGCCGTACGCTGTAATTCCCGTCGTTGACGATCCCGAATCGAATCCGGATCTCCTATGCAGCAATTCCAAATGCAGTCGGAATATTATGTCCAGTGCGTCTGCGCGCACCTCATGCCCGAGCAACTGCATTCCCGATGTAGCATGGTGTAATGAAGGCTGTCGAGCAGCGGACCAAGCGCGCCATACGTTTGAGTGTACCTGGTTGAAGAAGTACGGCGCCTCGATACGCTCGAAATGGGGCGAGTACGAGTTCGGGATGCTCTGGCTTATTGTGCGGATTTTGGCGACGAGGTCCGTGGAGTCGCAGCGTGGTGCGGTATTCAGCTCGAATCCACGCTTTAAGTCGGGATGGGCGGCTATCGAGTCGCTTTGTGGCTCACCTGAGACGTGGGCGTATTCGCAGGTGCGCGCGTGGAGTACCCTGGTAAAGAAGTATCTGAGGGATTCCCCCTCATTACCGCATGGTATGAGCGCCGAGGACGTGTTGGCACTGATCTGTCGCGAAGAGGCCAATTCGTTCGGTCTCTATCCGAGAGAAACAGGGGTTTTCCCGTCCCCTGATCCCCCGGTCGATCGGGGGGAGCAGTTCGCCGCAGCAGTGTATCCTCGAGCTGCGATAGCGAATCATTCGTGTAGCCCGAATGTAAGTCGAGACAACCTTCGTTTGCAAGATGAAGCGGAATGCTGATGGAGTTAGATTATTCATAAACCCGACAACGACCGGAGAATGGTATTTGTTGCGTCGTGCGATATCCAGCCCGGCGAGGAATGCTGCATATCGTATTTCGACTTGACGGAGTTTGTGGATTTGAGCGAACGGAGGGAACATCTGCAGAAATCGTTCCGGTTTCTGTGTAAATGTGAGCGGTGCCTTGAAGAAGAGGCACCTGAAGAAGACAACAGCTGGGACGCATTTCCAGCTATGGATGATGACGAATAGACGACTTGAACATATGATTTCTGATTATATAAAGCTGGAGCATCAATGAGAGCATGAAGAAAGGCGCAATCGGTTTATTTCGACTACATTATGGACAATCACTTCACCAAAAAGACATTTATCATTTATAACTCCACAACCAACCAAAGCTCAATTCATAAACTCGTATGAGTAGTATCATACATTCATCCTTGACGGAAGCCAAGCTGCTAGTTCTCAGGGATTTTATGATTCGCGGCCTCCACTCCAGCATTCCAACGATACTTGGCGGCAGGATGATCTGCAGGTGGTCCACTCTGCCCAGCCGTCGCGTAGAGATTCTCACGATAAGTACCTTTTTCAACGGCATAGTCGTCCCAGAAAAGTCCTCTTTGGCGAAGTTCGGGGATGAGAAGGTCAATGATATCCTTGAAAGAGCGGGGCTTGACAGCATATGCCTGAAGCCCTGTTAGTCTGGGATGCCGGATGATAGCCAGTGTGTACTCACCAGATTGAATCCATCGACGTCGGCTTCTTGGACCCATCGTTCCATTTCATCTGCCACCTGTTGGGGCGTTCCGACGGGCGTCGCACCCAGTCCTCCAACAGTGATATGCTGTCCGACAGTCGACTTGGTCCATTTCGCGACTCCGGGTGTGGATTTCGACCACCCTTCGACGGCAGATCTGGAGAAAAGGTCAGAAAGCCCTTCAGTGAAAACAGAGCCAAAACATACCGAATGGCATTACTCTCCACACGTCTTAACTCCTCATCGTCCCCGTACGTATCCAGGTTGATTCCAGTCCAGCCACCAAACAACGCCAACGCGCCATCGATCGACCCCAAACTCCTGAAATACTTGAATTTCTCCTGCGCCTCTTCCTCAGTATTACCTAGCACCGGACACAACAGTGCCAAGAACTTAATTCTCTTCCCATCGCGACCGAACTCAGTGCTCGCCAGCTGACGAATCTCTGCGATATTCTTCGCTACCACGGCAGGACTGTGTCCGGCCACGAAGATCGCTTCAGCATGCTGAGCCGCAAATGTCTTACCCGCTTTTGACGTACCAGCCTGCAGGATGACAGGGGTGCGCTGGGGACTGGGTTGAGTGAGATGAGGGCCAGGTACTTCGAAGTACTTTCCGACATGGTTGATTTCGCGCACGCGGGCCGGATCCGTGTAGATTCCACGTTCGCGATCGAGGACGACGGCGTCGGAACGCCAGGACGATTCCCAGAGTTTGTAGGCGACTTTGATGTATTCTTCTGCGACGGCGTAGCGGTCATCGTGCTATATTGTATTAGCGAAGGTAACTGTTGATTCATGCCTTGGGTCCATACATGTGGTTGATGCGCGTGGCCCAGATTGCGGGCTGCAGAGTCAAGATATCCGGTCACAACCTGCGGGTCTATGTTAATAGAGATCGCATGAATTGGCAGATAGTTTACTCACGTTCCACCCTATCCTGTAGGCGGGAGTCAGCTATATCGGGACAAAAATGAGGAGTGTGTGACTTACCGTCCCTTCGTAAGATGGTCGACTGTCGACAACCGTCTCGCCAAATGATAAGGCTGCTCATACGTCGTGGTCACAGTCACCCCGAATCCAATATTCTTCGTGGCTGCTGCCATGGCAGGGACGACGGCGAGGGGTTCGTTGACAGGCCATTGTGCTCCCGAGATAATCGCTGGTGCGAGATTCCTAGGACCTTTGTAGACGTCGTAGCCACCTAATCACACCGTTCGCATTAGTTCCGAATAGCCAAGGTCTTGGTTTTCATGAATACTGACCTAGAACATCCGCGATAAATATCCCGTGGAATTTCGCCGACTCCAATAGCTTAGCTAATTCAACCCAATGGTCGATATCGTTGAAACGATGCGATTCATCCTCAGGGTGGCGCCACAGACCGGGCGATTGATGCCCACTGCCTGTTAACTGTGAGATTTGTGACTGAGATTCGACGTGAAGGGGAGACAAAGCGTACACATTTCAACGAAAGCATTAAGAATAAGCTTCTTGCGCGGCTGCGCAGCGTCGGTAGCAGTCATGATTGCTAAGATTGTCTGTGATTGTGTGACGATAGAGCTTAAGAACAACGAACTCAACGATCGACTCTGCCAGCACTTAAAATCCAAACTGAAATCACCAAGTGCAGAAGCCAGCTAATAAGTATGCAATGATTCAAGGAGCCACGATGTCATCGTCCCCTCCTTCATCGGCACAGTAGAGACAGTCTTCTGCATAGCATCAAAGTGGGTCGTGATGACGCCACAGGCGCACGACGAACACAAGACGAGGATTCGCCGAAGGAAGCGCAGATCATAGACTTTATCGGGTGCTGACCAGGGTTGGGCTATTCCATTGGAAATAACTGCAATAAGGACGAAAGAAAATAAAGTTGGGGTGCAAAATTGGGGTATTGACGGTCCTTGGAATGCGGTTGCTCGCGTTATCGTCAGTTCCTCTCGGCATCACGCAATGCGCGACGCAGAATCGGGGGAAGGGAGGAAGTTGAAACGGATACCAAGCCATGTCCAGATTAAATAGGTAAGGCCCGAAATTTAACTCATTAAACAAGCGTATAAGAGCTGAAGTGTTTGTAATTAACATAAATACAAATGGCAGTTGAAATGTCGGGGATAAGGTGTCCTCTAGCCTATACAGCCCTACACCTAGCGCCAAGAAGCCTCAACACGGCTTACTCGTAGCTCCATGCCGCTCAATGGAATGCTGCAAGTGCTATCGGCCGATAGGAAACGGATATTCTCTCGGTATTGCGATCGGAGCAGTGGAAGACAGCCAAGTATAAAGTTCATCCACCAGTCCGGTTCGCGTGAGCACCTCATATCGATTCTTTATCATATCACAGTGGGCCTATGCCGCCCTGGATTGCACCAAGGATGCACTGACCAAAGCCTATCATTCCATGTGAAGACCCCTGCAGGATCTTGCAGAGACTATCGACCTTGGGGTTATTTAAGGCTGGGGATATCCACCGCTAAGACCTTACTTGACTGCGGCGTTTGCGGTCTCATCTTTCCGACTAGTATAGCAGTAATAGCTTGCGGACTGAAGAACGAAAAGATGGCTCAGATCCTTGCCCGTAGTGGCGATGGGGGAGTTGAACCCCCCTTGTCTCAAGCTGTGGGATATGTTATTGTCGTGGTGGTTGGGCTAATCATTGCATTTGGTATTATCTCTCATTTCCACCGATAAGTTCTACATGCTGATGAAGAAAGTCATGATGATAATCACTCGAGTGTTAAAGAAAACTACCGGAGAAGATAACAAGAAAACAGAGATGTATGGACTCGAGCACTTGCGGCCCATTCCACTACTAACAAAGGGATAGGTTTATGACGGCAAACCGCACAGTGAGAACGGGGTTGACGGCGTCAGCCGTGATATCAGTACGTGCGCTGAACCTCCACCTTCATGGAAAATGCGAAAGGCTAACTCTCAGCATAGTCATGGCTGTGGACGACTGCGCTGCTCGGGTCTTCCTTTGTCGGATACGACTACGGCGTGTCGGGGTCATTCTGGTTTGCCGCCGGGTGTAGTCCCATGATCGTTTTCTTCGCCTTACTTGGAATATCATGTAAACGAAAGATCCCGGAAGCTCACACTTCGCTTGAAGTTGTTCGGATCCGCTATGGTAGGCGTCGCGAAAACAATCAGTTCCCGTCTGTTATCTGAAATATTACAGGGAGAGTCGCACATGTCGTGTTCATGACTCTTTGCTTGGTCAACAATATTTTTGCATGTGCGAACATGCTACTCGGCGCGGCTGCGGCTATCTCAGCAGTGTGAGTTGGGATGTCTCAATAAGATTCGAAGATACATTCATACTAACTCAATCAGGACTGGAATACATATTATCGCCGCGACATTCCTATTGCCGGTCGGAGTAACCGTTTACACTTTCGTCGGTGGCATTAAAGCAACGTACGTGGAATTGACTTAACTCTCCGGCCAGCAGAATCTAATCGCCCAAACAGGTTCTTAACAGACTACTTCCACACGGCAATCATCCTAATTATCGCTTGCTACTTCTCCATAAAAGCCTTTACGTACGAGGAGGTCGGGTCGGTCGGAAAATTATACGATCTTGTGCAGGCCGCCGCTCAACGGCATCCCGTTGCTGGAAACCACAATGGAAATTACTTGACAATGACATCGAAGGGAGTAAGTATGTCTCTCTTTAATTCATGACCAAGTCTCACCTCAATTCAGGGAATTCTTTTCGGTATTCTGCACATCTGTTCCAACTTTGGTCTGGTCATCATGGACACCAGCTACTTCATCAAAGCCTTCTCAGCTGCCCCATCGTCAGTCGTACCGGGATACACGATCGGAGGTGTCGCATATTTTGCTATCCCATGGGCTCTGGGCACTATCATGAGCTCACTGGCTCTTGGTCTCGAGAATAGTTCATCTTTTCCTACTTATCCTCGGGTGCGTCAAATCTTTCTCCCCATCTGGTGGCCCAGAAAATTAACAATTTCAAATAGAGAATGACAACGACCGAAGTCAGCAACGGTCTCGTCCTGCCCTACGCCGCTATGACCATCGCAGGCAAGGGAGGCGCTGCAGCCGTCCTACTCATGACCTTCATGGCTGTAACATCCACGCTCTCTGCCCAGGTCATCGCCGTCAGCTCTATTCTCAGTTTCGATGTCTATCGACAATATTTCAACCGGAACGCATCCGACAGAGATATCATTCGTGCTAGCCACTTCGGAGTTATCTTCTTCGCTGCTTTCTCCGCCGGATTTAGCACGATGTTACACTACGTCGGCATTGATCTTGGATGGACGCTATATATGCTCGGTGAGTGTTCTCTTCGATACCAGTTCATTGTGGACAGAAGGAATACACTAATATAATCAGGCGTGGTGACCTGTCCCGGCATCTTCCCTATGGCATTCACCATCCTCTGGCGTCGGCAAAGCACGGCTGCAGCGATCCTCTCGCCCATCCTAGGCATGGCCACGGGTATTGGCGTTTGGCTCGGCACCGCGCAGCATTTCTACGGTTCAGTTTCCGTCTCAGCAACGGGTCAAATTTTCCCCTGTGTCTATGGAACCGTGGCATCGGCTTGCTCGCCCATCTTGTACTCGGTGGTAATCACCTTGATCCGACCGCAGAAATACGACTGGTCGGAGTTCAAAAAGGAGAAGCTCGCGCTCGAAAAGCTGAACAGTGATCTAACGACCGTGCCTAACGAGCACATTACGCAGCAAAATAATGCCGAGACTGGGCCAAGAAATATATCCGCTCCGGAGACAAAAGAACTCAAACGATGGGGTCGCATAGCCGCATTTTGGTCCATCGCGACGTTCTTGGGTCATTGGGTTATCTGGCCGCTACCGATGTATGGGTCGAATTATGTGTTTGGAAAGGGGGTAGGTTTTTCTGATTCAACTATGGTACTAGCAGAAATACTGATTGAGCATAGTTCTTCTCTGCGTGGATTATTGTCGCGATTATCTGGCTGTGGGGAACAACACTCATCGCTATATTCTATCCTATCTTGGATGGGGGCTTTCAGCAGATTGCGCAGGTTTATCGCGGACTGCGAGGAAGGGGTACATGGACACATGATGATGAAAGGGCTGAGACGCCCTCATCGCCGTCTGTTACGGGGGTGCAGGGGGTGGATAAAGAGGGCATCTAAATTGTTCTACACTCCTAGACGCCGGCTTCAAAACCTGAGAGAACCAGCTTCTTCAATTCATCACCTTTTTGTCATTGGATGTATAAGTTTCTCAGATGGCAAAATGTTCCTGTTGGAACGATATTGCCAACCAGACTAGGGAGGTGGAGGATCCTGACCTAACCTACATACCACACGGCACCTTGCTTGGCCTAGGCTTGGCCTACCATTCCAAATGGCATACCAAAGGATCAGGAATGCATAGGTGTAAACAAAGGGGACTATAAATAGCTAGGCAGATTGTAGTTTAGAAATGACACTTCACTTTTACCCACCGAGCATATACCTATATTCAGTTGAATCGATAGGATATCTGCTTAGGGCAATGACCAAGTCAACCGACAGTTCCTCATGCTATTTAATTAACAATAAGTCATCCTGTTCCATTCGACTTTTACAGATAAGTATCGGATCGATGTTTAGAATGAGGCCGGTGTCAGAGGTGACCCTGCTAATAATGGCGAAGCTATTGCATTTCAGTTGCCTGTGAAGGGTATATTATGTCTGTGTAGCTCATACTAAAGTTTCAATAGAAGAGTCTGTCTTTCTCAAAGTGCCAGCTCAGCTCGCCAGCAATTTGAGTTTTTCATTTTTCTTGTTCACTCGTTACATATCGCTAATCATTCCATCCAATATCTTCTCGTTAACACTCGAACAGCCCTCTGTGGTTAAGCGCTATTCACCAACCAAACGACCAAGTATGATCACTTCCGCCAAGCACCTCAATTGAGAGCTCTCGTCACAGACCACGCAATCTGGGTAACACCACAAGTAGTGGCATTCTCTATCCGTCATCGAACATAGACTTCCTCAATCTAGCCAGTCCACTTTCCAACAGGCTTCCTCACCAACCCGCAATCCTCACGCTGACCCTTATACTCGCTGTCTTTATACACAGCAGTAAACCCGCAACCTGCCCTTCCTAAATGGAACGGCTCCAGGTTCACATTGCGCCGTTTGCTCTTGAAGAAAAGATCTCCAGCTGAAACATTATATTTCACGTAGGTCGGCGGCACCAACTTCTCTTTGCCGTCACGTCCGAAAAACCAAAGATATCCGCCACAGATTGGAGCAGTCATGGGCTCGGCGCTGTCTGTAGAAGATAAATAAAACCAGTTAGCTCAGCGTGATCATAATCAAACATACACCGCTTGTTTTTTCTCATATTGCAGAAAAGACCAGCAGGGCCACTCACCAAACGCATCACAATACCCCGTCTTAGGATTATACGTAGCAAACGGCTCCGAACGTCCCTTACAGCCAAATACCTCGTTCAACGCAATAACACATTCCTGGTTTTCGTCGACCTGCAGCTTTCCCCACGAGCCCTCGACGAGATCGGGCGCATACTGCGTAAAGAAATCACCACCGGCCCATTTTTCGGCGGCAGCGTCCCATTTGTAGGCACTGACGGTGGAGAGGAGGTTCGCCGTCGTGAGCGCGGTGCTGACTGCGGTGAGGAGTTTCATATTGATTTGATATGTCTGAAGAAGTGACCGTAGACGCCAGGAAAATCGGATCGAATCTCCTATGGCAACAAATACAAAATGAACAGTCACTTGCACGGGATTGTGCAGAAATAAGGGTCTGCCTAATGCGGAGACAACCTGATTCAGGACTAACAGACCACTTGATCTATAATCAAGCCTCATTGGGCTCTATGGCTGTTTGTTGGTTTTGTCTTGGCGCGCTTAGTGGAGTGGTTTGGGTCCGCCATCAGTTCGGCCCCCAATTTCGATGAATAGAACTCGGTTGCCTACTTTAACTTCGTCATTCGCTTTGTTTCCCACCGCTGGAAATCTAGGCTATCTCATAAACTGTTTGACGAACATTGTTTGTTTGATCATTCGTCAGTTCAAATTTCACTTTTTGGAAGTTTATCGTGAAAATTGGGAATAGAAATTGTATATAATCCCGTCAGAAATCCTCGGTGGCGGTAGTACCCGCTCACTTCCGAACCTTTCTGCCTTTTGTGGGGTAGGTTATTTGGAGATATCAACTATTTGTCTTACAGTAGATGCTTGATTTTGTATCTTTAATGTGGCTGTGCTTTGCTGTGGACCCACGTTACATTTGCAATGGGCGAACAGACACCAGTATTAGACCTTGAGCAGTGATCTACTTGAACATTAATCATGTCAATAAGAGCAATTCTTAAAACAATATCTCACCAGAAGATCAAGGCTATGACATGAACTGAGATCAACAGAAGAAGTTTGTTGATAATTGATATAATTACACCCCCAAGTGACCGATGCCAGTGCACAATTCTTGATCAAAAACAGACCATAGGAAGACTATCAGCATGAAAAGAATAAAGCTTCACATTTCACATCTAGATTAGCATTTCAGGCTAACTATTGGCTATTGATGACCGACATGGCCAAACTCTGAGCCCTACAAACTACGTGACATCGCCGTAGATTATCGCGTCGGATATTTTCTCGGCCAACATATCTGCTCGATAATCAACAGTTGTGAGGTAAAAAAGGACAATCAACTTACAGACGGTAGACTGAGGATGCCCCGGTGGCAAAATTGGAAACGCACTGGCATCCACAACTCGAAGGCGTTCCACCCCATAGACACGCGCCTCGCTGTCTACAACTGCCAGAGGGTCGTCAGGTCTACCCATTTTACATGTGCAAGCCGGGTGCCATATGGTCATCAAGCTATTCCGAATGTACTCGAGGATATCATCGTTGGTTACAACGTGATTGCCTGGGTAATACTCGGGCCCTACCATGACCGGTGCCATAGCCCTACTGGCAGCTGCCTCACGGATGCGCTTGAACATGGCAACGGTAACTTCTTGGTCGGACTCACTTTCCAGCCAGTTGGGGCTGATAACCGGGGGATGATTCATGTCTGCCGACCGAATCGTTAGATTGCCGCGGGAGGTAGGGGCAACCAGCACGGCTAGCATGGATGCGTAGCGATATCCATCCTTGGGTTGGTCTATGACAGGGTCTGAAAACGAGCCTAGGTACCCAGGACCAGACATGTACTAGGGGTAGAAAGTTAGTCATACATCACAGTGATGCCTTGGGCAGAACTATCGCCCCGCTTCCGGGCACCAAGCCTTTGGTCAGTCACAATAGAAATCGCTCGTACCTCGGCCTCGGGCCAGTCTGGCGGGAATTGTCCCAAATCAGTCAGAGTTTGGTTGGAGAACCTCGATCGCAAACTGTCGGGGATCTTTTCCCATGCCAAGTAATCTGCACCAGGGCTGCTCCCCATTCCCTGGCCAAAGAAAAACCATTTGAGGACCTGTAGGAACGTGAACCAGATGTCGTTGACAAAATCGGTGAAGGTGGCTACTTCGACCCGGTAGGAAGGGCCAAAGAATGGATGATCCCACATGTTTTGTCCCACACCTGGACGGTCTGCTATTACCGGGATGCCATGATCTTTCAGTGTATCAGCCGGTCCTATACCCGACACCATCAAGAGCTGCGGCGATTGAAAAGCGCCTGCGGACACCACCACTTCTCGGCGTGCACGCAGTTCGAATGGGACGGACGATATGTTTGCAACCGACACACCGATGGCACGTTTGTCATTATCGAATATGATCTTCTGAGCTAGTGTATGGAGGTATATCTCCATTGAAGCGGGCTTTCCCTTCCCAAGGAAGGAGGTTTGTGAGCTGCTACGGGTCTCGTCTGGCGGCCGAACAGTCACGGTACAGTACTGAGCTCCAAGCAAGGATCCCCCGTTGAAGTCCTGGATATCCTCGATGCCAATAGCATTCATTCCTAGTTTCATCCACGTCGAGAAGGGCATGGCATAATTGGCAAATGACACCTCCAGAGGACCTCCACTCGGATCATATGCGCGAGGTTCATAACTGGGAGTGGCATTGAGGAAGCGAGAGCGGGCATCGGGAGGTGTAAAATGGACGGTACGCTTGAAGTAGGGTAAGACATGATCCCATGTATAACTACTGTCGTTCACAACTGCTGCCCATTCGGCCATCGAGTCGCGCGTGGGTCTAATATGTTTTCAGCAACAGATCGCCTGGGGTCAAGCGAACATACCTCTGGTATATCATAAAGTTGAGTGCGGAGCTACAGACCGATTAATTCCAATCTATCGAGAAACCATGATTTACCTACGATCCGCCTAAGCATCGACCTCTGGCATAATGAATGTAACGCATATTCGCGCCCGGTTGAGGCCGGGTCACAAATCCCCAGTCAATCAGCGATCGAAAATGTGGCCGCGAGCCGACTCGGAGCAGGTCACTCCCTGGTATGGCAGCGAATGATAGAGATTGATAGTATCCACCCGCCTCGACTAAGGCCACGCTGAAGGCCTTCTGCGTCAGGCGTGTGGCCAATGCGATGCCAGCTGTTCCTCCCCCAACAACAATATAATCATATGTCCGAGGATCGTCGCTCGTCTCGGAAATGTTGATGGCAAGGACGCATGCGAGGGACTCGAGTATGAGGAACACGCAGAGGACGAGGCGGAGCAGGCAGCTGCTATCAGTCAGGGCATACATGGTTCGAGATTCAGAGAATGAAAATTGATGGGCGATTCATAGGTCCGTTGCCACAGCCTGGATATGAAACGATATGAGGGCAAGTCTGTAGTGTGCTGCGGGAACGAGAATGACGTCTTGAGTCCAACTACATTATGGAGGCAATCACCACCGGCCGCGCCTGCCCATCGATCTCAACCGCACAAACCTGCTTGTTTTTGCACATGAAATCATTGCAACCGTCATTTTAGTTAGCCAGTCGGAAAACCCAATCAAATATGTTGCCGCCTGTTCGAAGTTCCAAGAGTGAGAGCATCCTGGCTGCCACATGAAGCCATTCCATCTGCCACCTCAGGGCTCGGGCCAGCACGTGAAGCCACCGCGCCCCAACGAAACGAGACAAAAAGCAAGAACCGCGATGCCTGCCAGCGACCAAATCATGGACAATACCAGAACTCTGCTATGGACCAGGATCGCAAATTAGCCATTCGCAACCATTACCATTTTTGGGTGCGAGTGGGGTGTAGATCGACCCCTGATTACCCCAAGCGGAAATCGTTATTGGTTCGTTTCTGGCGACCCAAAATTTAGCCCGTCGCAGTCAGGAACCATTGGATTGTTCTCTCTTCTGGCGAGTCTTTCGTGCACGCTCGGCCAGCCCGCAGATGATTAGAAACGAGGCCATCACCCGGAAAATATGGAATTTGTTGGGGTTCGCCCAGGGTCATTCATATGTTCTCCCGAGGCCCACGAAGAGGGGTGGAACTGCGAAACGGTCCACGATGGTCTGATTTAATTGTTATCTCATCGCAATCTCGTGTTGTACCAGTTTTTGCTAGATGATCTGCAGTGGGTTCTCGCGCTCTCGCCCACAATTTCACATGCCGAGAGTAGCCTCAACGGCCGAATGGCGCGAATATAAACCATGCCTCGCATCCCCCGCGGGGAGGGGGCTCAGATACCATCTCAATCATCTTGTTGCGGCACTATGAGTTTCCAACCCAACCCCAAGGACTCGATGAAGTCCACTTGGCGTCGCCTGGATCGCGGCGAGTGGACCTTCTCTCATTGGTTCTACGAAATCCTCGGCATCCATCCCTCCATCTTGGACAAGGAGATACCTATCCATCCTAAGGAGGATATGGTACCGTGGGTGCCTGAGTGGCACCTGCACCGATGGGTCCTGGTCCATTCCTTTATTCCCCTTGCGATTCATCATGTTTATACCGCCTATACCGGGCACAACCTGAGCCCGCTGGCCGCTTTCGTGTTCTACAGCGTCGCGTTCAAGGCCATTGCTATCCACGAGATCCAAGTCCTTCGCCGCCTCGGTCACGTCCTCGGATATCTAGATGGTGACCAGCACGAGCGCGACGGCGTGCCCGACGTGGGTGTCGCAAAAGTCGCCCATTCGCTCATTTCGACTTCGACCTTCCGGCCGGTCTTCACCGTGTTCCTCAGTTACCGCAGCACCCAGGCGCCAGGCTCGATGAACTGGGCATGGCTGCCTCTGGAAATCGGACTTTATGGAATTATTCTCGACTTCTGGTTCTACTGGTACCACCGATTGATGCACGAGATCGGAGGTCTCTGGAAGTACCACCGCACGCACCACCTCACCAAACACCCCAACCCGCTATTGACCCTCTACGCCGACACGGAGCAAGAGTTCTTCGATATTGCCGGCATCCCTTTGCTCACCTACTTCAGTATGAAGTTGATGGGCATGCCGATGGGTTTCTACGAGTGGTGGATCTGCCATCAATACGTTATGTTCGCCGAGTTGGCCGGGCACAGTGGTCTACGTCTTCTTGCTGTGCCTCCTAACACGCTTTCTTGGGCTTTGCGACTCTTCGACGCCGAACTGGTCATTGAAGATCATGACCTCCACCACCGTCGCGGCTGGAAGAAGAGCGCCAACTACGGAAAGCAGACTCGTCTCTGGGACCGGATCTTTGGCACCTGCGGGCCTCGGGTGGAGTGTTATAAAGAAAACATCGACCCGGACAACCGAGTCTCCATGCCTCTTATCTAAAATACCGCTCGATTTGATGGATGGCGTTAAATGCACAGAATGAAAGATTTGGTGGTCCCTTGTTTATACCCGATCAGTGATTTTGGCTTTCCCAGTGTATATCGCAATTGTTTCTAGCAGATTCTTTGACCCTGCAATGTACTTGATTTATGAATGTTATGATAATTCTTTGAATACAAGGCTTTCCCGTACTTCCCTCACGGCTCCAGATTCTTTAAATCCTCTCAGCCCGATACTCAATATGCACCCTGTAGTCTCACTCGGAGTTCAAATCCTTCAAACAGCTATCCATAAGCCACCAACATGACTCTCGGCTGCACGACTGGACGGACACTTGCGGATGCATCCCCGCGCGTCTCCCAGATGGCCGAACCCATATCATTGGGTTATGCTAGATCACACTCCACTTAAGTCTACCCGAGGGATCATCACCCTGGTTTATCCATACCAATATAAGAGACGCGTTACCCCTCCGCATAGCTGCCCCTCCGGACTTCCAACCTACATAAACCGCCCCAAGTTCAGCACCAACAACCTGTTATTACATCACTTTAGACCCTCAAAATGCCCACCTGGCAAGAAAAAACCGAAATCAAACGACTCGCCGCCGCGTCGAAAATCCCCTCCGAATGGCGTCTCCCTGACTCCACCCTCTCCGCACTTAGCACGGACTCCAACGTCCTCGACATCCCACGCACCAGCGGGTTATTGTCCCCGCGGGAACTAACCATCACCGAGACAGAAGATGCCACCATTTTACTCTCGAAGCTCACCGCGCGGGAATACACTGCCGTAGAAGTGACTACAGCATTCAGTAAACGGGCCGCGATCGCCCAACAGCTCGTCTGCTGTCTCACGGAGACATTTTTCGACGAAGCGCTCGAACGAGCCCGTTTTCTCGACGACCATCTCGCCCGCACAGGCAAGACCGTGGGCCCACTGCACGGGCTACCTATTAGTCTGAAAGACTCGTTCAATGTGATCGGTCAACATACCACGTTAGGGTTTGTTTCGTTTCTCGAGAACCCGCCACAGAGTCGGAACTCGGCCGTCGTGGAGATCTTGCTGGCAGCAGGGGCGGTGCTTTACGTGAAGACGAACATCCCGCAGACGATGATGACCGCGGACTCACATAACAATGTATTTGGGCGGGTGCTGAATCCGCATCATAGGAATCTGACGGCGGGGGGCAGTACCGGCGGCGAAGGGGCGTTGGTGGCGATGAGGGGGTCCATTCTAGGCGTGGGCACCGATGTGGCGGGCTCGATTCGCATCCCGGCGCTGTGCTGCGGGCTGGTGGGCTTTAAGCCGAGTGTCGGGAGGGTGCCGTATGGGGGGCAGACCTCCCCGGGGAGGCCCGGGTTGGCAGGCGTCGCGCCCGTGGCGGGTCCCTTGTGTCATTCGGTTCGCGATGCTGAGATGCTGCTGCGTGTTATCACGGAGGGACACCCGGAGGATCTCGATGATATTGCTCTTCCGATCCCCTGGCGTGCGTTGCCTGACCGATCCGAACCATTGACGATCGGTCTGCTCCATGAGGACCAGGCATATCCGCTTCATCCGTCCATGCATCGCGCTTTGACGCAGGCAGCGGCGAAGCTGGCCGCAGCAGGACACACCATCATCGACCTGTCCGGAAAGACGCCCTCGCTGGTGGACATCGCGCGCCTGACTTTCCAGTATTTCGGCATGGACCCTGACAAGACCCTCTTCTCGCATATCCTGCGCGGTGAGGAGCCGTTCATTCCGTCGCTCGCGGTGATAGGGACGGGTGGGGGAGTGGAAATGCCGGAGCCCACGTTGCGCAATCTTTATGATATGAACACGAAGCGGATCGAGCTGGCAGAGGCGATGAGAACGGCCTACGTGGAGACTAAGGTGGACGTTATCCTGACTCCCGGGTTTCAGAGCTGTGCGGTGCCGCATGATACGTACGATAACGGACTATATACGACGATGGCGAATTTGTTGGATGTTAGTCGTCTCCTTCTCCTTGTGACTTTAACTTGCTTTTTCTTCTGGGCCGAGTTGACGATGAGTGCTGATCATAAATCTCACAGTATCCCGCATGCATACTTCCTTTTGGCCAAGCTGATGAAAAGGCTGATGCGCCGTTCGTCAGGGATATCGATTACAAGCCACCTTGTATGTTTAACCCATCAAGATCTACTAAGTCATATGCTAATAGAATGTGCAGATAAACCAGCAGATATCGAAGGCGCCCCTTGCCACGTCCAGATTGTCGGGCGGCGATTATTGGATGAGAAACTTGCGCAGAATGTTCGACAAATTGAGCAGATCTTGAAGGCTTAGAGGCGAAACAGTCGATATGTTAGACTTGCCGATTGATTTGGGTTTTTTATCTTGAGAGCGAATACCAAGCAATTCAATGTGCAGTTCATTCAATCAAGTTAGAGCTAGAGCTATATAGCAATACCCATCCACCCTTCAAATAACGAATATCTGCCTTTAGCAAGCAACGTATATCAAAAGCAATAGATCACCCAATATCTAGTTATGGCCCAAGACTAGACTGTCCACATTATTCCCAGTCAACATAATCAACCACTCCGTACTATTCACTTCCACCGTTAGCTTCATCTTCTCCCTCGGAAACAATGTCACATAGTTATCCGACCAATAAACCGGGGCTATTTCCTCCCTTGTCGCTGGGCCCAGAGCCGCCAGATGCAAGAAGACAGCTGGGACAGGAGATTCGTTCGCCATAGTTACTTCGATCTTGTTGAGCCCGTTCTTCGCGCTCAGTTGCTGAGTGCTCGTCTTCACTTTCGCCGTAGGCATGCGCCCTAACGCCGTAAACTCAGCAAACTGCTTCGTCGGCGTGGTATACCAGTTCGAGTTATCCCAGTCCAACACGTCACTCTTCGCCGAGAGCCAGTAGACGTTCCGACTGAGTACGGCATCTCCATCGCGCAGGATCAGACGCAGGAACGCAACGCCCCGTATCTTCTTCAACCCACCCACCTTCGCCACCATCTTCGAGGCATTCGGCACCGTCTGCGTCGTCACATTTTGTCCCCAAATATATCCCCCATCCCTGTCCACGAGATCAACCTGCACTATCCTGGTCATATCCCCTTTCTTCCCGAGTAAATGATTAATCAAATACACACCCCCGCCTGTATAATCAAACGCGACATGCTCCATTCTCGCTCCCGTCTTCGTCCCAAAATACGCGCCCGCTGGACGCAAGTAATAATCGAAAAGCTGCCAGTGCAGACTCGGCCACGCGCTATTCAACATCCAATACACAACCCCCGTCGCAGGCCGACTTGCATTCTGACGCATCGCGAACCCCTCGAACTCTGCCCGCGTAGCCTCGTAATCCATCATCTGCGCCTTGCGTACATAGTCTTCCAGACTCGTGGGATGACCATAACGCCCAAACAGCGCTTCATTGTAGATCCCTCGATTATAGAAACTCGAATCATACCGCGACATGTGGTATTGATTCTTCTTCGGCTCTTTCCACAGACTATCCAGATCCCGGGGGGATAGAAATTCACGTAAACTGGACAGTTCGGGCGTCCCTACTCCAGAGCCCTGCTCGGATCCGAACCCGAATGCCGCGCCATATTGATCGCCAGTCCAGTAGTTCGGGGGCACCCAGTCGTAGGGTCCGTCCATTTTCATACCCGAGGGGCCTAATGCGGAGGGGTAGCCGCGTTTCGAGGCCGATGCGATCACAGGCACGGCCCAGTCCATGCGGTGGAGGGCGGAGAGGTAGAGGTTCGTGGCGCGGGCGTTGGGCCAGTAGTCTGATCCGACTAGGAAGCCGAGGAGAGAGGGATGGGGCTGCATCATGGCTGCTTCGTGGAGCATGGAGTTGTAGGCGGTTTTGTAGTCTGGGTCGGTCCATTTAATGCCCTTGGCGTCTTCGTTGTACTGTTGGCTTTGGTCAGTAGTGGCTCTTTCATCGTAGTGACGTTGACGGTGAAGGATGAAGGCAGAGAACTCACATCCCAAGCTTCCCACTTATCACAGCATTCCCAACCAGCCAGGACCATGAGACCTATCTCGTCTGCCAGGTCATAAAGCGCTGGATGCTCCTGATTCCCTTCCAATCGAACAGTGTTGAGTCCCATGTCAAGCATATACCGAAACATAGTCCTGACACGGTCGACATCAAACCGCAAGAACAAGTCCGGCGCATACCCAGCGCCTCGCACACGGAACGAATGTCCATTAACACTAAACTCAGTGTCATTATGGCCGTTCACCTTCGACAAAACAGCCCTGATCCCGAATCGCGCTGGCTCCGCAACATCCGAAACTCCAGCACCCTCCGCCGAGACATTCAAATACACCGTATACAGCGGCTGCTGTCCCCAGGCTGCAGGCCACCAGACTTGAGGATCACTAATGGGAACGGATATCAGGATCGTGTTGTTCCGACGTCCTTCGAGAGTAAACCCCCTCTCCAACTTCGCGATACTCACTCCCTCTGGTCCCTGGATATAACCCTGCAGCGTGCCTCGCACCGGGCCAGTCTCCATATTCTCGACCTCCGCCTTCACAGTGACCTTCACCTCTTTCCTCGTCTTCATTCCCACCTCTCCAATATAATCAGTCAATATCCGAGGCTTCGAAAGCACGACCTTCCCCGTTCGTTTCAGCTCCACGTCCCTCCATACCCCAGTCCCATTGTCAGCAGGGTATGGATTCCAATCAATGAATCCCTGCGCGAAATCGCGCAGATAGTTCGTTGGATGGGCTTGGATTAGAACTACATTCTCACTTCCACTTCCAGTTTCTTTTCCTTTTCCTTTCTCTTGCTTGTCAACCAACCCAGTCACCTCATATCTTCCTCCCATATACGACCCCCTCAATACCTCCTTCCCGACAACCTTAACCCCGTTTACCCAAATATCCGCCATAGAAGTAATCCCATTCGTGATCAGAAACACATGCTCCCCAGCCCGGGTGGGTTCCAAAGCAACACTAGCACGATAAAGCCACGGCGAACGAAAGAGGGAGTCATTTGCATCTAAGGCGGCCATGTTTTCTGAATAAAACAGATGCGAGGTACTGTAAATATTGTTGGCGAGGAGACCGGCCATGACGGTTGCGTGGGAGGTTGGGAGGAAGTGCCATGGTGGAGTGAGGTGGGCGATGTTTGTGGAGGGGAGGGAGAGGTGGGAGAGGTTGGTTGGGGAGTGGAGGGAGGATTGGAGATGCCAGGAGGGGATGGGGGATTTGGTGCCTGGGGAGGTGAGAGGGAGTTGGGGAGGGAGATGGTTGGAAAGGGAGGTGGTGGTTAGGGTTAAGAGGGTTGTGAGGAGGGTGATGGGATGCATTTTGCGTTGTGGTGGGGAAAAGATGAATGTCTGGGGGATGGGGAAGTGGGATAGTTATTTATTATTGAGCATGAGTGAGTCCTGCAGGGAAATGCGGGGAGGAAATGAAAGGAACGGAGTTGGAGAAGTGATTCATGCAGCGTGAAGTTACTTTTGCAATGCATGGTTACATCGTGACTCGTCATTCCTGCAATGTCACCTGCACAAACATTAAAGCCAAAATGACCCGTGTGTAATAATTACAACAACCCCAACTAGGTAGCCTATTTATTCAAAATACATAAAAAAAGAAAATCGTCAAGCCCACGCCTTCGTTGTACTCGACCCGATCATACTCCTTGGCAAATGCTGCGCCGAACTACCCCCGTCATGCGATCGGTCGTTCAACGAGGGTTCGTACTCCGGCCGACTCCCTGTCTTCGACGGCGCTTCGTCGAGCTGAGTAAGTGGGAAATCGCCCTCCGGGTCGGTGATCCGTTTGAATGCGTTCCCCGAGCCCGCTGATGGGCCTGTCTGCGACGTGTAGGTCGGTTTTGCGGAGGAGAAGAAGCCCGGGAAGGCGGCTTTCACGACGGGTCGCATCATGGGCACGCAGGAGTTGGTAATGGCGAGGGCTGGTTCCGCTACACTCCAAAATGCGGCCCAGATCATGGAGTACGGAAGATCCAGGAAGTTGACTGTCGTGAGGACGCGAATTCGGATGATCGTGATGGCGGAGATACTGTTACTCGCAGTCAGCGTCATGCCCGTTGTCAGGGCGACATCGGTACTTACAACAACCCCAGACAGAAGATACCATACAAGGCAACCTTGGTCGCCGTGGACATCTGCAACTTGTAGATAAAATGGATCGGGAGGATCATGACCATGAAATCGGTGATCAGATTAAACGCGCCGATGGTTGAAAACGCGACATTCTGACTTGCACAGTGGCCCGGCAAGGTCGGGTTCCAGTTCTTTTCAAAGGGCTGGCAGATGAGGAAGATCTGAAGCATGCTCCCGAGCCAGTACGCACAGGCACAGCCCATGACGACCCAAGCGGCGATCCGAAACCCCCGAGTCACGAAAATACGCAGGTAGAAGAAAAGATACGAGATCTTAGCTGTGACCATGGCATTATAGTAGATGACTTGATAGATGATAAGCATCTGGTAGAATTAATTCATCTGCTCGTTCTGATGAGTGACGGAACACGCTTACCTTGAACACCAAGATCGTATTCTCAGGAGGAATTTCATCAACATGGTATCGCATTCCCACTCGAGCATAATGATAATGCATGGCCAGCATGCCATAAGTATGCAACTATTCCCATCAGCTTAATTCTATATCCGAAAATGCCGGTTGACCTACCATCGAAATCACACAAAACGCATCATCCCACCACAAATGACTGTCGCGAATCCGCCGCGAGACGAACCGCAGAACCAAAGCGATGGTACTGACAGCCGTCAGCACCGTGTTCGCTATGAGCTGATTCCGCACGATCGCATGGTCAAAGACATTGTAGAACTTGATGGCCATGCCGTCCGCAAAGGCGAGCACACAAAACGACCTCAGGGACCATACGTGCAGGATGCAGGGCAAATTTGACAACAGGGGTGTTCGCTACTTGAAGGGCTGCGAATTGTTCGTTCGCAGGAGTTCCCACTGTCCACATGAAAAGATCATCACAACACGAACGGGTCTGGGCCGTCTGGCAGCGTGCATCATTGCCGAACATGGGTTTCCAAGGCTGTGGATCCGAACAATCTGCTTCGGGATCCCAGCGTGCGGCCATATCCCGCTGTCCATTTTGGCAGAATCAAGGCGAAAGAAATTCGTCAGGCACCTTGAGCAGTCTGGGCAAGTGATCTTCGAGGGTCACTAGTGCTCTTAGCAACGCCTCTAACGCACTAGTTAAACGGCCGGCGTCGTGGAAGACCCGCTTGTCAACCACTTTGACAAGGCACAATCGAGTGAGAAGCGGTAGAGGCGGCGGGGACGTAACGTGCAATGCCTGAAATAGCAATTGGCTGATCCATAATAATAATTTTATTACTCCAGTGCCGTGAATGCCGTTTTCGAGTGTCGGGCCCCAAATTTCGCTTAGGCAATGGTGGTGCAATTATGGTGCCCACCGCCGGAACTCGTTATAGGGATCGGGGTCCGCTGCATGAGTCGTGCTACTCCTCGGAGGTTATTTTGGATCCGTTCGTGTACTCCTGGTTCTTCGATTGGCCCTCACTTCTCTATTGGAATTGAAGGACTTCATCTCAAATTTTCCCCATGGCAGACCTTAAATCTTCATATGAGTATATAGTGGTAGGAGCCGGGATTGGCGGGCTAACGGTCGCCTCCCGTCTAAGCGAAGACGCCGATGTCAATGTGCTCCTGGTCGAGGCGGGCCCAAACCGCATTGGAGACCCGCGAGTCGAAACTCCGGGTTTCATCGGGCTTCTCTATGGCAATCCCGAGTTTGACTGGGATTATATGAGCGAGCCGCAGGTATGCCGTCACCAACATTCCAGAAATGGTGCCATTCTAACCTTCCGGTTACCAGGTCCATGTAAACAATCGACAGATCGGCCAGCCTCGCGGCCGCATGGTCGGGGGCTCCTCAGGCATGAACTTCTCCCTCATCATGTACCCCTCGGCAGCCAATTTCGGAGCATGGGAGTCCCTCGGAAACGATGGCTGGGGCGCCGAGACCATGGCCCCGTACCTGCGAAAATTCCACACCTATACTTCCCCAAGCGAAACCACGTCGAAGTTGTTAGCGACAGACCGATATCTGAAAGAACATGATCAGGGAACAAATGGCCCGCTGCCAGTGACTTTGCCGGACGTATATGGTCCATTCAACGAGGCATGGGATAAAGCATTCGAGCAGTTGGGGTTCTACACCGATGCGGATCCCATTGCCGGTCGCAAACTGGGCGCATTCACATCGCTACTCTCTGTTGACCCCAATACGGGCAAGAGAGGCTACGCTGCGGATTATTGTACCCCTGAGGTTCTGCAGCGGCCAAACTTCGATCTTATCTCGGACACCATGGTAGAGCGGGTCTTGCTAAACACTGAAGCTGACGGCGAGGTCGTCGCTACTAGTATCCAGGTTCGCACAAAGGACGGCAATCAACAGCAGATTTCCGCCAGCCGAGAAGTCATTTTGAGTGCTGGTACTCTCAACTCGCCTCAGCTCTTGGAACTGTCGGGTATTGGTTCGAAGGAAACTCTGGAAAAGCATGACGTTCCGGTGATTCTCGATCGCCCAGGAGTTGGTGAAAACCTTCAAGACCACGCCTTGACCACTCTCAATTTCGAGATAGCAGACGGACAAGTGTCTGGAGACATTCTGCGGGACCCCAACGTCCTCCAGTCTGTCATCAAGCTTTATGAGGAGACTCGCGGAGGTCCTTTGGCGGGAATGCCCATCAGTGTGGCTTACCTCCCCATGGTAGACCACGAGGGCAAACTCTCACAAGAAACGGTAGAAGACCTCCTAGCCAAGCATCTGGATCAGGAGGCGGCCTCGCCCACACTTCAACGGCAATATGACGTGCAGCGAAAAGTCATCCTGGATAGTCGGAACTCCTCTTCGGAATACATTTTCCTGCCCGCTCAACTGCACATGAACCCCGGTGCCACGACAATGCAAGATGTGTTGGCCAAGACCTTGCCGGGAAACTACATCAGCATCATGACCATGCACAACCACCCCTTCTCTCGAGGATCGGTGCATATCCGATCGTCCAAGGCGGACGACAAACCGATCTATGATCCGAACTATCTGTCGCATCCCCTAGACTTAGAGATTCTCGCGCGCCACACACAGTTCGCGGAACGGATTGCCACGACCGAGCCGTTTGCTTCGCTGCTCAAACCGGGCGCTCGGGAACCGGAACACGCCGCCGACCTATCGAATCTCGACAAGACGAAAGAACTGGTCAAAGAGCGCCTCTATCACTGTTTCCACCCAGTCGGAACGTGCGCCATGATGCCTGCAGACCTAGGCGGCGTGGTAGACCCCGAACTCAAGGTCCACGGAACACGCAACCTCCGAGTGGTGGATGCCAGTGTGTTTCCCCTAGAGCCCACAGGCAACATCCAGGCCCTCACGTATGCTGTGGCTGAACGGGCGGCCGACATCATTCGCCATAGCCGTTAGATCATTGGAGGATAAGGGCCGGTGATGCAGGGGAGGTGGTCAGGCAATGGACAGAATGAGGTTGTATTCTAGGCAGGCAGGATCCACAGCAAGGGGGTCGTAGTGGAATGTGGCATTACCGCATTCAGCGAAGCAGGACTCCATGTTCGACCCATTAGCATCCACTCAGCCATAGACAGCTCATGGCAATCTCCACGGGAGAGAACAAAGATACTACCTTCATCCGCTGTACCAGCAATGGAGATCGCGTGAACCATGATCACTTCCATTGTACCCCGCCGTACTTCCAATAATCTATCGCCATGTCCCCATGTGGAGGCCGGTTTCTGGGGACGTTCACATTCTCTCCATCTGTGGAATGCGAACTGACGTCGTATGGCATGGGTAATCGCAATGATTGTTTCCCCGCTTAACAAAGTCCCTTGATGATCTGGCCGTGGACATTTTCTTTATCCTCACGTTGCTTCCCTCGTTTGACACCCGGTATGAGCCGACCACTTTCGCCATCACCATGCGACATCTATGGCATCTCGTTCTGACGCTGCTGGTCAGTGTCCAGGCCATTGATCTACAAGTAGACGACCAGGGTATGTCACAATCATAACAACCAGCAGAATGACCAGCAACTCACCCCTCTAGAATCGGTCAAAAAGGCCTGCAAAGCAGTAGCCAAAAACATGCTCTCGTACTACACCGGCATGAACCCGGGCGATGTTCCAGGCAACCTTCCAGATCCATATTACTGGTGGGAGGCCGGCGCCATGTTCAACGCTCTGATCGATTACTGGTTCTACACGAATGACGACACTTGGAACGACATCACCATGCAAGGGTTGCTGTGGCAAGCAGGCGACGACGGTACATTTATCCCGGCGAACCAATCTCGCACCGAAGGCAACGATGATCAAGCCTTTTGGGCGTTCGCCGTCATGTCGGCTGCAGAGCGCAACTTTCCCAATCCGCCGGACGATAAGCCCGGGTGGCTGGCCATGGCTCAGGCCGTATTCAACACTCAGGCTTCGCGATGGAATACGGAAACTTGCGGCGGAGGACTGAAATGGCAGATCTTCACGTGGAATAATGGATATAACTATAAGAACACGATTTCGAATGGCTGCTTTTTCAATCTCGCGGCTCGTCTGGCTAAATACACCGGCAACGACACTTATGCGGAATGGGCTGAACGAGCGTGGGACTGGACATCCTCGGTCGGATTTATGACGGACGACTACCGGTTCTGGGATGGTGCAGACGACGACAAGAATTGCACCAATTTCAATCGAATTCAATGGACGTATAACTCCGGGGTATACCTGCTGGGCGCAGCGACCATGTTCAATTTTGTGAGTTCATACTATGCTGGAGTCTATCACTCGGGGCTAACTTGATCAGACCGCCGGTGATCCTGTCTGGAAGAATCGCACGCAGGGCATCCTCGACGCCTCAGACATTTTCTTCGTCAACGAGCCCAAGAATGTCATGTACGAACGAGCGTGTGAGCCGGTCGACACCTGCGAAGTGGATCAGCGCTCTTTCAAGGGATATCTGGCCCGCTGGATGGCCTCGTCCACGCAGATGGCACCTTTTGTATTCGACCAGGTGATGGGCAAACTGAGACCGTCGGCCAGTGCAGCAGCACGGACTTGTACGGGCGGGTCAGATCAGGCCAGCTGTGGGTTAAAATGGAGCACCGGGAAATGGGATGGCATGAAAGATGTCGGGTTGCAGATGAGTGCATTGGAGGTAATGCAATCGACACTCATCAGTCGCGTCGATCCACCAGTCACAAACGACACCGGAGGAACCAGTAAGGGTGATCCTGGAGGGGGATCAGACCCGCCTGTCGCTATCCCCCATGCTCTCTCCATGCCTATTAGTACTGCAGATCGTGCGGGGGCCGGGATCTTGACGGGTTTGATGGCCATGTTCTTGATAGGTTCGACTGGCTGGTTGATCACTGAGTGAAACAAATCTGGATGTTCAAGAAGACTGGCCTCTCTGTCTATTTCGAATAATATTAATACACGACCATAATATAAATGAAACGGTTGCCAAAGTTGGTGATGATATTCTATGCGCCAAGCGTCCACTCGGATATGCGGATATAGACGTGCATGATACATCCGATGCTAAGAACGCAAGGCAACAGCTTCCTCCTCCTGTTCAACAGGATTAGGTGAGGGGAATGCCTGTCGGTGGCGGAGAGTTTCCGCCATTGACCTCGGATATGCTCTTTGCAAGGTTCTGAACAAACTCAAATGACATGCTTATATGTAGGTGCCTTCGAGGGCTCTGTTCAAAGTTAGCATGCCACAAACTCACTTCCCAAACTTTGAAAACTCTTCAACATGACTCCTGTATTTTCTGCGCCCGAATTTGAAATTCCGACCCATTGTAAGGCCGGGGTGGTCATCAACGAGGGTCCGGATTTCGAGATCCGAGTAGAAATGGTACCAGTTCCCGAGCCAGGTATGATTCCATCTACCTATACTTGTTCTCCACGAAACCAGAGTCCTAATCTAGGCAGGTCCGGATGAAATTTTGATTCGATTGAACGCGACCGGACTTTGTGTGTCCGACATTCACTTGATGCAAGGTGATATAGGCGCCCCACCGATGTCAATGTTTGGAGTGCGCTCGCCAGGCCACGAAGGTGCTGGCGTTGTCGTTAAGCTCGGGGAAAATGTCAAGAATTTCAAGCTGGGGGATCGTGCAGGAATACGGCCGCTGATGGACACATGCGGTGCATGCGAGCTTTGTTGGGATGATAAAGACCAACACTGCGCCACCAGCGTGCATACTGGGCTTATGACTGCTGGTGAGTAACAGTGCACCTATCATCAATCGGATTGCTAATTCACAGGCACCTATCAACACTACATTGTTGCACCTGCGCGATACTCGTCCCCAATCCCCGACGGTATACCGGATGTGGTCGCCGCTCCGATCATGTGCAGCGCAACCACCATGTATCGCTCATTGACCGAATCCGGCCTCAAACCCGGCAACTGGGCAGTGTTTCCTGGCGGCGGAGGCGGCGTGGGGATCCAAGGCGTACAACTAGCCAGAGCCATGGGCATGCGCCCAATCGTGATAGACACGGGAGCAGCTAAAAAGGCTCTGGCACTAGACATGGGAGCAGAGGCATTCATCGACTTCGCCGAAGTGCCAGACGCCGCTGCGGCCGCCATTGAAAAGGCAGATGGCATTGGAGCACACGGCATCTTCGTCACTGCGCCAGCGGCTTATAAGTCCGCACTCTCGTATGTCGGCAAACGCATTGGCGCTATCCTCATGTGCATTGGGCTGGGTCCGGTCGGTTCTCTCACGGTCGGGGATGATCCCAACGCTTTTGTCTTTAAGAATCTGACCGTGAAGGGGACGTTGGTCGGCAGTCGTAAGGATACGGCAGCAGCGCTGGATTTTGCCAGACGGGGCCAATTGAAGGATATCAGCGAGGTGATCGGGATCGATCAATTGCCAGAGGGAGTAGAGAAGCTTCGCAAAGGGCAGGTGGCCGGGCGAATTGTGGTGGACTTCAATTTGAAGGAATGACAGAGACACGAGTATTAGCTTCGATTAAAAACCAGAATTGGGGTGAATTGTATGTAACATTGTAGATGAAGGATGAGTAAATTTATTGAATAAAATGGTCATTTGGGAAAGTGATGAAGGCCACTGGAGGGAGAGGGAGGGAAGAAGATCAAAGAGAAAAAAGCATGCCGATAGGTAATGGAAGACGCTGTAAAAACAAAAAGAAAGGAACAGTGAATGGAGAGGCGGGGAATCGAACCCCGGACCTTTCCCATGCTAAGGGAACGTTATACCACTAAACCACATCCCCTGTTCGGTGAGAACAGTACCATTTATTTGCGACTATAATTCAGAGTTGCCTAGTGCGATTCTGGTTGTCATCGTCGTTTTATGCTGCTTTAAGCCACTGTATGCCGCGCATGTTCTCATGCTCCCTGGGTTGAAATACTCGGTAGTGTTCAAAAAATTCCACATGATCTCACTTACAATGCTATTTTCCACGATGAAACTGCGGTCAGGCCCAAATTGAAACCTAATATTTTTCAGTGAGTTCTTCACGCCAGCTCGTGAAATAATGATACTGTCCGGTTTATATATTTCTGCCATGGCCGGTAGAGCACATAATGAGTACCACCAACGCAAAGCACACAATTAAATGACAATCTATTATCAACAAACATTCTAAATACCCTTCGAATACAATCTCGACCCGGTTCCTACATCCTTCAAAATCCCCTCCTTGCCCAAACCCGCCACCAAATCTGCCAAAACATGATCACATCCTCTCGCCATCTGCAACGCCACGCTCACAGGCAAATACTCCGTCTTCAATGAGATCGTACTGTTGTACGGGGACTCGCCCAAGGGAACCACAACTTCCGGAGAACCTGAGAAGACAGCGATGCGCCCGAGCGAGAAACCCAGTGGCGGCGGCCCGGGAGACTCGAAGTACTCATTGCGGTAGTCAGTCTCGCCGGCCGAGTAGATGGTAACAAAGAGACCCTCGGAGCAGGAATCGGCGTCTGAGCGCCCGTAGCCATCTTTCTCCCACCAAGTACGGAACTGCGTCATGTTGCGCAGGGCGACTTCGTAGGAGGCGTTGCCGCCGTTCGACTGGCCCCAGTTCCACCGGGCGAGAGGGCCCGGGTTGATGAAGGGTTGACGGCCGCCGTTGGCGGCGGCGTAGTCGGCGAAGAGAGGAGTGGCGAGGTGGTTGTATTGGTCGACGGAGGTGATGGTGGCGTAGGTGAGGTCGAGGAGGTCATCGAGACTGGGAGTGGAGGAGGAGTGGGTTTGGTTCCAGCGCCGAGAGAGGTCAATGGTAGTGTGGTTGGTTTTGAGAAATTTCTCGACCTGCTGAACGAACGTGTTGAGGAGGCTGTGAGCTTCGGGGGTCATGTCCTCCCCGTCCCAGCCGTCGCCGCCGAGGTAGAAGTTGCGAGGCAAGGAGGTGTAGTTGTGCCGGAAATGGGGATACCATGCGCGAGTCACTTGAGACCAGAGGGCGGGAGTGCGAGCGAAAACACCGGCCGTGTCGAGTTCGGGGGAGAGAGGCAGTACGTGCTCGAGAGAGATGGCACCCGTGGAGGGACGATTACCGTAGACTCCCTGCACGGAGGCAGGAGAGCGCACGGAACCGCCAGTGTCGCTTCCAACCGTGATGTCGAGCCACGAGTAGGCCGCAATTGCGGCACCAGAGCCGGACGAGGAGCCGCTGGGGGCCTGATATCCGTCACCACGGGGGTTGAAGGGGCAGTGGAAATCCACCCAGTCGGCTGTAGGTCGGTCACCGTTGGCAAATTGCACCGTACCGGTCTTGCCCACAAAGATGGCACCCAGATCAACTAGCCGTTGAATAGATGGTGCCGTGACATTCTGAGTTCCGTATAGATAATAGTAGGATCGACTTCCGCCGCTGGTCTTGAGACCCTCCACATGGAAAATGTCCTTGACGCCCAGTCGCAGTCCCGCTAAGGGCTGCTTGGGAGTTGGTGTGTAGTACAGACGAGACGGCACAGCCACATCTTTGGTCATGGCGTTTTCCGTGATAGCTGACAGGGGTAGAAAACCACCGTCTTCATCGCTGATGGCAGCCTGGATAAAAGCAACGTTGTCGTCGGGGTATAGTCGGTATGCCCGGAACACCTTTCCAGTGGACGCAGACACAAAGTATGGGCCGGTAGGAAGAGCCTTGCTCGCGCTAACGGATATCACACTATCAGAGGTGGCAGCAAGACCAGGCCCTGTCAAGAGAAGTTTCGTTCCCTCCGATTTTAACTTGGAAGCATACTCGCTGATCGAAATGCTTCTGGTATCATTAGAGATTGGGGTAAGGAGAACCGTCCGCAAGAATTCAGATTGAAAGACATCATCGCGTGTGCTGAAATCGGATAGCAGAGAACTGATCTGAGTGGAAGGAGAGACAGGAATAACCGTGAGCGGAACGATGTCAATCCCCTCCGTCAAGGACTGGTCGAATAGAGAGGAGTTGTGTCCCTGCAGGGTAGACACAGGAATCCCGCTGAGGTAGTAGGGAATGCCATTGAGTGAGAGGGTCTGGCCATTGGGAACGGCAGCCCCAACGGCAACGACGGCCAGGGAGAGGAGAGTTCCTAGATGCATGAAGAGAAGTGGTTGCCAATTCCATGGAGATGGTGCACCGGGCTAGTAGTTACTTATATAGGTAGTTTGGGTAACATCGAGGACATTGCTAACTAGTTAGATATTGATCTGACTCAGCCCAGGTTTAATTTCCGGAAGGATCTACGACTTGGAGATAGCTTGACTGTAGCGTGCAGGCTCTTGGCCGATATCATTTTGTTTGGTACCTCCTTATCGGGGCGAGGATCTGCTCTTCAGCGAGCCGACATTCCCGGCATGATGGTATTCCGCATAAATCAGGCAGCGCACTGACATGATGATCGGCAATCGGGACGACCTTGGGGAATAAATTAGAAATAAACTGATAACAGATAGCGAGAGGAAAATAGAGTGCCTTATCTCCGGCGCAACCGCCCGACGCCAAGGCGTTAATGCGTCTTGGCTGTGGATTATTAGCCATTCAGCAAAGGTACCTGCAGTTGGAGAGTTGGAGTCATGAAATTTAGTGGCAGAAATCTCCGTGGTCGGTGATAGGGGGCCGTGGCTTCGAAGGAACGTAGTATTTCTGGTAGTTGGTTGTTATCGCCGTTCAAAAAACATTCATCGCCTTGCTCAACCGATTGCTCAACCGATCGATTCATTGCATTTATATTGCATAATATCGGCTTCATTTCGCGTGAGATAGGTGTTAGAAATCAGACCTTGATTATAAATCGACCGATCTGTCATTTTTTTGTCTATAAACAACATGATGTTCGAGAGCTCTAATAGACTGGCATTTTCCCATTATCACCGTGCCGTAAGACTACAAAGGCGACTAAAAAATTGAGGCAAGAAATGAATCATGGAATTTTAACCCAAAACTTCATGGTAGAACTTGGTCTTACTACTGAGATACATAAGAAGAAAATCTTTGGCATTAGGGTAGTAGTAGCAGTAGTATTGACTAACGTCCAAGCAGGAGAAGGTGGAGCCAGATGACCCTTAGTATATACCTCGAACTTACCTCACCTGCTGACCTCCCGTGGGGTATTCAGGCACGTGCAATACTAAAAAATATCTAAGGGATGTTATGTGTTGCCTATTCCCTACGTATGGCTGGGCTCCACTGAACTTAATCGGCAGGCTCCGAAGAGTACTGAGTCAGTCCAACAACAAACCTGCATTTTCAACTATATTTCGCGCATAACAACCTCGTAATTATGAAAGATTTCGATAGCCTTCCAGACTTTTCAGGATCTAAAGACCTCATTGGTTTACTATAACTATATACCCCTCTCTCGGGTTCATCTGTTCGCTCCGAAGAAACTCATATCAATCATGGCAGCCCTGTCAGAGCTACCGACGGAGACTCTCATCCATATCTTTTCGTTCATTCCTTCTTTCTCTGATTTGATAAGCGTGTCGAAAGTCTGACGAATGCTGCCAACTGAGGAATATTGCGCGTTCTGCTGGGTTCCTGGCCCATAAGCAAGACCAAATGATGCAAGTATTCAGCTCTCCGGGGATCTAGGGGAGGCGAATGTCATTTCTGGTACACTCATTAACCGCACTGATTATGTCTGTCTCCCCTATCCTTGAGACTTTGGTCATACCGGACATCTTCAGTGAGCAGGCCTGGAATAGACTCGGTGGGGAAGACGATCTCGAGTCGCCTCTTCTTTTGCTGCTACGTCGCGCCAATACCGAGCTTTACCATAATGCACCTTCATACGCATACCATCTTCAACGCATCCATTGCATCATGGTCAAAACCTTTATGTATCGCAATGAAGTATATTACCACAGAACAGACTCGCTTAGGGGTATGCACCCAATCGACCATATTGCAAAACAGGCTGGAGATGCGTGGTTGGCGTTTGTACGGAATAAAAACTGGATCCCCTATTTTACTACTGAACCCCCGGTAGTCCAAATCTTCAGCGGACCAAATGACACCTTGTGTCGGACTCTGCTGAGGTGTGGTGTATGGGACCGGGGAGAATTGCAATTTGCCCTACATAGAGCAATTTCCGACGGAAAAGTTGCCAGTATCAATCCGAGATCCTTGTTCTAGGCCTAAATTGGGGAAAAAGAGGAGATAGAGATCCCTGAGGTGGTCCTAGAAGGTGATAATCGAGGCTTTGACTCTTATGACGATGGCGTTGGTCAGGAGGATGCATGGTGCGCAGGATCACCACTCCCGCATGAAAAACCCGATCTGGATGAATCTTGGGAGAATCGCCCAGGCGCCGGCTTTTGGGAGCGCAAGGGCTCCCTCAAAGACTTCACGGCATTGAAGTATTTGGATATTGGCGTTCATCTCTTGTGGCTCTTTGCAATCGGCCTGGGAGATCCGGGGTGGAAAGTGGAGGAAGGATTTTCCCTGCTCGATAGTCTGCCTCCCAATCTCGAACATCTTTCCATCAGAGGCTATTTTAGAGGACAGTTCGAAAGGCTTGACAAGCTCATTCAAAAACTGACAACAGAAAGACACAGGCAACCCCCGAGCTTGAAGACTCTCAAGGGTATCGACTAGAGAAGGACAATCAATCACTCAATCACTCAATGAAAATTCTATTAACCTGATAAAGCCGATCTATTGAAACGACAGGCTATGCAGGCGCTTTGCTGAATAAAACAGAATCTTACATACTGTACGTCATATAAATCCTGTAGTGCAGTAGACAATCAAAAAGCACACTACGACGCAGTCATAACCCACCCGCAGGCAATCCGCTACGTCGCCGACTTCAAGCAACGAACAGGCCTTCTCTAACAGTTCCGCTTCGCTACTTTTTATAACGAGGAGGATAAGGAGGCTCTAGAGCCTAGCACTCTCTTAGAGGGATTCATTCTAAATGAGGAAGATGATAGTAGAAAGAACGGTAGGAGCCCGTCAGTCTTGACTAGCCACTGTAACGCGCGCAAACGAGGTTTGGTACACACGTGGTAGGCACGCAGCAGTTGATTTAGTTATATTTGCTTTTTAATTTATCTGCTGTATTTAAGGGTTTGTATATGTATAGACTTGAGATTCTACTACATTTGGTGAAGTTCCTGCATAGCTTAGCATTTCAATGGATAGGCCTAATAGAATCTTGATTGATTGTTAGATTGATTGATTGATGATAAATACACGAGTTACGCATTTGTATATTGAGCTAGAAGATCATCCGCTATATCTTCGACGTCCCTCCCGTTAATAATGTCACATTGTAAGATAATATCCGCATTTGGCGTAGGGTCAGGGTTCCACTCCGTGGACAATTCCTGCTTCTTCCTCGGCCTTTTATGAATGTGGTGGGTATGGGCGAATAATTCCTCCTGGAAGGCCTGTGAGATCAACCGCTTAACTATAATACAGTTCGAATCATGCTGTGGGCGGATTTATAAGTTAGTAGCAGAACCAAAAGCGATAGTGAACGGACTTACCTCATCTTCCATCCAAGGTAAGTTGTATTCATTCAAGGTCTCAGGACGCATATACTGCCGTGGTACCTGAATACAAGATATTAGCATATATTCGAGCGTAGGACATCATGCTTGCTGCTATATAGTACTGAACTAACCTTAGTCCACGTATCGACTTTTTCACCTTGGTTATTCTCACCCCGACCGATATCCTTACTCTTGTCCTGTGACTCGCGGCTTACTTTAACCACCGCAGTCAGAGCCCTCGCCCTAACATGTGCCACATCATCGATGAGTGGAAGAGTCTCGCCTAAGTGAAGCCACTCGAGAATTGCATTGCCAAGTTTTGAAGGGTCATTAGCTGTACATGGAGAGGCTTGTAGTGCTTCATTCTCGCTGGTGGTAAGCGCTAGAAGGCGACTGAGAACGGTATCGGTAGAAGTAGACTTCCATGCCTGTAGCTGCCATTGAGCTGATTCCTGAGAAATTTGAATGACTCGGTTTACATATTCAATATGGATTTTGCGATCTTTGATGCACGCCACGGGGGAGAAGGCGCGGACCTCAAGGTACTCCTTCAGAGGAAGCAGCCTTGGGTACTGTGAGTTAGAAACCCGGAGATTACGCCGTTCGGGATTGATAATACTTACTCTGCTCGATGTTGAGATTTCGACTGAAGGGGGCTTTCAATCGGCGGAGATAAATACTGCACATTGGCCTTGGCCTCCTCGACAAAAACGGTTGTGTCATCTTGATCATCAGCGCATGAGCGGGCTTCTGATGCAGACGCGAAGCTCTGCTGCTCCAAATCAACGGGTCGCACGTCTGATCTTTCAATTGCGTAGTTTGAGTCTCTGGTCATTCAGTGTCAATGGGATATCCAGGAAACAGTTGGGGAAAGTAGATTCACATACAGCGAAGTCTCTTTAATGGAGTCATGCTCAGAAATGTGGTTCTCACTGGCTTGATCTGCCGCCACAACGATTGTTTTCGAAGGGAGAAATCTCTTGCAAAACCTGGACAGACAATTAAGCTTTGTATCCTCCGGATAGTCATCAGCGGCTTTGGTCTTATCTGCCTGAGGCAGGTTGTTTAAATGCGCGACAGAATCGGGCACATTGTTTACTTTCGCGCCCTCGCTAGATGGCCGGAATGCTTCCGGTTTCTTCTGATATGCTGCCGCAATGGACAAAACGAGCAACTTCTCATCTGTTTTAGATAAATGAGGAAAAGTGTTAAACTGCGATCGTGGCCCCCTATAGGTATGGATGTTAGTCAATGATTACTTTCCTATCAAACTTTCGTATCGCCACCAGGACTTACCCTTCGGCCGCCCTTCTTGAATAGCGCAACATAGCAAGTTGTAGCATCAGAACCAACGTCCCCTTCACTTCCCTCAACTGACCTCGTAGGGCCTCCGTTTCCGGCTTCAGGAAAGGCCATTTCACCATCGCCAGCCGGGCATGTTGGTGCTGTGCCGGTGTTCGAGAAGTTGAATTAGACCGCGTGCTCACTCGCTTTATACCTTCGTTGAGTGTGTCAAAGACTCCCCTGCATTGCTCGGCATGCTTCAGAACAGTCGTAAGTCCAACTGGGTTGAAAATACCATTTCTCGGCCGGTTGTGTTTGGGATCGTGGGAATTAGCGACCAGGCTCAGGTTCTCATCGTGGTCGCCGTTATCGTCTTTCACCGTGGATTGGTTATTTCTCTTGCCATCTTTGACAAAGTCGCCGAGTTGCAGCAATATACTCGCGTTCAGAGACACCTCCTCGGCTATATGCGTTATTTCCTCCTCTGCAGAGTTGTCCTGGCTGGCGAAGGTTAGCAGCTTGATGGAGCATTGCACTCCAGTTGTAGCGATCTCAAAGATCGCGGACGCAGCCCCGATCGCTTCCATTATTTCGAGTGATCGTGAGTGTGAAAGAACTTGTCTTGCTGAGTTTCCCGCAAACCCCAGAATTAAGGCCCGACGAAGGCTTTAGGTCAGGGCACCCAGCGACACGTGGACATGCATCACACGTGGAGCAGGGCTAAGTTCTGGTGCATCTGAGAGGATATGAGGTTTTTCTTAGTGAATTTCGTTTTCATCATGCACAGTACTTGATTTGAATAGACGTTGCCAGGCAAATAAATCACTTTGCTTTGTGGGCTAGTATTGTTAGCCATGACAGTTGAAAGCTTTCTCTTTTGTCCCTCAGGCACAAATTGAAAAATAGTTGATGGGGCGAATCGGTCCAAGCTGGCCACGCGCTGTTCGCCTCATTATATTTGTTGGTTGACAACACATGATACAGTCCACATATAGAATTCCTACCTTTGATCTAGAAAAATGAAGTACACGCACGAGGCTCCTTCACAAATGACCGGTTTCCATCCCTTCTGGCGAGCCTCGGCGCCCAGACATCCCCGTTGTTGCCTCAGGCTGCTGACAAAGCGCGCCTCGATTCTCCTAATAACAGCAACAAAAACAACACGAAAACCAACTCTCCCTCAAGCAACCTACCAACAGACCCCTTTGGCCCGGTATATCTCCAACATGTCAGTCAAACCAACACCATCCGACCTCCCAATCCACCCCTTCCCATCCGCCAAGGAATTCGAATCCTTTCTCGAGCGCGAACATTCCACCGCCACAGGCTTCTACCTCAAGCTTGCCAAGAAAGCATCAGGCATTCCATCAGTCTCTGCCGCCGAGGCCGTCGAAGTGGCACTATGCTTCGGTTGGATTGATGGACGAGCTAATCCGTTCGACAAGGATTGGTGGCTGGTGCGATACACGCCGCGACGGGCGAAGAGTATCTGGTCACAGAAGAACGTCCAGACCGTGGGACGCTTGATCGATGAAGGCAAAATGCGACCCGCAGGATTGGCAGTCGTCGAGGCTGCGAAGAAAGATGGACGCTGGGCTCGTGCTTATAGTGGACCGGCGAATATGACAGTCCCCGATGATCTTGCTGCCGCGTTAGCTGCCGAACCTACCGCGGCCAATTTTTTCGAGGGATTGAACAAGACGGATCGCTATGCGGTGCTGTGGCGGGTAGAAACTGCTTCTCCGAAAGTGCGAACTAAACGAATTGAATCGTTAGTGCAGGTGCTGGCGGAGGGCAAGAAGCCCGGGGAATCGGCAAAGGCGACCCAGAAGCGGAAAGCCAGCGCTGATGTAGACGAAGAAAGTTCCAAGAAAGAGGTTTCTGTTCCGGAAAGTAAAGCAAGACAGCCTCGACGTGCTGGACTTCGCAATCGGAAGTGATTTGCAGCCACTATTTTGCATTAAAGGACCTGGAGACTACGCAAAAGCAAAAGCCACTAGTCGGAACATTGGCTTTGTTGTATGATTACTTCAAAATTTCTTCGATATTCGATCACTCTCTGCCTATTGATTAGGTATTTCGTTAAAGCGGCGCGAGCTTTGCCGCCGACAATAATGCCGCTAAGGCGAATTTACTGTGATAATTTTAGCGCCAAAGGTCCGATGATCCTTTAGTTTGACATGTCAGAAGCTGCAATGGCAGTTACTTAATTGACTAGACAAGCTCATTGAGGAATAGGGGTCCCACCACTCGAATCCTCCCATGTCTAAAATTCCTTTAGCTCCGTGAGATGAGGGGAAAATGGACTGAAAATAGCCTACATTGGGTTGCGCCATCTTCCAGGTGGAGTGCAACCAACATAGACTAATAACTTGATTGCCAGTCAGCCATCCGCCGGCCAATGCATTTCTGCCCATAAATAAGCTGGGGTAGGAGTCTCCTGCTCTAAACGCCCTCCGCTTCTCTTGTGGACCGACTACACCTGCTAAATAAACTATGGGTATTATTCTGAGTACATTGGCCGGACTCGTCATTTTTCGTCTCCCGTATGAATATCAACGCGACCGGGGATTACCCCCTGGCCCTCGCAGACTGCCATTCATCGGCAACATCCACCAAGTCCCCCAAGTGGTCCCATGGCGCACCTTCGACGACTGGAGCAAGAGGTATGGGCCTATTTGGAGCGCCCAATTTGGACGACAGACAATCATCATGGTAGCCGATGCTGCCATTGCCCGTGAACTGCTGGACAAGCGAGGTAGCGTATATAGTGATAGACCACGAATGGTCATGGCCAACGAAAACGTGACCAAAGGCATGCATCTCCTGGTGCGCCATTACGACGACCGCTACCGACTACACCAGCGCATGGAAGCGCCCGTGCTAAGCCCTCGAGCATCGTCTACGTATCTGCCGATCCAGGACCTAGAGAGCAAGCAGCTTCTTCACGAATTTCTCGGATCGAACAACTTCCATAAGATCATCGAGCGATACAGCTTTAGTCTAATGTATGCGTTGACCTACGGATTTCGACTAGAAACCGGGGACGAGCCTGAAATCCACTCCGCTCGGGAAGTCCTCAGCAATTTCGTATACGCCGGCCGACCGGGCACCTGGATCGTGGACGCAATTCCAATTCTCAACAAACTGCCAGCACCCTTCGCTCCTTGGAAAAAGGAAGCCGAACGACTCTTCAACATCGAGGCCGACCAGCACATGCGCAACATGAACCGCGCACTAGCCAACGAGCCATGGAACTGGACCAAGGAGTTCTCTAACTCCAAGCAGGCCCAGACCATGCCCCCGGTAGAACTAGCCTACGATCTAGGCATTCTCGCCAATGCCGGCCTGGAAACCACATCTGCCGTGATGCAGATCTTCGTCCTGGCCGCCGTGACACGTCCCCGCTTTGTCGCCATCGCACAGGAAGAGCTCGACCGTGTGATCGGACCACACCGACTCCCTGACTTCTCAGATCGGGAGAACCTCCCGTACATCGGAGCCACTATAGAGGAGACTCTGCGCTGGAGACCGATCCTTCCCGGCGGTTTCCCCCACGCCACGCAGCAAGACGATACGTACATGGGCTATCGCATCCCCAAGGGCGCCACCGTCATTCCGCTCTTCTGGTCTATGATCAGGAACGAGACTGATTTCGAGAACCCGGATGACTTCTATCCAGAAAGATGGCTTGACACGACGGAGGACGGGTTTAGGAATTGGTTCGGGTATGGACGGCGCGTGTGCACCGGGCGACATATTGCCATGAATTCGCTCTACTTGCTCATCGCGCGGATCTTATGGGCTTATAATGTTCATCCAAGGAAGGGATCTGATGGACAACCCGAGAAATTGGATGATATGGCGTTTGGATCGGGGTTTGTTTCAATGCCGGAACCCTTTGATGCGGTTTTTGAGCCTCGACCGCATGCTCAAGAGGTGATTGAGAGGGAGTGGGAGAGCGCGGAGAAGCATCTGACAGTTCTTATGGATACTGTCAAGGAACAGCAGAAAGCTGTTGGGTTGGAATTGCGAGCGAAGGGATAATCTACGACCTTCTTTTCCGGGACGCCATTGTGTATCCAAGTTTAGATATTGCTATTCGAATCTAGTCCACGAGCACTATAGGTATATAATGTGTCGTCTAGCATTGACTGAAAGAGTGAAATGTTGTCAACATGTTCGATCCTGACTCGCTCTTGCAAACAGTACCATCAGCATCGCTGCTTCCCCTGCCAACGGTTGACTCCAGAACTGAGGTGACCGGATCTGATCCAGCGCCAGCCGATAACAGTTCTCTAGTAGTCGACTCCCTGTCGCACGACCATCCGTCTTGAGTCGCAGACCAATCGCCATAGCCATGTATACATGGAACCGCGCCATCGATACCGGTTGTGGATGACCGGGCCCCAGAGGTCTATCGTACGAACCATCGATTATGTCGAGGAATGCGCGAAAACGGCTCTGGTCAACAGGATACCCGAAGGCATGTGCTTTCTCGAAAAAGAGGTCGAGTAAAGTCTCGGCCTCGAATCTCGTAGGGACAGGTGTGGGCCGCACATCGGAAGGCAGGGGTGCGAATGAGTTGAATGATAGATCATCGTCCGGGCTATCGGGTATTGTGATGTTGGGCCCTCCCCAGTCCATGTCCAGACCGAGTGACGAGACCGAGGATCGGCGCGAAATCGACGACTCGGCAACACTAGTTGGCGAGAGATACGGGAGCGAATCGTAGCTGGGCGACGGAGAAGTCGACATCGGGGGCGACAAGGCCAAGCCGAAGTGAGGCGCAATGAGGCCGGCGTCCAGGGTTCCGGACATGGGACTGGACGCCACCGATCCGGCGGATGGCAAAGACGGGGTAGGCGTTAACGAGGTCGGTGATAAACCAGCACAATCGACGATCTCTATACGAGGGATGTCTAAACCGGGGGAATCGAAATCGCCAACAGCATGTTTAAACGGTTCATCACAGGCTATATCCTCGGGATCCTGCCTACCGTCTCCGAATTGAGTATTCAGCGTCAAAGGCACAGGGGGCGCCTTTCTGGCTGGGGATGGATAATCGACACCCTGTACCCCGGGGATTTGAGTCTGAGAAGTAGACACAAACCCCGTACTGAGCTCAACAATCTGCGCTTCGAGCTGCCGAACACGCTGCTCCAGTGCCGCCTGGGTCTCGCTATTCTTGCGCGGTCGCACACAAGCAATCGAGAATCGTCGACAGGTCGCACAGGGCGTTTCACCATCACATCTGATCTTCCTCCTTCGGCAGCGCTCGCAGGCCGTAGCCACTGGTTTTGGTCGGGTAGACCAGGCCCCCACGCTCGATTCGCCTACTGATCTTCGTCGCTCAATCCTGTGCGGATGAGACTCGGGCGACGTGGGCGATACATTCATGATTGCTGAGCCGGGGATGTTTCGTTTTCATGGCTAGACGGAGCGGAAGGGACGTACCGTGATCCGTCACCAGAGAAGCCAGATTTTGAATGGCCGAGCATACCATCTGGTGTCAGGGGTTAGGACCGACGGAATGGATAGGATGGCTGAGCGGATGAGAGAAAAACCCCTGACCACAAGGTTCACGAACACAAGACAGTCGGGGCGCAAAGGAAACCCTCTGGAGAAAATTTTAAACTCTGACCGCAGCAGGTGTTGCGCATTCCTACGCTGGTATTTGCCAGCTTATAGTCTCATGGGCCAGAGATGCCCCGCACAGCGGCGACAAGAGCACTGCCACCGCCGATTACCACTCAGAGGCCCGCTTGCCGACGCAAATCCAATAGAATGCTCATGTCGTACCCGGAGCAACGGCGAGGGGTCCGATTGGTAGAGGAATCTAGTTGTGAAAATGGTGATCAGAAGCTGTCGAAAACGGAGAATTATCCGATCGTCATGGTGCCATTGAGCGTGCCCAGAGGCATGCTGAATAGAAACGGTGTCATGTCGCGTGAATGCGGGTTGCGGGGTGGACTTGGCGATTTGGGATTTGGAAATATTGGATTACAGGGACGATAATTAAGAGATGGACTAGAATAGATGGAGAATTGAATTGAATGCTGGAGATATGGTCTTATATTGAGGGCTCAGGGTTAGGGCATCGCTGTCACGGTCCCCCGCGACTCGGCGGCCTCGAGGATCAGGCATCAGCATTTCTCGCGACTTGCTTCTCCACCATCCGTCCCTTCCTTCTCCCTTCCCTGCTCTCAACTATCGGTACAACCATTGTGCCCTACGCCATATTAATTGGACTTGTTTGTCTAGACTCTCTCTACATGCGTTGATGTCGCCATACTCTTCTCCTTCACCACGCCGTATTCATTGAGCTCTCGGTCAACGCTGCTCGGAGCACCGAATAACATCTCCATCTCTTCCAGCGTTTTCCCCTTGGTCTCCGGGATAAATAAATAGGCCCAGATACCCATACATATCATCAGCGACCCGAAGAAGAAATACGTTCCGTACCCGAGTGAGGTGATCATGTAGGGCGTCGTACGACTAATGATGAACGACCACAGCCACTGATCGCCCGTCGTGATGGCCACGCAGAGCATACGGATATCGATCGGAAAGATTTCAGAGCAAATAACCCAGGTGATACCCTGATGGAAGATACAGGGATGATCAGCCCGTGAAAGAAACAAGGTAGCCGGTTTTCTTACCTGCCAAGTCGCGCAGTAAATCAGACCATACAGATACACACAGACCATGGCAATGTATCCCGCTGCATTTGGTTCGGTTCTTCCAGCTGCTGCAGCTGCGGACGGATCTGCCCTGAAGACATACCCACCGATATACCACATCGGCAAGCTGCCAATGAAGGCGCCCCAGATCAAGCCGCTGCGACGACCAACTTTCTCGACCAGCCACACGCTGAATATCACCATACCGAGGGTCTTTGCGACCCCGTAAAACCCGGTAGCAAACAGCTTGGTGTCGGTTCCCGTAATACCCAGCGTCTCGAAGATGCGCGGGGAGTAGCTTCGCAACCGAGTTAACGATACACTCTGACAAAACTGCCTTGATCCTGTCTGAAACAAAGGAACAGACCCTGCTTACTAGGTGATGATGTTAACACCAGTCAGATTTTGAAATGCCATTAGCAAGAGACCAATCCCGATTCGGTTGCGGGTGCCCTTTTGCCAGAGTCGCTGCACAAAGTACATCGGACTGTGCTTGATTCCTTGGGGAGGCATGCCAACTTGAATTTGCTCGCGGATCTGACTCAGCTCTTCTTGAATGAAGGGGTGGTGACGGTCTAGCTTGCGGATCCAGACCAGGCTTTTCTCTGCCTCATCCCATCGATCTTGCTTGGCGTACCACCGGGGCGTCTCCGGACACCAGATGATTCCGAGCAGGAGAAACGCGCCAGGCAAAAGTTGAAGGCCTAGAGGGACCTGCCACTGAGCCATTTTGGAGGCGGAGATTGTACGATTGACAATATAATTGATCCAGAATCCGCACATCCCACCTCCTTGGGAACATATCTCGAAGATGCCAACAAGGCGGCCGCGGATGGAGGGTGGTGACTGAAACTCTGGTTAGTGTCACGCTGACATGCGAAAATTGAGAAACTCTTCATACTGTCTCAGCAATATACACTGGAACCTGCAGCGACACCGAGCCGATACCTAGCCCTGCAATGACTCGCCCGGTATAGATCATGCCGAGATGACCAGAGGCCGCGGTCTTTATTAGAAGCACTTAGCCTTTGTCAGGGAGGCATTCATACACCAATTTGGTACTGACCATCAAGCTGCCACCCACGCAGAAGACCAAGATCGCCATGATTATTGCCATCTTGCGTCCAAAGCGTTCCGCAAGCGGGAAGGTCAACAAAGATCCAAAGAAACAACCGGCCTGGAATGTGGAGACAATATTTCCTTCCAAAGTATCGGTCGCATGGTCAGACACATGGATGAGACCGAAGTCTCTGCGAAAGGAGTTCAATGCCAAAGTTCCGCCGATCACACTTGTATCGTATCCCACTGCCACTCATCAGAAGCAGATACACGACCTAGGGGACATTGGACTCACTGGCAATAGCTCCCATGCTCACCACCGTCGCAATGAAGTGCACCCTCCAGTTACGCACCTCTGGAGGGTCATTGCTGTTATCTGCATGAAGATTGAAACCCATCTCGAGGTTCCACAAAAGCCAAAACAAAGGTCAATCGTTGCAAAGTTTGGAAGCTTTTCATACAGCAGCCTCAACCTGTCAAACAAATCAAGACCAGAGAAGGCAGCCTTGTGGAGTCAGCTGTGCTTTTTATCGGTGGAGATCCGTCCTATACTGGGTGGCATATACTCCGTCTCTCCGCTACAGCGGCACTCATCACCGTTGGACAGGGCTTGATACCCCGCGCATATACCCCGCATTTCTCTGACTGTGGCGGATTCTCCCTTGCAAACCATATGGTTCTTCACCCGAAACAATAACGAGGAATAAACTCGCTGCCACCCAGGCCACTTATGCACGCGCGGCCTTGGCTCCGCGGTCGGCCTTTGGGAGCTCTCTTGGCGCTCCGCTCGTCGCTGCTGGTTTGTGCGGTGCCGAGCCCGGCGTGCCATGTAAACGGACCATCCGATGGTACATCAAAGGGGGCTGTGCAGCGGTGGCCACGGCGCTTCGTCCCGTGCTTTCTTGTTTTCCACGGATCTCAAGGCTTTTCGAGCTCTCGGTACATAACTCAAACGATGGATTTCGAGATGATATTTGTTTCTGTCTACATTGGCATGATAATCTAATCAGATCAACTGTCAAGATGGTATCCCCAGAGAAAGAGCCAACTTCGTCTGGCCAGGCGTCGGTCCCGACGATTACCTTGCAGGTCCCGGTAGGTGCCTTTGAATCTGCCTGTCAGCTTCGTCTACCTTTGTCTGACGTCTCCTAGGAGGTTTATAGCTCCTGTTCTTCCTCTATCATCGGTGATCCTGACGAGACGGTTTCCTCGGGCGTGTCCTCGCGACAGAGGTCTTTCAGTAACCTGACGGCTATAGATACGACACACACCGGCCGAGATCGAGCAATGAGCGGCAGCACCATGGCACCTGCTAGCCCGCTGCTAGAACTCCCAGACAGCAAAGGCAAACCATCGAGCTCTGGGTCGAGTATTTTCTCATCCAAAGAACAAGAAGACGCACTTCGACCTGATCCCGGATCTGAGAACGATTTCAAAGTCGACAATAATCCCTTCTCATTCTCTCCAGGCCAGCTCAACAAGCTCCTGAACCCCAAGTCACTCCCTGCGTTTGTGGCTCTTGGTGGACTATCGGGATTAGTCAAGGGCCTACGCACCGACGCTACCTCGGGTCTGAGCACCAACGAAAGCGTCGTTTCCGCTCACCATACATCATCAACCGCCAACGGGGGCCCCGAGCCCTTCGCCGACCGAGTCCGCGTATACAAGAACAACTCCCTTCCCGAGAAGAAAGCGACGCCGCTATGGAAACTGGTCTGGTTGGCATACAATGACAAGGTCCTCCATCTCTTGACAGCGGCGGCTGCCATCTCCCTCGCACTGGGACTCTATGAAACATTTGGTGCTCATCACGAACCTGGCGAGCCAATGCCCGTGGACTGGATTGAAGGATGTGCCATTTGCATCGCCATAATCATCGTCGTGCTCGTTGGGTCCCTGAACGACTGGCAAAAAGAGCGGGCCTTTGTACGCCTGAACGCAAAGAAAGAGGACCGGGAAGTCACCGTCGTGCGGTCTGGTAAGACAGTTCGCATTTCAGTCTTTGATGTTCTCGTGGGAGATGTGCTTCATCTCGAACCGGGTGATATTGTTCCTGTTGACGGCATTTTTATCGAGGGCCATAACGTGAAATGTGATGAATCGTCGGCCACAGGCGAATCGGATCAGCTGAAGAAAACGGGTGCGCAGCAAGTCATGGACATGTTGGAGCAAGGACACAGCAAAGCGCACGAGATGGACCCGTTTATCATCTCGGGTAGTAAGATCCTCGAAGGAATCGGCACATGTCTTGTGACATCTGTTGGGGTAAACTCTAGCTACGGCAAGATTCTGATGGCGATGAGACAGGATATGGAGCCTACCCCTTTGCAGAAGAAACTGGATGGTCTGGCAGGGGCGATTGCGAAACTCGGTAGCAGTGCTGCTATCCTGCTCTTCTTCGTTCTGCTGTTCCGTTTCGTCGGTACATTGTCTGACAATCCCAGAAGTGGCTCTCAGAAAGCTTCGCAATTCACAGATATCTTGATCGTGGCTATTACGGTGATTGTGGTTGCTGTTCCGGAGGGTCTTCCCCTGGCAGTTACCCTGGCGCTGGCTTTCGCAACTACTCGCATGGTTAAGCTCAACAATTTGGTGCGCGTGTTGAAGTCTTGCGAAACGATGGGAAATGCGACAACCGTCTGTAGCGATAAGACTGGCACTTTAACTCAAAACCGCATGACAGTTGTCACTGGAGTTTTCGGGGACGATCACTTCGACGATAAGAACCAGACCGGGAGCGAGCGACGGTCGGGTGCTTTTGCTGCTGATATGGCTAAGGATCACAAGCAGATACTCATTCAGTCAGTCGCCATTAATTCGACGGCTTTTGAAGGTGAAGAGAACGGGGTTCCCGGCTTCGTCGGCTCCAAGACCGAGACAGCTCTGCTAGGCTTTGCTCGGAACGTGCTCGGCTTGGGATCTCTGGCTGAGGAGCGAGCGAATGCAACAGTCATTCAGCTGATGCCCTTCGATTCCGGTCTGAAGTGCATGGGAGTAGTTTTGCGACTGGACAACGGTCAATATCGATTCCTCGTCAAAGGCGCGTCTGAAATCCTGCTCGGTTACAGCTCCGAAATCTGGAAACCATCGGGCGTTGATGCCCTTGAGACACGCGAGCGACAGCAACTGGAGGACATTATTCTGACATACGCGAAACAATCACTCCGCACTCTTTCCCTGGTATACCGGGACTTCTCCTCCTGGCCTCCGCAAGATGGCGTCAGCCCCGATGATCCCAAATCCGCCGACCTCTCCCTGCTGCTCAACAACATGATCTTCCTCGGTGTCGTCGGCATTCAAGACCCCATTCGACCTGGGGTGCCTGAGGCCGTGGCTAAATGCCACCATGCAGGTGTTACAGTCCGCATGGTCACCGGCGACAACATGGTGACAGCCAAAGCCATTGCGACAGACTGCGGGATCTACACTGATGGCGTTGTCATGGAAGGACCTCATTTCCGCACGTTGACGGACGAGCAGTTCGAGGAGACATTGCCCAAATTGCAAGTCCTTGCGCGTTCTTCCCCAGAAGATAAGCGGATTCTTGTAACTCGTCTGCGAGAAATGGGCGAAATCGTTGCCGTCACGGGCGACGGAACTAACGACGGACCTGCCCTGAAGGCCGCCAATATCGGATTCTCAATGGGAATAGCGGGGACGGAAGTGGCCAAGGAAGCGTCGGCGATCGTGCTGATGGATGATAATTTCGCCTCCATTTTGACTGCTTTAATGTGGGGACGAGCTGTGAACGACGCCGTTCGCAAATTCCTCCAATTCCAGATCACCGTCAACATCACTGCCGTGCTCATGACGTTTATCTCGTCCGTCTCCGATGCGGAGATGAGATCTGTCTTGACAGCCGTTCAACTCCTCTGGATCAACCTGATCATGTAAGACTCCAATCAATCATCCGACAAGTCGGCCACTAACAAACACAGGGACTCCCTCGCTGCTCTGGCCCTCGCCACCGACCCTCCCACCGAAGCCATACTTGACCGCAAGCCCCCGAAACGCGGCGCCCGCCTCATCTCCATTACAATGTGGAAGATGATCATCGGGCAAGCCATCTTCCAACTCACCGTGACCTTAATCCTCCACTTTGCCCAAGGTCCCGGATTCCTAGACTACCCAGACGAGGAGCGACGCTCGATCGTGTTCAACGCGTTCGTGTGGATGCAAATATTCAACGAGTTCAACAACCGACGGCTCGACAACAAATTTAACATATTCACAGGCCTGCATCGCAACTACTTCTTCATCATCATCAACTGTCTCATGGTTGGCTGCCAGATCCTGATCGCCTTCGTCGGAAAGACCGCCTTCAGCATTGTTCCGATCAATGGTGTCCAGTGGGCGATTTGCATCCTGGTCGCGGCGCTGTCGTGGCCGTGGGCAGTTGTTGTGCGCGTGTTTCCGGATGATTGGTTTGCTGCTATTGCCAGGTTCGTGGGGAGACCGGTCGTGGTGGTCTATCGGCCGCTAAGTCGGGGGATGCATCGGCTAGGTGGGATGATGCCGTGGCGGAAGAACAGGCAGGATGAGGATGAGAATGCTGAGCCTTCTGCGGACAGAACTCACGATGCGGAGAAGGTATAGCTGGCGGTGGTTTATTTGATTGCGAACTACATATCAGTGTTGCTGCGGTTGTGGATTTGTTCGTTTTACTGGAGTTGTTTTGGATCTCGGGGATAGATTCTGATTGCTACAAACCGTGTCGTGTTGTTCCTTGCGTTAAACGATCTTCCTGTCAATTTGATTTGAAACAATCTGTGAAATATTAGCTATAAAATGGCATGTTCATATTCAACCATTGAGGGTTGACTTCTTTTCCGGGCACATAACGGACCTATTTGTATCCACTCACCCAGAGCACTGAATATCAGAAGCGCGAAGTTCAGGACCTAGTCGACTTCTTTAAAGACACTAAGTCTACCACCAACTACAATAACCTCCGTATTCAACGCGGGGTGTCTCATAAGCCACACTTTCAGTTTTCGTCATCGATTACGCCACGCGAGGTTAGCCTCGATTTTTCCACGGATCAAGATCTTCCATCATATACAGCTGGACAGTTGATTTTCATAGTTCTCGATATCTCTTGAGAAACGCATAGACCACGGACCACAGCTATGGCTCACACAATAACATCCTACGACACTGTCGAAGCCATCACTGCCCTAGGTCATCTCGATCCAGAGGTATCTCAGGTGAACCCTCTATTTCACCTCCACCGCCATCCATCAGACCACTGACAAATTTCTCCAGGTCCTCTCCGATACCCCCCTCTATGTTATCCCTCTCTCTCTGCTCTCTTTCAGTGATCTTTCTACCCTTCGACCCGCCCAAGCCTTTGCCGAATCCGCCCTCTCCACCATCGGCAAACACCCTTCCTTCCGGGAAACCGAAATCTCCATCCCAATGCGCGACGGGCACATCAACCCAGCATGGGTTTTCACACCCAGTACGATCCTTCTCTCGCAGCGTCAAAGCAGTGAGAACGAACCGAAATCAAAACCCCTATTATAATCCTCATCCACGGCGGTGGCTTCATCATGGGCAGTCCCATACAACTCGCGCCTCTCGCGCGAGGCCTCACGCATCTCTACCACATAACAGTGATAACCATCACCCACCAACTCGCTCCTGAACACAAATTCCCAATCCTAGCACAAGACATATGGGACAACATTGTCTGGATAGTTGCCAACACAGCTCCCAAGGCCCAGATCCACTTCCCCGGAAACGAAGCAGCAGCTATCCCAGGAAACCTAACCCACGGCTTCATCCTAGGGGGCCAATCCGCCGGCGCAAACCTCGCCAGCGTCGCTGCGCAACGATCAATTCGCGAGCCCCTCGCCACAGCACTAACCGGTCTATGGCTAAGAATCCCAGCCACATTAACCTCTAACATCGATTCGGAAAATTACGCACCCTTGTGGCTGTCCCGGACGCAGAACAAACACGCCCCAGTGCTAGAAGCTAAAGCGGTAACTGCAATCAGAGAATTCCTGTAACCGGATACCAAGTCGGTGGATTTCTCGCCGTTCAATGATCCGGACTCCTTTGGGGGGTTGCCGAAAACGTATGTCTAGGTTGCTGGGGCGAATCCGTTACGGGATGATGGATTGGTTTATGCGAGGGTGTTGAGGGATTGTGGGGTTGATGTGAGGTTGGATGTTTGTAACGGGATGCCGCATGCGCGTAACTGGGTTTGGCCAGGGTTGAGGGAGTCGAGGAGGGCGAATTGTGATTGTTTGAGGGGGGTAGGATGGTTATTGGGGGTGGATATGGGGAGGAGGGAGGATGTTGATCAGGTTGTGAAGGATTGGGTTTGGTGATGGAGATGTTCTGGAGTTTATCTCGCAACACTCTGGTGGGGCGGAGTAAGCGAAATAGAAAACAAGCTGGTATTCTCCATGTTGTCATCTTTCCTAGGTTTTAGAATTCCAAAGGACTGGCAAGCTCTAGCACATACAACCGTAACCCTAACTCCAACCCATATTCTTCGAGATATCACAACCTCCATCTATACGAAACACTCTCTGACACTCATTCTCTTCTTCACCTCACTCCCAATCCCCAATCAATAAACCAGCCAACTATTTAAAACAACACCCTAACCAGCATACAAATCCACCACCGATCCCCCAATCAACCTCCCCGCCCCCTCCTGAACCCTCACCCATTCCAAAATACTCTCCACACAATGCTTCTGATGATGTTCCGAATCATACCTCCCCTCCATCCCAAGCCCCGTATACCTAGTCCGATACAACTTCCGCCACAAATAAAGACAATGCGTATGATGCCAGTCTACCGTCGTGGTAACCGCGGTGCGATTCTTCGTCCCCACCACGTCCGCCATCATGGAGACTTCTTGGAGAGTGAGTTCCCGGTCTGCATTCGGCCATGTGTAGAACGTCCAGCTGTGGTTGTTGGCTTTGCCGAGGGTTTCGAATTCTTGTATTAGGTCGTCGTCGCGGCAGGTGGAGGGGAGCCAGGCGAGGGCGAAGGGATCGAATTTGCAGCCTCGGGAGAGGGCTTCTGCGGGGGTTGAGCCGCAGGTACAGGAGGAGTGGGCTTGGTTGGGGACTGAGATGGGGAGGTGGGAGTATATTTGCAGGGTTAGGTTGATGAGGCCGTAGAGAGCGAGGAGGGAGATGAGTCCGTTGCGGAGGAGGATAGGCCATCGGCGAGAGGGTGGTGGGGTGGTGGTTTTCTCATTGTTGGGGGGCTGTTCAAGGTCCGTTTGGTCTAGAGGGAGGTATTGAGACATGGTGAAATCTTGAGGCTACTATCTCAAGAGGTACAGGTAGAGACATTCAAGTTGGAAAGAGTCACATACGCCCCGACGATGAAAAAGCCATCCAGTAAGCTAGGCTTTCTTCGCATTGAGCGCAACACGAAAAGACAACCCCCCTTCCATTCTCCCTCCTCCCTCATCCAAGTAGCCAAATACTTACAAGTAAGATTTGCCACCCCGTCCAAGAACGCTATTGAAACCCGTTGCGGCTAGATCGACGCCTTCGTCGCATCCCATGCCCCATCTGACAAGATAAGCACTAAGCCATGCCAGACCATTACCGATGAGGGATAAACAGCAGTATGTCTCGCTTTAATTAGATTCAGGATAATCACTACACTCGTATTCGATCTAACTAACCAATGGGAGTCCAGCATTCCTCGAAAAAGCAAGGGAGAGGGTGATAGGTCTCGTGGCTCCGGAGGCTTATCAGATTCCGCGATTGCCCTTAGCCTCACTATGTAGGTAGCCCCAATGTAGTATTACGCGGAGTCCGGCGCTCTGTGATAGTAGCTTGCAAAAGGATCAGACTGGGTTGCTTGACTGTGCAGATGCTCACATGAGTCGATAAGGTTTCAAGGATTCCCCCGGAAGATACGATCGTATAGTATGTCTCGGCGGGGTTTGATGTGGGATCCATATTCTGGATAGGGATTAGATTGTGGCTTCTGTAGCGCGCGGGGGTAATTGATTCTCAATTTTGGGCTAATTATTATGTGACAATTCATCATTATGCGATTAAATTGTGGGAGCACGAATACCCAGCCTGTCCTCCTCGTTCTTGCTTGTACAGTATATACATGTCCACTGAAACAAAGGTGCAATTGTCCCTAGTCCAATTCTAAGTAAACAGCATATACTCAAATCTCAACTTCTATCAGTAAACAGTATAACGAAAACCCTCAAATCAATTCTCCCCAAAAGGCCTCGACTTCCCCTCCCCCGACAACTCTCGAATCCCCTCCGGCACACGATTAATCAACTTCCACTGCTCATCAGAAACATTCACCTGATTTTCTTCTTTCCAATCCAAAATCCGCTCAAAATCGCGGCATTTATGATCAATACTAAAATCCGCCATCGGCCCTTTCACCCCCTCTACCTTATTAAACGTAACCACGCCCACATCGGCATGACACAAGATAAACTGTAACAAGATATACTGACAATGCAAATCGTGACCTCCGCGCGTGAAATGCACCTGCCCCGGACCCCCGGAACGCTCGTGATGCGAATGACCACCGGCGTGTGTTGTCTTGTTAAAGTAATATTCCGGATACGCGGCTTGTCGCATCGCGTTCAGACAATGCAGGTGGTGAAACACGTCCAGAAGACCCATGTAAGCTTCGTCGCCGTACCCGTACTCTGGCGGAAAACGCCATTGTTCGGCCGGATCACGACCCATTTTCAGGATCTCGTCCCGTGAGAGCACGATGGCGTGCGTGTCGGAGATGCGGTTCCATGCGGCATCGACTTCGGGGCTTGGGGGGAGTTGGAAGAGGGAGGGGGGGTCGTCGGCGAAAAAGTTTCCGTGGGTGCGTGTTTCGCGGAGGGGGATGGGGAGTTTGTCGAGGATGGGTGCTGTGATTTTTAGTCTTCTTTCTATGGGTGTTGGAATTGGTGGGATTGGGTGTGAAGAGAGGGGATGGTACGTACAGTATGAGGATGTCTTTTTGATTAGGCTGTTGTCCATGTTGTGGGTTATGTTCTGTACGTGGATGATGGATAACAGGAGGATCAGGATCGAGAAGAGGAAGAAAACCAAGTTGAAGAGAACGAAGCCGCCGGGTACTGAGAGTATTCGCATACTCCATCTTGTCGAGGCGTTCTTAGAATCATCTTGGGCAGGGTTCAGGGCATCCGACTCTTCGTAATCGACATCCTCTGCATCATCCAACTTTTGATATAGAGGGGATCGCATTTTAGAATTAACAACGAGTTTACAGAAAAAACAAAGAAGAAGATTAGACGGACACAAGAAAAAGAGACTTCTAATCGATAGCTCCAAAACCCGGACCATCAACAATGACCGATGCTAAATAGCGCATGATCATATGAACCAATAGCCTCCGTCTGACATCAGTTCTGCAATAGGCTAATCTGCAACTATAATAGTTCGCCAACACACTAGACCCGACCTAATCAGATTCCATACTACCTCGTATTTATAGGGCTTACATACCAACCCCTTGAGTTTATCTCTCCAGAGTCAAATAGTGGACAGCGGTGGATGGGGACTAGCAGGGCAATGATAGACGTGATACAGAGTACGGCTGAGACAGAATGGCGTTGCATCTAGAGATTCTGGCGAATGTGTGCCTCATTCATGCATATTCCTAATTCGATCAAGTGCTTATCTTCTGTATACATACTTCCTCTGCGGTGAGTTGAGGCATAAATAGTTTTGAACAGCCCACGTATTCTGGCTTGAAAACTGCAATCAATCAATCAATCAATCATTTCCCATCTCCTCCTCTCAGTTCAAAGTCCACCATCTCAAGAGCCAAAATGCAGTACTCCCGTCTTCTTCTCTGCTTCGCCGCTCTCGTCGGCTCCGCCTTTGCCCTTCCCACTCCCGAAGCTCCCACGGACGATGTTACCATTGAGGGCTACACCGGTGCCGGAGGTGCGCATATACTTCCTCCTCTTCACCTTCCATTCTAACACTTCCTTAGGCCGATCTATTCTCAACGGCGTCGAGATTAAGCGGGATGACGCTACTGTCGAAGGCTACACTGGTGCTGGTGGTACGCAACAAACATACAAGTCTCCTTGTGTTCATACATGCAGCATTCGCTAACAGTTCAGGCGTTTCCATCCTGAACGGGATCGAGCTCCCAGCTGAGAAGCGGGATGACGCTACTATCGAGGGCTACACTGGTGCCGGTGGTACGCAGCATACAATTTCTCCTGTGGTGATGATTAAAGTATTCGCTAACAATTCCAGGCGTTTCGATCTTGAATGGAGTCGAGCTTCCGGCTGAGAAGCGCGACGATGCGACTACCCAGGGATATACTGGTGCTGGTGGTGAGTATTGACTGACTCGTTGAGTTGGGTTTTCTGGTTGTCGTTGCTAATGCGATTGCTGTAGGGGTCTCTATTCTGAACGGTGTTGAGCTGCCTGAGGATGATGAGTAAATGGTTTAGGGTGGGTTGGCTGGATTGATATCTTCTTATGAGTACGATCTCAGTTAGTATGATTACAACGAACAAATAACTACGAGGAATTGCGACAATTCGTGGGCTCTGTACGGATTTCAGATCAAAATATATCTAGATATTAGTAGTTCAGTGGGGCAATGATAAGATGGTCTTTCTCTATAGCTAAGCACTTTATCATACTCTAGAAAAGCATTGAAGCGCTCGAAAATGTACATAGGGTCCCCTATCTCAGCATCACGACTGCAATGTGACTTGGAGTCATAACCCTGACTGAATCTATGAAGCAAGATGGATGCCTGGCTGCCTGATTGCCTGACGGCCTCACCGCCTTGCGGGTTGACTGTTGACGTCCGCCGCGCGCGCGACTCCAACGATCGACCAGTCGACATGTTGTATAAACAAGACCAATTCAAGGATTATCCCTATCCCCAGAAGGGGTGAGCATTCCAATCCCTCCGTGTCTCTCGTATCTAACTAACCAAGCCACCCGGCAGCCCCGATGTCCCTGCCACCTACGACCGGAAACCGAATCCGCCGTTGCGCGGTTTCGTGGTAAGCCTAGCCGCCTGGCTGTCCGTCTCCCCGAGTAATAAGACAGGCCCAGATCCCGATAAACTGACACGCATCCAGACTTGAAAAGGTGTGGTTCGTACCCAGTCTGATCTGGCTGAATGCGGGATTCGGTGCATTGCGGGATATTAAACCACATCTCGATTACACCGAGCCTCGATATGATCCGACGGTGATCCCGTTGCGCGCGGAGCAGTCCGAAGCCTCCGATAACGAGAATCCGTTCGAAGAACCGCCCTCCTCGTCGTTGTCTCCTTCCGCTGTGTCCCCCACCAAGTACTATTCGGCTGCCGACTACCATGCGCTATACAAATCAGGCGAGCTGACGCCGACGGCGGTCGTTGAGGCGCTTTTGCCGTTGATTCGTCGGGATTTGGAAACGCCTGGAAAACACTCGATTGCGTTCGCTGATAGTCAGGTTGAGGCTGTACGAGCAGCTGCGGAGGCGTCGACTCGTCGATATCGCGAGAACCGTCCGTTGGGATTGTTCGACGGGGTCCTGACCGCCGTGAAGGATGAATTCGACGTTGACGGATATCGCACGTTTCTCGGCTCCCTGAACGACTATACCCCGGAAGCGAAAGCGGAGGGCTCCATCACGAACTGGTGTGTGCGACAGCTCCAGAATGCCGGAGCGATTCTCGTGGGGAAACTGTCCATGCATGAATTCGGACTGGGTTGGTTGACTTCCCATCTGAGATCGTTGTGAGCTGGATCTAATCCTGGCAGATACCACCGGTAACAACGTCCATTATGGCACGCCGCCCAATCCGTATCATCCCCAGTACTACACCGGAGGCAGTTCCTCGGGCTGTGCATATGCCGTCAGTACCGGTCTGGTTCCTCTGGCCTTAGGCACCGACGGGGGCGGCAGTGTGCGTATCCCGTCATCCTTCTGCTCCGTCGTGGGCCTGAAACCCACGCACAACCGGCTCTCGCATTATCCCGGCGTCAACTATGCCAGCACAACGAGTGTCATCGGGCCTCTTGCCTCCGACATTCGCACCCTGGCCGAAACCTATCGTATCGTGGCTGCCCCTGGGCCCGACACCGCCTTCCCGGCGCCTGGACCACTGGTTCTGAAACCGTCGACCCGGGGAAAGAAGTACCTGGGCGTGTGCGAAATCTGGTTCTCGCGCGCATCCCCGGACGTGCAACGTCTTTGCCGATCCCTTCTCGATAAACTGGTATCCGTGCACGACTACACCATCGTGCCAATCGAGATCCCATTCCTCGTAGAAGGCCAGAATGCCCACGCCATGACGATCTTGAACGACGCCGCCGCCGTGCTAACAGAGACAAGCAACTTCTCCGCGGCCAACCGCATCCTTCTCGCGCTGGGCCGAGCGACCCCGGCGACCGACTATCTTCTCGCGCAGAAGCTGCGCCAAATGCTCATGCAGCACCTATCTGCACTCTGGCAAGAATTCCCCGGCATGATCATCGTCACGCCCACGGCTGCGTGCACCGGGTGGCGCGTCAAGTCCTCCACCGAACTCAGCTGGGGTTTCAGCGATGGCGACCAAACCCTCAAGGCCATGGAGTATGTCTGGCTGGCCAATTTCACGGGGATCCCTGCGCTCAGCGTCCCTGCGGGCTACGCGGACCCGGAGAAGGGCGCGCGCGGCGAGGGTAAAGTCCCGGTGGGACTGATGGGTAATGGTGAATGGGGCAGCGAGGAAGGTCTGCTGCAGTGGGGATTGCAGGTCGAAGAGATCACGTCGGAGTTGCGAGAACGGCCCCCGATCTGGGAAGATGTGATCCAGCGAGCGCGGGACTTGAACAGCACCACGGACAGCGAAGACGAGCACGAGTAACATGAACGCATTAGATAGATACATCAGGTCTTTTAATGCCACAATAGCGAGAGTATTTACCTGGAAAGACAATCCCTCCCTCCCTCCTACCTTATTCTATCCCCCCTTCTCACCAACCATCCTCCCCTCTTCCCCCTCTCCATCCTCACTCCTCCCTCTCCCCTCCACCTCCACCATTGTCATCTCCCTCCTCCCCTTCTCTTCTTCCCTCCCACTCATCCACACAATCCCCACCGTCCAAATCACCAACGCAACCGAACACCCAATCATCGCCCACATCCCCCTGGTAAATCGCGGCGCCATCTCCGCCCCATAAAAGAGGATACTCCACCACGCATTAACAGCATTATTCCCCATATTCATACTCGCAATGACCACGCTCCTCTGTCTCGCATCCTGCCCTCTCATCGCATCATTACACCACGCGAAGAACGTCGCCTGACACGCGTACACCGCCCCAGCCCAATAATAAGCTCCCATGACGGTGGCGGTATCGTTGAATCGGCCCAAGATGAGCGCCGACGTGACTGTACCTGTTATCCCGATGAAGTAACCCACCAGATACCTCTTCCCTTGGAGGATATCGGTTAATGTAGCCCAGAACAGCGTTGCGATTATCCCAACAGCCGGGACACCCGTTGGGTAGGTGTTTAGTTGCGAGACGGTGTATGTCCTCGTTGGGTGGGCTTTTAGATATAGAGCTAGTAGCGAATTCGAGGAGAACGATTCCGTCTCGCCGGCGATTATCCAGAGGATCACGAATGCCCACCAGTACCAGGTCGTGAAGAGGTGTTTCAGGAAGGAGAGGTTGATGCGGGATTGAGAGGCGTTGGTGTGTGGGAGGCGTGTGACGGCGAGATGGCGCTCTGAGGGCGTTAGGTAGGGCGCTGTTGTTGTGGTGGGGGTGTCTGGGAAGAGGAAAAGGCCGTAGATGGCGATTGGGAGGGTGATGAGGCCGTCGATCTTGTCGGGTTAGTTAGTGTTGGATATTAGGTGTTAAGTGCTTTTTAGGCTAATGTATGTATGTATGTAGTAGGATGTGCATGGGTGGGTTGGGTTGGGGTAGATATGCGGGGAAAGGGATGTAGAGAGGAGAGTTAGGGTTAGTGAGGAATGATAGCATGGCCAAGACACGCTAAATTGGGCCATACAAACAAGAATAAACAGGAAACTCGGAGCGATACAAAAGAGGGGAACGGGAAATGGAAAGGAGAAGGTAAGTCAGACTCACAATAAACAACCACCTCCAACCGGACAATCCCCTAACACCATCCAACGACGAATGAATCCCCGTCTGAATAAACCCCCCAAACATCGTCCCCGCCAGCCCGGACGCCGTAAAGATCCCACTCCGCTTCCCCAGCTCGCGCTCCGTATACCACGAGCCGAGAATATAGTGCGTACCAGAGAAGGTGCTGGCCTCAGACAGGCCCAAGAAGAAGCGAATGGCCATGATCCCTTGCGGATTATGCACGGCGGCCGTGATCATGGTCAGCCCACCCCAGAGCAGAATCATTGCGGGGAAGAAGATGCGCGGCCGGAAGTAGGTTAGGGCTAAATTGGAAGGAATCTGGCCGAGAATGTACCCTACGGTGAAGACGGTGTTGATCTGGTTGAGCTGGTTGCCCTGGAAGGACAGCTCCTCTTTCATGCCCGAGACATAGGCATTGGAGAGGTTGGAGCGGTCGAGGTAGTTGAAGAAGTAGGTGAGGCAGCAGAAGGTGAGGATGAAGAAGTCGATCTTGAAGAGGAGTTTGGACTCGGGGGTATTAAAGGTCCACATATTTTATTTCCCCTTCGAACATTTGTTTGACTGTAGCGAAAAAAAGAGGAAAATGGGGTAGCTGACTAGGAGAAGCTGAATGGGACCGGCATGGTCTTATATATTGCAGAGATTTTAGTCCATGCCGAGGCAAGGAGTGGTGATGATGGATTCTACGGCGTAGTTCTGGATCTCGAGCCGGTTATCTTAATTCTCTACGGAGACAAGACTTGGATTGATCTTCATGCAAATCTGATAGCCAGCCGGCGCTAACCGCGTTGGGCGATGAGTCAGCCTTTTCCCCATACTAACTATATCTCGCTGCTGATTGGCTGGTAGGACTCGAGCTGTCATTGCCGAAGCCCCGGGGATGCCAGTTTATCATGCTTTAGCTCAATTCGAACAGTTGGAATGCATTCTCCAAGATCTGAAGGTGACCAAGATGGAATTGCAATTATTCATACTCCCTAAATGACCGACATGATCACATTAGACAATGGTACTCTGCGAGCTGTACACTTCCAGATACACAATTCGGGAGAAATCATTCAACTACCTCAGTAACAACGTCTGATCGTTGATAGGATTCTGATAACACTTCAGAAAGTATGGACTGTCTGTTATCACATACACAGTACAACCGTGATTGCCACAAACCAATGGGGTTGCAAATTTGATTGCTTGCCGAAAACGGACTAGACCCCATTCCCGAAATGGATCCTGGATTGTCGCGCTGTCAAAAATGGCCCGCGTCTGTTATACAATGTTGCTATCATGAAAGTGCTCGGTATACAGGACCTATCGGCATTGGGATCGGGCGTTATCATTCTATCTATTCAGGTATATCCGCAAGTAAGGGATGGTGTTTGTTTGTCCATTAGATAGGTCGTGTCTTGGCGTGTTCTCGAGGGTACTAGAGTACTTGTTGACAGGAAGGATCATTCCCGGATTGGTGGAAATGGCTGGGAAAAAGAGATGTGCGTTCCTCAGAGATAGGAATGGGAGCAGATACTGCGATAGCCTTGTTAACGTCTAACCGAGCCTGAATAGCATGCCAAATTGCACGGCACCATGCCTTACAACGAGGCCTCCGGGGTCCCGACTTAGGGTTGCGTTATGCAATAATAATGCAATAGTGCAATGGGCATCCAGGACACTCCGCCTGCCTGAACGGAGCGGGCAGAACGGGCTTGGCACGGGGCAGTGCCGCCTCCTGAACCACCCTTTTGCCCTCTTCTCTCCCTCTTGCACGACCTCACCGTTTTCTTCTCCTGCCCATCCATCGCCAGACACGTCAGGATGCCGCTCGGTCTGCCGATCGTGCCACATCCTCTCTTCCCACATCCAGGCCTCCGGTCGCTTCCACATGAGAATTAATCCCCTCCCGCTCGCACCATGAGGCTGGTGAACGTCCTCCGCGAGAAACTCCTGAAGGAGTCTCGCTCCAAGCTTCTCCACCCCGTCGCCATGGACCCTCACGTCCCCGTCGAAACAAACGGGGACTCGTTCCTGGACCGGAAGCTGTCCTTCGACGAGATGGGCGAACAGCCACTCGAACCCACTCAATTCAGCTTCTTCACCACCCTCCTCGACTCCGAAATCCGCGTGCCGAACCTCGACGACCTGACCTCCTTCTACAAGCCCTTCGATACCCTGCTGGAGACGAGGGAAGATTCGGGAACCTGGTGGCTGCATGTGACCTCGCCGTCGGACGCAGATATCGAGAAACTCTGCGACATGTTCGACATCCATCCGCTGACTACGGAGGATATCAAGATGCGCGAGGCCCGCGAGAAGATCGAGCTTTTCGGGCCGTACTACTTTCTGTCCATGCGACCGCCGCGTCAGGTCGTTGCGCCCAACGCCGTTCGGGCCCTGTCGCTTAATGTCTACGCCATTGTATTCGCGCAGGGCGTGCTGAGTTTTACGTTTGGTCTGAGTGCGCATGCCGACCACGTGCGGCACCGTATCGAAGAGCATCGCAGTCATCTGGCATTGACGAGTGATTGGATCTGTTATGCCTTGATGTATGTTGCCACTGTTCATTCTGTTGTTATTGTACCTTCCTTTTTTTTTTTTTTTTTTTTTTTTTTTTTTTTTTTACCATCCCGGATGCTGACTGCATAGTGACGAAATTGTCGACGGATTCGCCCCGTTCATCGAGCGCATCGAGACAGGCGTGGAGATGATGGAAGAAGGCGTCTCCATCGCCCGCCCGGATGATATCGGAGTGGCGCTGCAGCGCATCTACAAATGTCGCCGGGAGGTCATTCGTATCCGACAGCTCCTGAACGATAAGACCGATGTCATTCGAAGTTTCGCGCGACACTGCGGGACCTTCAACTCCCCGACTGCCGATGTGGCTCTCTACCTCAGCGATATCCAGGACCACGTGTTGACCATGATGGCCAATCTGTCGCAGTCGGAGGAGATGCTATCCCGGTCGCAGTCTAAATACCTGGCGCAGCTGTCGTGGGATTCGACGCGCATGCGCAATGAGATTGTGGAAACGCTTAGTCGGCTGTCTGTGATCGGTGCGATCATCGTGCCGATGCAATTCATCACGGGACTGTTCGCTATGAACATCAAGATTCCTGGCAAGGGCACCGAAGGGGGGACTGAGCCCGGGACCCCGGGACTATACTGGTGGGGAGGTATCTTGGGGGTCATCTTGAGTGTGATCTTTTCCTGCCTCCTGATCGCCAAGAGACTCCGGATTATTTGATAGATGAGATGCTACTGGCTGGCCACAAAATATATAATATAAGCATACCTACTCCTGATTTCTCATTACCGCCTTATCCTCCGTCATTCTATATATTCTCCGATCCCCCCGAGTCCAATCAATCCAACCACAGTCCCTAGACAGTCAAAAGCTGTTCATAAAACCCCCCAAACTTATGAACCGGATCATGAAGATGAATCTCCAAGATCCAATGCCTCTTATTTCCGTCCTTCCCCACCGCACTAATCCTCTCCTCATTCCCCTCCTTAATATACAACTTCAGCTTATCCCTCGGAATCCTCTCATGAGGAAACGACCCCACGATATGTCCCGCCAACTCCGCCCCAAATACAAACCCCTCCTTCTCTGCCTCCTTAACCGCAATCTCATACAACTCGCCCCCCGTCATATCCGACCTCTCCCAATACTTCCCCTTCACCGTATACCAAATCGGTTCCAGCGCGTCCCGCAGGCGGATCTTGTTCGGATCATTCCCGAGCACATACGTGCGGCCGAAATCCGCCTCCCAGGCCTCAAATACCGGGCCCAGGTCCACGATCAGAATGTCGTCTGACTCGATGATTCGGTCTGGTGGATCTTCGGAGAAGGGGGTGAGGGTGTTTGGACCGCTGCGGATTACCCGTTTGTGCCAGTGGGATCGCACGCCGAGGGTTTCACCGAGGTCGTAGATCTCTTTGTTTAGTTGTTTTTCGCTGATGCCCGGGCGGAGGAGTTGTTTTTCGATCTCTTCGAATAGGGTTACGGCTTTTTTTTCGGCGGAGAGGAGGTAGGAGGCCCGCGCGGCTTCTTCGGGGGTAGCGTGTTTTTCTGACATTTTTGGGGGGTGTTTTCGGTGGTGGTTGTATATTGGTAGGTTGGTTCTGGAGGGAATCTCGGATTCCCCATAGTCAGGGTAGATTGTACAACGGCGGGGTAGCTGTGGAGGGGAGATGCACTTTCTTATTTATAATGACTGTTATTGGTCTCCATGGGTGGAGAGTGAGGGTCTCGGAAGGTAACTTTGATGGCCCGTTCTAAGGTTGATGGTCCCAGTGCTTAACGCTAAAGAGAAGGTCATTTGACCCCGCCTGGTGGCTTCTGGATTCTTGAATATGATTAATAACCAAAAGCTTGCGCATGAAGAGCCCTAGTCTACGGAGTATGCAAGACGACGTGGCGCGGTATTTCACTGGAAAGTTGAAGGACGTGTATGTGTTTTGTGTCCATGGTCTACTGAATCAATCGATCAATGATATTCTATAATGCCTCGAGTTCCTGTATTATGCTCACATATACATCGGCGCCTATGAGAGAGTGTTTTTCTAGAGCCTTGGAAGTGCTTACCTATACATATGTGACTGTGCTTGAGAGTTCTTGCTGATTTCTGTAACGGCATGTTTTGTGTTCCGGTGTACAAAATTTGGTATTTGTTTGGGGTTGGACGTGAGACTGCCAGCGTGTGCAGGATTGGCGCATTTATCATTTGATAAAGTAGATTACGAAAAGATGAGATGAAGTACAGGTCGAGTGTATAGGAGAAAAGGAGGGGGTCTAACAAGCTCGGAAGCCAAATTCAGCTGTGTAGTACAGCACGAAGAGAACCACAGTGGGTGTCAGGAATGCAATCTTCATAGGAGCCTTAATCATTCGCCCTCGCTTACGCTCAGGAGCTGCGCGATTTCCTCGTGGCCTTTCTCAGCCGCCCATGCCAGCGGTGTACGGCCATTGTTATCCTGTAAGTTGATATCGACCTCATCTTTGGCCAGTAATAGCTGCACAATTTCCTTGTGGCCATGCTCGGCAGCAAGCAGCAGCGGTTCACAACCATAAAACCATAAATCGATCTCGAACCGCTGTTCGGCCAGCAGTAGCCTGAAAATTTCCTTGTGGCCCTGCTCAGCGGCCTATGAGAGTGGCGTATTGCCATAACTATCATCTGATTCAAGATCGGCCTGACCTGTGGCCAGCAGGTGCTGTACAATTTCGGTATAGCCCATCTTAGCGGCCAAGGATAGCGGTGTCTTGTGATCATCATCAGATGTTTCAGGATCAGCCTTGTTTCTGCACAGCATCTCCACCACTTCTGTTTGTCCCTCCTTAACTGCTCGCAAGATCCAAGCGCCTCATAAGTCGACTGCCTTGGTGACGTCTATCTTCTCCAGTACGCTCAACAATGATGGATAACTTGCCGCCGCATGGTCCTTCCACATGTAGGCGGCATACTCTAGGAATGGGTGGTCACCGAAGTACGGCTGTAAGTCTGACTCTTGTGCTGTTATCAAGCTTCTTCTCCATTCTCTGTCTCGGTAGATAACCAGACGGCTGGGTAGGCAAGGAGCTGCTGCACTGGGCGAAGGACCATAACTTCGTTGACCGTGAGAGCTTTATCGTCTTTGCCGTTGCCCTCGCTCTTTTCGTCCTGGGTACATGCGGTCTTATTCAGACCGACGATGTCCTCGCCTGCTTCATCGCCGTGAACACATTCACATGGGATGACTGGTTCCGGCTCCAGACCAAGGACGACTCCCTTCAACCGACTATCGACATGCTCCTTAACGTCACTATCTTCCTGTGGTACGGCGCATACATACCCTGGGACCGCTTCGGCGACAACCCTGTTATCTCATCCTGGCACCTCGTCGCTCTTGGTGTTCTGGTGCTCCTCCTGCGGCGTCTGCCCTGGGTATTTGGCATGCACAGGTGGATCCACCAGATTAAGGAGAGGAAGCAGGCGATTTTTGTGGGATTCTTTGGACCCATTGGCGTGTCTGCGGTCTTCTACCTCTTTGTGAGTATGGAGTTTATTCAGGAACATTTGAGTGATAAGAACGGGACTACTCGAAGCGACGTCAGAGGCCTTGGTGAAACAATTCGGGTCATTGTCTGGTTCCTCGTGGTCTGTAGCATTGTCAGTCACCCTGTTTTTTCATAGCCCTAATTTCTGGCAACCGTCTAACGATGCATAAGGCTGTCCATGGGCTCAGTATTCCACTTGGAAAGGTGGGTTATCTGGCTCCTCAGACCGTTGGTCGGGTGCTCAGCGACACCCTGAACGGCGAGTCACGTGCGGAGGAAGGCCGACGCAAGATCCCATTGTTGGGCAATTATCTTGTTGGAAAGCCTAGCGATATCGAATCTAGGAATTTTCAGCACTCTACCGTCATATCGGGCCCGTTGAACACTCGTTTCCCGCACTCGGAACGTACTGCATTGCTGCAGGCGGCGGCCATACCCTCTCCTGCGAGCCAAAACTGAGATTGAGTCGGGTACGATAACTACTGCCCTACCTCATCGTGAGGGGGGGGGCATGGTTCTTAGATGGCACTGGAATCAGCCGCAGTGGCTGCTTTGACGGGGCGATTCGAAAAGATTACTGGAAAGGCCCTTATCACCCAGTAGCTGGAGTCCTATAGGTGACCTTTTACATTTGAAACAAGGAGGGGTCTATATCTGTTAGCCGTCTCTCTAGGCGTAATTGCTAGTAATGTACCCGTAGGAATATCGAATGATGAAGGTCTGATTCTTTCAATCTAGCTGCAAACAATGGTTTAAATACATGAAGAATAATAAGCAATCTAGCCTAAAAAGGCAGTTAGAAGAGACATAACTTTTAAACTATAGAAATAACAGAAAACTCTGCATAATCCTCGGGGATCGGTAGTTACCAATACCGATGTCCGGACTAGGAAGGTCTCCTATGTGACTAGCGGTCACATACGGTTGACAATATCATATACTTGCGTCCTTGTACATAGATCTATCGACAAGATACAGAGGACGATCATACCACACCCGAGCATCCAGGCCCTGTGACAGACGCAGTGATTGCTGACTGACTCATGTGTCTAATTAGCCGTCTTGCCACTGTCCTATTATCAAGACATCTAACTGAGTCTCTTTGGATGCCTTAAGTTCCCGGCCCTGCTAAGATTGGAGACTACAGGTGCCTCCTACTGAGCAGATTGGGGAAGAAGTTGATTCCTCTGGGCAGTGCGACAGGAAAGGGGATTTACAAAATGAGGGGTCGTAAGCGCTAGTTGGAAGCTAAAGCTCTTTGGTAGGGCTCGTTTTTGGACTGTTTCATGCCATTGCGCGCGTACGTTATCTCCAAGACTCCGCTGCAGATGATCACTGTCATGCGGACGATATCCGTGCATCGGACCTACCACGTGCTTCAATACTTTGGCCATGTGCTTTTACGGCTTTTAAACCAAGATAACAATGTCGCACTGTGTTGCTGTACACGACATAAGTGCGGATAGGCGTCAAGGTGGCTGTTCTAGAAATCTGAACGCTGGTAAGGTGTAAGGTCGCCCTTGGTGAAACTAAAGGATTTTTAGTTAATCCATACCTATTTTCTCGATGTGAGTTTACTAACATACCTGTGACATTCCAATTCAGGGTGGTGAGATGACACTCACGCTTCCCTTGGCGTTCTTCTAGTCACAAGGCTGCAGCGCAGTCAAGATGCATCTTACTGAGGCCTAAGAGAACTGGCCTACAAAACCCAGAAAACTCGTGCGACGGTGAATGTGATCGCCAAAATCACTATTTTAAAGACGCCTACCCGCCTATTGACTATACAGCGGCCGGTTACTAATTGGGTAGGTGACCACCAGCGGATCATACCATCTCTGCCAGGAAGTTATACTGGCCGCTTCGGAGCCAGGACAAATGCGAGCCATCGCATGAATAGTACTGTAACATGCACTGTTTTCTTTATCTTCCACGGCGTTCATAATGAAAACATGTTTTTTCAGTTGAGTCGGGAAGTCGGATGTAAGAGCTTCGACTATGATCGACATGCCCTGTCGACTATTTATAGTCGGAATAGCCGAACTATACCACCCCGAGACTTTGCCAGGTAGCACTAGAGTGACGGGAAGAAAGGGGCAAGAAACCTATCTGGTCACAGCTATTTTGACAATGGCGAAGCCGATCGTCGAGCCTGTTACTCCATTAATTCGGAGCAAGGAACTCGGGGATAGGCGTTGAATCGGTGAGAGACCGAGCGTCATCAATATAAATACCACTCAGAATCTCTGCTACCTAGAGACAAAACCAAAATCGATATCATTCTGCTCATACCTTCTCGGGTAACTTCAAAACCTCTTTCAAAATGCGCTTCTCTCTTCTTACCGTCATTGCTCTCGTGGGTGCTGCGTGCGCCGCAAAGGTTCGGAAATCCATTCATCAGTCCCCAATTCATCTGCGGTACTAACTACTTAATGCACAGCTTCCTTCCGGTGCTCCTTGCAAGAAAGACGGTAGTATGGGCGTCTGTGCATCGAACTTGTGTGTGGTATGTGAAATTTCCATCCCTGGATGCTGGTTCACCTGGAAGCTGATTGGTATACTCTATAGCAATCTCCCAACAAGGCGCAGGGCGTGTGCAAGTGATCTCGCTCTCTACTCAGGGGCACGCAGGAGCATTGTGGTGTTCTAGTAGTATCTCAGCTGGGTTTACTTCCTGGGCTCGAATTGACCGGCAACTATCTTTGTTGAATCCTAGTTTCGGCCACGCGCATCTGTGCAAAGGCCTTGTCGTTCTTTAGATGCAATTTAAGACCTTCGTTGATCCGGTAATTTGGTTCCAGCTTCTATTTAAGAGCAATATAGATCGTACGCTTGTCAGGGAGAGGTGACGAATGCAGAAATCCAGACGTATGGTGGCTGGCGGTATATTAAGCGCCTACAAAGGTCTATATTGACGACCCCCTGAATTGGACGAGCCTCCAAGTTTCTTCAAGATAAACTTAAGCATTTCCTAAACTACTGAATGAAGAAGACTTGCTGGATATTGCTAGAGGGGGATGTATACACAGAATATCGAACACAAGAACAGACAGAGAAGAATCTCACCAAGTCGTTCACCCCTTCTCCGTAACACTCTGGTAAATAGCAAGAGTCTTATCCCGCTCCTGACGAGCAAACCCCCAGAACTGCTCGCCCAAGCCTATATTCGTACTACGGATAATATTATACCATTCCTTATCAAAGCCCTGCCCAAGCTCAAAGCCCGTTCCATATCTGATATAGCGCATGCGCTGCGCGCCGTTTCTCCAGCTGCGATCGGGATGAACGAAAACACTCCGCTGTAGTAAACACATTTTAAGGGATGGTATACCTTGACCATGCCCGGCAGTCGCGGGATAGTCGGTAGTAGGAAATTTGTGTCGAGTCTGATCTCTGCCTCAAGACGCAGGCCCATGGAATCTTCGCGAGTCGCTTTCTCGGCTTCATAATGCGCAATACAATCCTTACTACTGGCGTTTGGCAGAAAGTAGATATCGAGTCGATAGTAGTCGTCATCGAAACCGTTAGCCCTAATCCGCGCGTGCATTGCTCGGAGATCCTCTTTCATGTCATCGGTTTGAGCCAATGGGCCCTCGGAATGAGTAAAATAGATATTAAGATTGAACAGAGGGGGAAATAGAATGTCTTTCTCACTCTCAAAGGTCATGAAGGCTGTATTTCCGCCGTGATCCTGGAATGGGAGGACGTGTGTCTCAATTGTTCGAAAGCCCCAACTCCGTAGTTCAGGTAATGGCGATGGCGTTTCCCGGAGTCCTGCAGCTTTGCGGGTAGCTCTTTCGCACATTTCTTCGTACTGGAAACCGGCATCTATTCGCATATTGTATGTTTCCTTCTATCGACTCAGGTACCGCATACCCAAAGGGAAAGGGCAGTTTTGTAATTGGACTGTGAGCTTGTAGATTCCTTCAGTACTGAATCGGACACCGTTATGATAGCACGCTTCTTTGAGCGGCTGGTATATAGCCGGAGTTGCTCCTTGGGTAAAGGTAGTACAGCCACTTATGGCCCAGGTTTCCGTGAACTCAAGGGTTGTCAGATGAGGGAATTGCGATACCATCTCCTTTACCTGGAGTAAAAGGTCATGAATGTTCTCTACGGTATCTTCCGTAGCTAAAACCAAGGTTTCAATTGTGGCTGGTAGTGTTTCCTTCAGTCGAAATGAAGCCACTGAGCCCTTGACACAGCCGCCGATTAGCATCTTCGCCTTAATAGAAAGATAGCGTAATTTCGCAAATTCGGTGAGGGGGCCAAAGTAATCCGTTTGTCGACGTTTGCGTGATTCTAGTTCTGGTGGAAAGTCATGAAAGATATCTAGATATTCTAATGTCCCTTTATATTTTAGGATAGCAGCCCAGAATTGATTGTTGGATATCTGCCAGACATTGCGCCTCTTGCCGTTGATCTTTTCCTTAGTCTTGACCTTGTCGTTATTCCAAGAAAAAGAAATACTTCTTAATGCTACCGGTAAAGTAAGTAGCGCTGTTATATCTTCTGCTCTGCAGATAGACATTCTTTTCGTGGCAATATGAAGGTACTCGATACGGCACTCAGACTTACCGCTATACATTTTGTGGTGGAACAGCTGGCTGAACCCGTCCGGATCGAAGTTATACAGACGAACTGTATGTAGACCTTTCAGATAGAGGATAGGCCATATATCCCCTAAATTCAGTGATAGATCGAAGATATCGTCATTCGGTAACTTAGAGCTTTCCTCAAAATACCTAGTGACTTCACAGAGGACGTAAAATTCCTCTAGGCTGGGCAGCCAGGTTAACTGTTTACCCGAGCCGGCCCGTTGCCGACCTATTACTGCCTGCAAAACAGCTCCTAGGAATAGATCCGACGCAGGTATGTACGCATATACCTTCTACACGCAAGGGAGACAGGTCAGAAGAAGCGCCATTAGAGGCCGCCGATCACGATATTCACTTCGGTCCGCAAAGATAGCATCAGAAATCTGGTAGGCAAGATCTCCTGGTAATCCTGAACACTGAAACGCAGTTTTTACGGTCTCCTCGTCAGCGACTGTAAATTGTAGCCCTTTATCCTGATCCTGTAGCTCGCGGTTCCTATCAAGGTAAAATGGCGCGCAAAGGCCCCATTTACCGATATTGAGTACCTTTACAGTAGATACTAGATCGGGATTTTTGACTGCAGTACGAAAAAATTTCCAGAGTCCGCTGTAATTGTGTCGGGCCCCATTGTAGGTTCACTGGGAGTAGACTAGCGGAAGGAATGTCAGGTAATGTTTCCGATTAATGAGAAGGAGGCGGCTTAAAGATTTGATATCAAAAGCTCCTTTATCGTTATAGCCCTCTGTATATCGTGGAGCGACGCCAAAGGCAAGAAAAAGAATTTCGCTGAAGAGTTCAGCAGGTAAATCTGTGAGATCTGGCATGTTGGGAAAGAATGATGGAGTAACGAAGAGTCAGTAAGGGGATCTGCAGGGAGTCTTGGCAACCCACTTTCATGGTGTAAAACATGATGGGAATGTAGAGCGGTTGAAGACATCTATATTCCAATTCTTGGTCTGGTACTATACAGAAGGGTTAGAGCCTATTATGAGTTTCCTTTTTGTTATCACCTGACCCTTTTCTCATGGCCTGGGGCTCCTGCTGGGTCCTCAGGCATCTGATGTCTTTCTCGATCTCATCTAACATGCACTACCCTTGATAATTCACTTGGCTACACCGACACAATATGCTTCATCCTTCCAGAACCCGTCTACACAGTCATGTGAAACAGCGGGATTCCTATACTTCTGTTAGACGCCTCGTTCACGTTTTTAAGGAAGTGACATACAAATCATAAAACTGCTCCAGGCTTATGTCGTATTTTGCGGCAACGGTAGCACAATTCTCTTCGGAGCCTTTGAGATCGTTAGCTTTACTCAAAGACTACAATATTCAATCGCACGTACTTGTAACTAGGTGCCATTTGTTGCAGTTATCGGGTATACCGGATTGGCTTAGGCCAGGAGGGCCTCCGGTCGTGGGCGCGGTCGTGGTCGCCGTAGTCGTGGTGCTCACGGAAGATATAGTAGTATGAGATGTCGTCGATGTGCTAGAGGAAGGCGCAGAAGGCTTTTTTGTAACTGGATCATCTGTAGGTCTGTTCGGATCCATACAGTATCGGTAGCTGGGACTGAATGTGCACGTCCCGTTGGCGCTAATAGAGGGATTCCTGCATGTGCGATAGTTAGAAAAACCGGATATTCGGCAGGTTATAAGATGCTACCATTGCTCTAACTCCTTTATGGTCTTTTTGGATGCTTTAGCGACGGCTTCGCAAGAAAACGCGTAGAAGGTACCGGAAACGTCGATCTGGAGGTTTGGGCCAGCTACGTAGATATAACAATCCTTCCGATCACCCGGGGAAATGGGCAAAACCTTTGTTATATTGGCATCAATAGGAAGTGTATATGTTGCAGTTGGGTAACTGGAGTAAGAAATATCTGAGTAGCTGGCACTCGGGTCAATATATCCGGGTGCATCGGGATAGTTATCGATAGAACTAAGAAACGAGATACAGTATGACTCGTTGGCAAAAAAGTTAGTGCAGTTTTTGTTTACACCCTTATTGAGAAACAAGAAATCATCCAGCGAAATGCTATATTTGTGAATGACTTTGTTGCAATAATCCCCGGGCTCCACGAGATAGTATTGTGAACAACGCTTTACAGTACCATTTGCCAGGTTCGTGGGGACAGGAGCCGGTGTTGCGGTTGTTATTATTGCTGGAAGGACTAAGAATGGGATTGTGATGGGGGTCCAGGAACTATCGTCTCGTGGCGGCAAAACACATATGCTGTTTCTAACAGAGCGTTCAATGTGACGGCAGCTCTGCCCAAGGATGGGGTACCAAGTGGTGAGCTGGACTTGGGTGATAACATATTTGCGTCCAATATCTGCGCATGTCTCTTTGGCGGTCACAGTGTAATGATTCAGAATTGGAACAGAAATTAGATAATAAGTATGATTGTATCAACTATAATTTACCTTCATTTCTCTCATTTATATATATACAAGATCTATACCATCTTTTGGTCTCTTCACAGGTCGCCCTGAACGTCTCTGTATCCCATTTTTCTCATGTAGGTAGCTATTATCTGGTAGAGGGATCTCTTCCTGATCATCCGGAATAGCTTTTCGTTTACCAAGTGCACGAACGCTTGATCTTGAAGTAGTAAGTATTGTGATTGAAATATCACTGTCCTTTTCATTAGTACTAATAAGTCTATGTATATCTCCTTTTTGCTCATTATCAGTCTGCTCTTTCTTTAAATGCCTTTCTTGGGTAAAAATATACTTATCAACTAGCGCAAGTTGATCAGATTCAATATCGAATTTGCTGGTACACATGAACATTATCAAACCTTGGATTGTACGTAACCGTAGTGAGCCCCGGCAATAGTAACAGATATTACGAGTAAAATTAAAAACCGCTCTACCCTAGAACCACTAGCTGGTATTATAAGAATATCTCGAGCAACACTTGCAAGGACTGGATATTCAACTTTATGTGCCTTCCAGAATACAAGAGATGTTGATTAAACTGTACCTATTGATTATATATTAGTATGAGTAAGATCAGGCTATCAGAAGAGACCTCCTACTCCCAAGATAACGTGTAAACTCATTTGGAGTATCATTGGATGACTGTATCAGTGAAGGGGGCCTGATTAATATATCAATATCAGAGATATCGCCCTGAGTCTCTGAGAGTACTACATCTGAGTGTTTCTCAATATAGCGCTGTTGATAAGGCCGTATATACTTCTCTATCTACCTCTTGTAGCGTGGTGCCCAATGTTTCTCCCATTCTGGTCCCATAAAGATCTTAAGTTTGTTTCTTGGGCCTAGAATAGTCCCAATTGCAGACAGATTATCAGAAATATTATCATTTACCCTATAGTCCTCTGTGTTACCTCCTGAAGCCAGGGGGCTTTCCTGTACGGGAGAACGTTCCGGAGGATCAAGGGATCCTCTGCGGCAGGCATCCAGGAACATTCCTAGGGATCCTGCAGGCATTCCTGCCTGAGGCAAGCTCCAGGCAGTATATAGAGTCCCTGGATTCTCTCTCCTAGATAGCCTTTTCCTCCCTATGGGAAAATTCCTTGAATACGAGTCATAAACAAACTTGCCTTTTACTAAGCTCCTTTGTAGACCGTCACACTTAGTACCAGCCAACTTCAGTAACTCAGTTAACAGATGCGAAAACTCATCCACTCCAGACGCTTTTCATTGAATATACAAATGACCTGCCAGAGTATCCAAGAACAGATCTGAATGGGTATACCTACGTGATTCCAGTTCAAAACTGCTCACAGGAAGAAGTGGAGCAATTAGTAAAGGACGTAAGTATTTACTAAGTGTTTAAAAACTAGCTGGTAATCGATTAACGACTAGACTAAAGATTCAACTAGACTAAAGATTCAATATTCTCGCGCCAGTGTTCAGGGCACTAGAAAGAACATTCAATCCTCCTTTCTTAACTGCCCATGGATTTGGAAATTCTCTGGAGTTCTAGCATGCGAATATCTTAAACTAAATCTTCGCATACACAGCCTAAAATGGAGTTCTCGGAACATTTACAAAAGAGTTTAAGCGCAACTCTTGGCATAGGATCTTGGAGACAAGCAAAAATCCTCGGGGGGGACACTGGTTTTGACTTCAAGTGTATGAGTACTTGAGTGGCCCCCAAGATATAGTATTCAGTGTGATCAACCTCGGTAGACAATTTCCGAACCCGACTCCCAGGTATGACATCGCGATACGTCATAATCGTCACGCACAGAAATACGGTCGATCTAGAAACCGGATTTTATAGATCGCCCCTGGCAGCAATATCATCATCCCTAATCTTCCCCTAGATTATCTTATTCTTAACAGCCCTATACTCCGCGACTCCAGAATCCAGATCAATCGCATCCTCATCCACCCTCACCCTTCCCCTCCACGCATCTCCACCCGCAATCAATACTATGGCCTCCTTCCTACGCCTTCCATCGCGCCTACGCGCGCCAATGTCCTCCTTCCCTCTCCGTCGCAATGCAATCAATTCCTTCAACCAACGAGCCTCCGTCCACGATACGTCGCAGAAATTCTCTCAAGCCAACGAACACGATCTGCAAGAGGGATGCGACCTTGGAAGCACTCCCAACCACCCGATTCCCTCGAACAAAGCCCACCCGACTCTCCGCGACGGCAGACAGTCCAATCTAGCGGATATGGAGGGCAAGAGGCACGAGGATCTCCCGGAAGACGTGAGGAAACATAACGAGGAAATGGAGCATCGATATGATCGGACGTATAGCCATATTGCGGACGAGGGGAAGGTGGAGAAGGCGTTTGAGAAGAAATAAATCTTGGTCTTTGAAGGTTGCTCTCATGGATTGGGAGTATCTGATGAGGTACAGTGTGAATTATGACTTCTTTCTGTATATAGAATAGATTTTTGCGTTTTTGATCATGGATTTGCCTTGAGGGCCTGGTGCTTCAGATGATATAGACTGACGTCATGGGACTCCGATTTGACACTTCTTTTTCTCATGCATTTTCCCACGCTGGACTACAATGTCTCTAGAATAATCAAAACCATGCTTATTTTCAGGGATTGGCCAAGATTATGCGAGCTTGTCCGATAAGAAGTCTACTCAGTACAATTGTACATCTGAATGTCAACCTGAGGCAGCAAGACCGCATGCGACAAGCCTGCCAATATAGGACTAGCGCCGCCAAGAAATCGGCACGGACAGTCATGATGAGTCATCCCATTTCAACTCATTTGCCAAGGGGGTTAACTAGCATTTCTGCCTGATGATTATGGCTGCAAATGGTTACATGGGTCAGCGGTTGAAGATGACCTGCAGATGGTGGAACATACCAATCCCTTCGAGAATCTTCCCTTCATTTCTGACGCATCTCAGGATGAGACAGAAGTCTGACTCGACTGCCTTATTTGCAGGCTGGGTTGCAGTCTGAGCCGGTATATATTGAGTGATTCAGGATTTCTTGAATATCGTTAAAGATATTTTGGTCTATACTTCTCTTTCTGGTCATCATTCATTGTTCTTCTTTTGTCATTACATAGCACTTGATTGTGCTCCAGGTACAAAATGTCATCCACAAGATCAGGCTCCTGTCTCTGCAAAACCATCCAATACAAACTCACCGACGACCCAAATCAAATGTTCATCTGCCACTGCGACAGCTGCCAAAAGAGCAGCGGTTCAGCATTCATGGCAAACTGCATTTTCAAGAAAGATGTACGATTCCCTTTTCCTCCCATCCAAGCTCCCTTTATCTATATAAAGAAACTCAAACTAATATATACCTCTACAGCAAGTCCAAATCACCCAAGGCGAAGAATCCCTACGAACATACCACGACAACAGCAGTCAATCAGGCGAGGCTCTGCATCGATCGTTCTGTGGAATCTGCGGATCAAGCCTTTTCGTGTCCAACGAAACAGGAGAGAAAGGGCAATGGATAGCCGTGACGAGCGGGACTATCGTGGAGCGCGCGGACTTGCGTCCCACGATTGAGGTTTGGGAACGGGATCGAAGGCCCTGGTTAGCTCCTGTTGAGGGAGTGATGAGGATGCATACGCAGTGATTCGCTGGGAAATCAGTTTGAAGGATCATAAATACTAGGAGAATATCATCTCTTGCCGCAATAACCAACTACCTAGAATGATACGCTACCTAAACCCCAACATCAATCAATGCAACCACTCCCTGAACCAATTCACAGCAGACCTAGCAGCCCTCTCCAATCCCTCCCTCTGCACATCATCATTCCGATCCCCCCTCGTCGCAAACCCATGCACTAAGCCCGGGAAATAAACATACTCATAGGGTACATTATTCCGCGGAATCACCTGATTACACTGCTCCTTCAACTCATCCGTGAACGCGAAATCATGCTCAGGAGAGAGAATCTGCGTCGGAACCACTAAGGATTCAATCTCACTGTCCTCCAACAGCGACGGATGTGCGGTAGATATACAATCCACCAGTCCTTGGTCTTTCGCGCCGAGACGAAACACAGCCCATCCGCCGTAGCAGAACCCAATAGTTCCGACTTTATCGTACTGGTTTCGGAGCTCTGTCGCGAAATTCAGGATCGCTGGGTATCTGAGCTCTTTGGAATGGCGGGATATGAAGTCGGGGATGCTGAACGAAGCCTGCTTTGTGGGATCATCGAGCATTTCGGGAGAGACAATTTCGCCGTCGAAACTGGATTCGAAATTTAGTATTCACTAAAATGCAGTTACACCGGCAGGTCTAAGCGATGGTCTACTTACAAATCAGGGACATAGACCGTCGCATTTGCCTTCTCGGCATAATAATCCGCCAGGACCCTTGCGTTTGGGAACGTCCAGCCGAAGATATCATGAATGTAGAGAATAGCGATGGACTTAGATTCTCCGGTGACGTATGTCTTGGTGCCAGCGAACGTGGCCTCAGTGCCTGTTGGGGTGCCCTCCCATTTGAAGCCGGATTTGCAGCAGTCGCTGGACATGGTATCTCTATTCTGAGATCTGGTTGTGCGTTTCTGGAGATGAACAAGTGTGTTACTCAAGAATGAGGGCTTGTAGGGCGTCTAGACTTCTGAGAACATGTTGGAGGCGAGGGTTACGCTCGGTTGATATAGTACAGGCGGGGAAGTGATACAGACGGCGAAATTCGCCGGAGTTATTGTACCGCTAGGTGACGGGGCTTGGTTCCCCGCAGAACACACTGGTCTGGAATGGGGTATAGTGTTAACGTGTCGGGACACTCGGGGCATTATCAAACGGTTGGTGGCTGGACACAAGCCCACCTATATGTACGACAAGGTATAAAGGTATGTAATATATTAAGGCTTTGGACTTTTTGTTATTAGATAGCTCTCTCACATTGCTATAGAAAATTTGCTGAACTATAAGTCAGAAATAGACTTGTCTTGAGTACATGAACTCATTTATAGGCCGTCACATTTGCCATGAAACATTAAGCAGCTGGGATTAGCTAGAAGACGAAATGCTTAAATTCAAAAGTTTATACAAACTACCGGCATCCAGTTGACAGAGACAAGAGTTAACCTCAGAGAAAATTTTATGGCATAGAAACAAAAATGGCTCTACCTTTTCACTAGCTAAGCGTCGGGAACCCTTTTTGGAAAGCTTCAACGTCCCGTGACGTCCAAAAGATCTTAGCTTAAACTGACTCCCATTTTATCTCTTTTCTTTGCTTCCTATATTGTCAATCTGAATATTAGTGGTATCTCTCTTCCATTATCGTCCGCCTTCCACCACCTTGGAAAACGCCATTCCATCCAGCATTCCATCCACCATTGACCAACTCTCCCTCTATTCGTCCAAGAAAGATGCCAGAACAAAACAACACAATATTTTCTAGTTCTCATATTGCCTGTAACAAGAGCAATCTTGTCAGTTATTTCAAAAATATTACACTCCTCGTTGAGTAGCATCGGCTTGGTGAATGGCGGATTTGTCACCGTAATTACAGCTCTACTCGATGTCCTCGGTAGCGAGGGAACCCTGGTCGTCCCAACGCATACAGGAGGTAATTCAGATCCATCCGGATGGAAAGATCCTCCATTGCCGGAAGAATGGTGGGAGATGTTCCGGGAAGAGATGCCCGCATCTGATCCACGAATAAGTCCGACATACCGCATGGGCGTAATCCCAGAGCTTCTTCGGACATGGCCAGGCGCTGTCCGCAGTGACCATCCGCAAACTTCATTTGCTGCTGTAGGGCCTCTGGCCGAAAAGATCACGGCGAACCATGCACTGGATTGTCAGCCTGGAGAACAAAGCCCACTGGCTCGGCTTAAAGAAGTTGAGGCCAAGGTAATGCTACTTGGGGTCGGATTCGATTCATACACTGCTTTCCATTTGACTAAGTACCGTTGCTCACCACAGATTGAGGAAAATTCCTTTGTAGTCATGATTGATAGATCCCAGCAGTAGGTGGCCGTATCAGACGTTACTGTTGATGGTAGTGACTTTGGGAAGATCGGAAATAAAGTTTGGGGAACACAGTCATTTATTGACGTCGTTGTTGGAGGGACACATTACTGGGTATTTTCAATTGCCGGTGCAGTTTCGTACGATATGGGATAGATTGGGACTCATCCAAATAACTCGACATAGCTTTTGATTGAAGTGAAATGGTTAAGTTTTTATGCCTTGATGTTCCTTGCTCTTTTTTGTTTTGATTTAGCAATTCCGCGCCGCAATGACTTTGCATTATTATTTTGTGGAAAAAAATAGATCTTTATTTTTTCATCTTATGGCATTTGTGATTTGATTTATAACTTGGCCTTTTTTATTCCGATTTGATGGTATCGCGGGGATATCCAGTGCTTTATATTGCCTTTGCGGAGGCCCCCGGTAGGTAGGACCCGCAGGGGTCTATATAGGGATCCCCCAATCCACCTCCAGAGAATATGCGCACACACGTTGCATATAAATACTGCTAGTTGAGTTGCGAACTTTGTGGTTGGATCCACATAGAGGGATAGATCTACAAAATATCTATCTAGCCCTGTCTTCCGTCCGTTGCCCATCATGGATCCATTCAGGAAGTTTCCTTGCGAGATTATGCAGCAGATTCTTTCCTACACTAACGACTTTGTGGGAATGGAAAGCCTTCTCTCTGTGTCACCATGGGTGAGCTTGGTCTTCCAGAATCAGCCTCGCAGAATCACCTTGGACCTCATACACTCAAACTCCATCACTTCAATGCCAGAAATCCAGATCCTACTCCGGGATGTTGTACTTCTCAAAAGACCTTCCAATCATTGCGCAGACTTCGAGAGCTATCATTGCTTATGCCCCCCTATGCCTAGGGGTTGTCTTGATTATCCCGGTCCATTTCTTAGCGGATGTGTTGATAATCTCGATCCACTACCCGATACACTACCCGACCAGACCACCGTCTCTGAGATACTCCAGTTAATCCATATCGCAGCAAATATCCAGCGCCTAGCATGTACTTGTCTCCATGTCATGCAACGAGACTTTGCCTCCGTGGTAGCAAATTCTCTTGGTGCCGTGGCATCTCAACGTGCAGCAGAGCCGGTTATTTGGATTGAAGAGTACCGCGTACATAAGGCTCTATGGCATTTACAGTTCTACTCTCTTCTCCGCAACACTGCAATAGACCGCTGGAAATGGTTGAAAAGGTTTTTTAATAGACAAGGAAAGATTTATAGGCCCAGCGAGGCCCTGAGAGAGCAAGTCTGGGCGGTAACTGCTGTTCTCGCAGACCTTGGGCTATCTCCATCATTTGGCGACTCGACCTCCAAGTCTAGGGTAAAATATGCCCTGGAATACGACAGGGGGAGTGACAAACATCCAATTCCATTTTTTGCGTCGATGACACTGCCCCACAGCTCTAGTCACTACAGTAACTCCCCAATCTGGAGCCCATCTCCCGCTCCAGACGATAAATCCGAGGTTGAACGTTTCTGGTTCAGAACGCCAAGAACACGCTATGATCGCTCAGGTGGAGCATGTATGATTGGGGAGGACTTATACACTTTGCAGGTTTCATTACAACGAGGATTCACATCTTACCTAAGTATGCGACAACTTCGACCATTTCGGCGCCTCGGCATCGTGCTCTGGGATGATTGGCGCATGTTCTCACTCGGCTTGTATCATGATGTCTATCACCGGGGGCAGCTGTGCACTCCAGATGGTGACCGTGTTCGAGCTGATGACTTCCGTATGTCTTTTCATGATAGAGTCTCGAGGTGGTTGGCCTTGGCAGGTAAGTGTCCGCCTAATGTAGGCGAACACCAGAGCTGCCTGTGGCAACTATTAACGTGGATATTGAGAGAATACCTTCTGCGTGTGTCCTCTCTTTCCCTTTCGATGTGGAATAGGGTAGAACGAGTCTTATCCAGGTAAGACAGATATGTTGTAGATCTATCTCTTTATGTTGAACCTATTTATTAGTTGGGTTGATGGGCGTGAAAGACATTTCCTCTATCATAATACGGTATGGTGATAATAATGCCCTGCAGTCAGGATGTGTTAGAATTCCGCTCATCAGTGTATGACATCATACCATAAACAGTTCTGTCAGTCAACTCACCTCACCTTAACTCAACCACCATCTTCAATCAAACAACTTCATCCCCATCGATACCGCCTTTCTCGTATATACCTGCTTAAATCTCACCTACTCTCATCCAACGTGCGTTCCCAATCTATCACCGGAGATTAACTACCTACGATTACCCCTCTCGCCCTAAACCATCGGCACCTAATTAACCCCGCTAACTCCGCCCTTCATACAACCCTGTACTAAGGTATAAACGATAAATCCCTCAAACCCAGCCTACAAATAAACAAAAAATGCCCCCTCCCTTCATCAAACCCTCCCCTTCCCTCTCCAAAATGGCCACATACCTCGTCACCGGCTCCTCCCGAGGTCTTGGCTTCAACATCGTCAACCACCTCGCCTCGCGCCCAGCTTCCGAAGTGGAAACCATCTTCGCGACCTCGCGACAGACGATCAGCACACAATTACAGGAGCTGATCGATCGCGAGACAGGTCGCGTGGCGTTCGTTAAGCTCGATGCTGCGAATCAGACTAGCGTGAAGGATGCGTTGGGGGAAGTGGAGAGACAGCTACAGATACAGGGACAGGATCAGGAGAAAGGAGGGAAGGGCATCGATGTGTTGATTAATAATGCGGGGGATATGCCTTCGACGAGGGGCGGGATTGAAAATATGTATGTCTTTTCCACATCTTGAGCTTTTACGGGAGAGGGAATGTTTGGCTTCGTTGTGTATGTTGAGGGAAGAGACTGGGGCTGACATCGTGCCATAGGGACAACCTCAACGAGACGTTCAACACGAACGTAACGAGCGCGCACATGGTGACGTCCGCGTTCCTGCCACTACTCAGAAAAGGCGAGAAGAAGATCATTGCGAATATGTACGTCTCTCATACACATCCATCTACTTCTTCTCTGTCCTGGTCCTCTAAACTAAACAACCCAACCAGCTCCACAACCGTCGGCTCAATCGCCCTATCACACAAATACAAAATGAGCCCGACACCCGCGTACAAGGTGACCAAAGCGGCACTGAACATGTTAACGGTGCAGTATGCCCAGGAGCTCGACGAGGAGGGGTTTACAGTGTTGGCGATTAGTCCGGGGGTGAGTTCTTCTGTCCCCTCACCTCTGTTTTCTCTGGTTCCCTTTCTATGGATAGACTCGGGAACTGGTGGTGTTTGTTACGGGGCCATAGGCTAACGGGAACAGTGGCTGCGAACTGAATTGGGAGGCGCGGACTGGGCTGATTTACCACCCGCAACCGGGGCCGAGGCGACGATGCAGATCATCGATTCTACGACGAGGGCGATGAATGGGAAATTCTTGAATATCAAGGTTCCTGGGTGGGAGGAGAATCCGGGTGTGAATCAGTATGATGGGAAGGAGGTTCCTTGGTGAAGTGGTTATTTCGGGGAGTTTGTTCAACGTCCGGAGGTGCAGTATATGATGTGATCCCATAAAGATAACGGTATGACCATATGATTATAGATGAACGAAATAGGTAGTTGATTACGAAATGCTAAGGGTATCTTAACTAATAGACAGACGTACTGGAAACGCAAAGAGCAGCTAAAGCTTCGACGCTTCCGCAACAAACTCCATCAAGCTGGACCGCTCAGGAGACGCGGGTTCAGCGCTCCAGATCTGCGACCGTAATGTTGGGGTATTACCCCCAACGCGTGCAAATCCCTGATTGTTGTGGATGGAGTATGTGTCGGCTTTCAGCTCCTTCCGAGACAGGCTGACTTTCATCTTCCGACCTTTTCCCGTCTCCAACCGGGCCAACAGCTCGCCGTGGTGCGGATTTTCCACCTCCCAGACCAGACGCTCCGACGAATTGGCGGCCGGCTGTGCATCAGAGGTGGATGAGTTCTGCGAAATAGCGGAGAGAAGGTCAAGCATGGTGAAATGGGTCAGCACGCGCGCGGCCTCGTCCCGGATGTTGATACGGTTTGGAGGCTGGACTTCGGGGAACTGTGGCATGTTGACCGAGATCTCGTAGTGGGTGCCGAGGGGCGGCGAGACCACATTGGTGCGAATGCGCACTTTGAATGTACTCTGCGCGGTAACCAGCTTCCCGGTGAATGTTGATTCGAATGGCATCAGGAACGTGCGGATCAAAGATTCGACCTTAGGGATAGAGACATCCGGAGACAGACGGCCGACGGATGAGAAGGGTGTCGCCGTGAATTCAGTGCCGAGGCCAGCGGACTTCAGAATGTGATGTACGTCATTCATATGGGATTCCAGCCATCGGACATGGGAGTTGTGCTGAAGGTAGGCCATGATCGGGCGCAGGAGGCTGTATTCTGGCGTGTGTCGGCGCTTGGGGGTCAGCGGTGGCGGGAGCTGCGTCCTGCGGCGTAGGTTTTGTCGGTGAGAATACGAGAGAAGGACCCTAGTGGAATGGCCCAGCGCATCGGCAAGCACGTTATGCTCAGTCGATGAAACTTGCTCCTCGTCAGAGGATGGGTCCTGGTCGGTATCAACGAGGTCCAGTAAAACCTTCTGGTCCTCAGAGATGGGGATCTGAATCAGGTTGCGTCGTGTGGTGACTCCCTGGCCACCCAAGATTCGAGCCTCGCGGAACAACTCGTGGAACAATTCCTCCTCGTAGAGCGTGTCTCGCGCCTGGAGAATTCGGCCCTCAATTGTCTCGGCGTTTGATGCTGGCTTGGGCAGCGTCGAGCATCCGGTCAATTGCCCATGGGTTCTCACGCGTACCCGCACCGCTTTCGCCTTGGTCGGCACCAGGCCTTTGTCCAGGATCAAGCTTCCGTCGTCCAAACGGCGTAGAGCTGCCAGGGCGCGATCGCGGAATATCGGCGTAGCTGTACAGAACGTCAGAGCAGAAGAAAAAGCGGACTCACCAGCACTCACATTCCATAAACCCATACTGCACACCCAGAGCCTGCCGCTCCCGAGGCAATCGGCACACCTTCCACCCCTTCGCTTTCACCGCCAGGACTTCATTCCAGTACTTCGTCTCCGAGGTGACTTCAGAATCGAGCCGCGAAGCGCAATCGAGCAATTTGTTCGCCGCAGAGTTGAAATTCTGCATCCGCCACCCACGCGACACCGTCTTTGTATCCCTCAGAACCGAGTCGGGTTTGGGCGGAGGTTCCACGATTTCACCGTTCAGCGAGCCCAGCGGCGCAACTTGTTTCAGGTAGGCGGACATGGACGTTTCGGACTGGCGAGGCGTATGTTTCGAGAGGAGGAGGGAGACAAAGTCGAGAGCGAACATCGTTTCCATGTGAGCTTGCCTGTATCCCGGCATCAGTACGTCGTGACGAACAATATACCACCGCGGTGATCCTACAAGGCGAACTGAGTGATATCCGCGCGTCGCTTATACAGCTGATCCACCCGCTCGGCGGTATCCAGATCGGTCGCCGTCTTGTCGCTGTCATCTTCGTCGGACCAGTCTTTGTTCTTCTCGGCTTCGATCTTCTCGCGCAGGGCGCTCTCGCTGACATCACGGAAGGAACCCCATTGGGTGTTGATCTGGGCGATCTCGACGGGAAGAGAATCGGGGCGATCGCGCTTCTCGACCAGCGGACGAAGGGGGAGATTGAACGATTCGGCCATTGTGACTCTCAATGGGGATGCGGAGAAGAATGAAAGGGAGCGCAATGTTGACGGCCGCGACCGTTGGAGTTGAAGGCACGTGATTGCTGACTCATATGTCAGCGGAAATGCGCGGGTTAGTTACCTCTTGGGGTTAGCGTCGTCAGTCTACATAAATCAGGAAGAACGGAGGAATCAGCAGTCTTATTCCTGTGCAGACCATTCAGGAATAGGATGCAGTATGCACCGATGGCTGGCTCAATTCTAATTGATCCTTTGTGGTTAATCCTATCCAGAGCGATATACTTGATACGCTATCATTCCTGGTTAAATATCCCTTCTCACAACGGGCAAGTTAGGGAACTTATACTTCCATTAAGTTTCACATGGCTATCAATGAACCAATCGATTGACTTTCGACTATCCGTCTCAAGGCTAATGGAGTTCGTGCATCCTGTTCGTCCAAGAGTTGGTGCCAACTGCTAGAACCTGACACGATAGAACTAACAGTTCGTCGGTGGATCTGCCAGTGCAGGGGTTCGGAGCATAGATCTCCGAAGCATAGATATCCGTAGCACCGTCTATCGCGAGAAACAGTGAGGAGTAATCCACGGACGAGTCGAGACCACCTCGAACCGGTTTCTCCGGGTTCCTCCCGGAGGGTCAGTATGCTAGCGAGGGCCCATGTTAGTAGTGACAGCAACTGAGATCATGACCGGAGGAGGGCTGACCGATGACATCATCAACCCCGCCAGAGCTCGAGCACGTGCAGGTCCTAGCCCTGCCCTAGCTGCCCGCCCTAAACCCGACCTGGCAGACCCGTGACATCAGGCCTGAGGCGTCGCTGACTTCATTTCGTCGTCTTTATCTGGTTTTTGTTGCCGGAGAAGATCCTGGCAGAGGCTGGTCTATACTTCCCTATATCTGACTGCTTCGTCCACTCAATTGTGCGGCACCTCCCATTTCCTCCCTCCTTCTTCCATCTCTAGAGGTAGGTATAGCTGCGGTCAGTGACGTACTGCCCACTCCTCCCGCTTTCTCTCACCGGAACCCCACTACTCGCTGCCTACTATCCCAACTCTCTAGTCTTTCACTACTCACTTCCCCTCCTCAACCTCACCGACTGATCGGACGGGACCGTTTATTAACTGATCAGTCTCCAGTCTTTTATTTCCAATTTCCCCGCCATCCCACTCTCTCCTCTCGTCCCCCGTCACCCATTCTCTACCGTTGATCGGTAGTCCTTCAGGATGGCTACCACGCACGCCCCCGTCGAACCCCCTAAACGCCGCCGCATCGGTGTCCTGACCTCCGGTGGTGATGCTCCCGGTATGAACGGTGCCGTGCGTGCCGTCGTCCGCATGGCCATCCACTCCAACTGCGAGGCCTACGCCGTCTACGAAGGTTACGAGGGCCTCGTGGAGGGCGGCGACATGATCCGCCAGCTCCACTGGGAAGATGTCCGTGGCTGGCTCTCGCGCGGCGGCACTCTGATCGGTTCCGCTCGCTGCCTGGCCTTCCGCGAGCGTGCCGGTCGTTTGCAGGGTGCCAAGAACCTCGTCCTACGGGGCATTGACGCCCTGGTGGTCTGTGGTGGTGATGGTAGTTTGACCGGTGCCGATGTCTTCCGTTCGGAATGGCCCAGTCTGCTAGAGGAGCTGGTCAAGACCGGTCAATTGACCAAGGAGCAGATCGCGCCGTATCAGCGGTTGAACATCGTTGGTCTGGTGGGCTCCATTGATAACGACATGTCCGGCACCGACGCCACCATCGGCTGCTACTCCTCGCTCACTCGCATCTGTGATGCTGTCGACGACGTTTTCGACACTGCGTTTTCCCACCAGCGTGGCTTCGTTATCGAGGTCATGGGTCGCCACTGCGGTTGGCTGGCCTTGATGGCTGCCATCAGTACCGGCGCCGACTGGCTCTTCGTGCCGGAGACGCCGCCCCGCGACGGCTGGGAGGATGACATGTGCTCGATTATTACCAAGGTATGCTGCTAGATTTCGTGGGTGCAAACTTGATACTGACGAGGACTTTGCTAGAACCGTACCGAGCGAGGAAACCGCCGGACCATCGTCATCGTGGCTGAAGGTGCCCACGACCGTAAACTCAACAAAATCTCCAGCTCTACTGTCAAGGATATCCTTACCAAGCGTCTTAACCTGGATACCCGAGTGACTGTGCTCGGTCACACGCAGCGTGGAGGAGCGGCCTGTGCCTACGACCGCTGGTTGTCAACGCTGCAGGGTGTGGAGGCCGTTCGGGCCGTTCTCGACATGGAGCCCACTACCCCGTCTCCCGTTATCACCATTCGCGAAAACAAGATCCTGCGCACCCCGTTGATGGACGCAGTTTCCGAAACGAAGAAGGTCACCTCGCATATTGAGAACCAGGAGTTCGATCAGGCGATGGCCCTTCGTGACGCGGAATTCAAGGAGTACCACTTTGCCTATCGCAACACTGCCACCCCTGACCACCCCAAGATGACGCTTCCCGAGAACAAGGTTTGTTTGTATCCTCCCATGAGTTGAAATAGGTGCTAACGGATCCAGCGTATGCGCATTGCCATCATCCACGTCGGTGCCCCCGCTGGTGGTATGAACCCCGCCACGCGGGCCGCCGTGGGATACTGTCTCACTCGCGGACACACACCCCTTGCCATTCACAACGGTTTCCCCGGATTGTGTCGCCACCACGACGACAAGATCAGCTCCGTGCGCGAGGTCAGGTGGCAGGAGACGGACCCCTGGGTCAACGAGGGAGGCTCCGACATTGGAACAAACCGAAGCCTGCCGGGCGAGGACTTCGAGACCACGGCTAAGTGCTTCAAGGAGCACAAGTTCGACGCCCTGTTCGTCATCGGTGGTTTCGAGGCCTTCACCGCTGTCAGCCAGCTGCGCCAGGCTCGTCAGAAGTACCCCGAGTTCAAGATCCCCATGACGGTGTTGCCCGCCACCATCTCCAACAACGTGCCCGGAACCGAGTACTCGCTGGGTAGCGACACCTGCCTGAACACGCTGATCGATTTCTGCGACGCCATCCGCCAATCCGCCTCTTCCTCTCGTCGCCGTGTGTTTGTCATCGAAACCCAGGGCGGCAAGTCTGGCTACATCGCCACGACGGCTGGTCTCGCCGTGGGCGCTTCCGCCGTCTACATCCCCGAAGAGGGCATTGACATCAAGATGCTGTCCCGCGACATTGACTTCCTGCGCGACAACTTCGCCCACGACAAGGGCGCCAACCGAGCCGGCAAGATCATCCTGCGCAACGAGACCGCTTCCAGTACCTACACCACGCAGTTCGTCGCCGACATGATCAAGGAGGAGGCCAAGGGCCGGTTCGAATCCCGTGCCGCCGTTCCTGGTCACTTCCAGCAGGGTGGCAAGCCTTCGCCCATGGACCGTATCCGTGCCCTGCGTATGGCCATCCGTTGTATGCTGCACCTGGAAGGCTACGCCGGCAAGACCCCCGACGAGATCGCGGCCGACGAGCTCTCCGCCTCCGTCATCGGCATCAAGGGCTCGCAGGTCCTCTTCTCGCCCATGGGCGGAGAGAACGGTCTCGAGGCCAAGGAGACCGACTGGACGCGCCGTCGCCCGAAGGCCGAGTTCTGGCTCCAGCTGCAAGATACCGTCAACATTCTGTCTGGTCGGTCGGGCTGGCGCGAGGGTCGGCAGACTAACTGGGGGTGTTACGAGTCGGTTTAAAATGAGATCTCGTTGAGATATGGTGTATTTGGCGTTTCCTACATTCCGTTTGATTTGATGTTCAGATTAAGACATACATGAAGATATGAAGACATGAAAAGAAAGATCCTCTTCTACTTCTGAATTTATTATATTCTTTCCTTCAACTTGATCAAATCAATGGTATGGTAGAATTCACTATGTATAGGTAGGATTTCAGGATCTCAGGTCCCTATCTCTCAACTAGTTATCGGGTTCTGCTTAACTTATCAGATCTCCTCCCTTCACCCGTTAGCTCTCCCAATATTGCTATAAAGGTATATACCCTCACTAGTTAGCATCCCATAAACAAATATTTAGAAACTCCCCCTCACGCCTCCCACCCACACCAATAAGTCCGCCTTGAGAACCCTCCACATCCGCACCCACCAGCATCACAACCAGGACACAAGTATAAGACATAAGTATAACCAGCTCCACATCAAACAAACATCCGAACTACGAAAACCAAACAAACAGATGACGGCTTCTTTCGTGGCAAAATAACAATTGTAGAGCGACCAAGTCCCGCTGGGCTCACAGACCTCGAGAACTGGGCATTCGGTCACACCGGCAGGCATCGCGTCGCTCGAGTTGGTCTTTTGTGGTGATTACATTACTCGGGTGGGCATAGCCATGAAAGGGTTGGGGCCCGGTGGGATGTGGGAGAGGTTTAGGGGATTGTGGGGGTTTCATTATAGTGTTTCCTTTTTGATATCTTTCTTTGGTTTTTTTAGAGGGGGGGAAGAAAGGTGTCTGCTGTCTATGTATTAGGGTTTTGGTTTGGGGGCGAGGGCGAGGGCTGGAATAAAGATGAAGAAGGAATTGGTAGATGGACCATTCATATCCAGAAGCGGCCGGTTCGCACTGATCTCCTCTCTTATTGAGTGGTAGTATCTTCCCTGGTTCGAGCACCGTCTGGTATATTCAGTCGACCATCGGACATGCGCTTTGTTTAGTTTTCGGCTGGGACGGAAAGACGCTAAGGCATATACTTCGCCTGAAGAACAAGCACCCCTGCCTAGCGCATCGTGATATGGATCGTACACCGTAAAAAGACTTCAGTGGGGAATGACTTATATTCCGATACTCCGATACTCCATACTAAATTGCTGCGTCCTTTTATTTCAATGGAGACCCCTGGCTTGACTAATCACTAATCGCGGAGGCCGAAATCCCCGGAGTCAGTAAAGGAGAAAAGGTCCTTATTTTCTTCGTAGCAAAGATACACTGCACTTCGCGAATAAAAAGGTGCTGATTTCCAATCTTTTTGAACATGGATTTACCTGACATTCAAGATTGAAGTCTCAAGTTGTTTTTTTAAATTTTAAATTTTATACCTGTGTGATTTATCTGGAGGGGATAGAAGGAAGCTCTAACTATGGAAGAGGACATCGAACTAGAGCGGCTTCGGAAATCCGTCGTCAACCCACCAGACACAAGAGGATTAAGTAAACGGCTTCATCGACGAACGCGTCGAGCACACGCCTATCACGAGACACAGAACTTGCATATAAATCGTCTCATTCAAGTGGCCGAGGACCCGACTTCAACAAGGATATTAGACGATCGAGTCGACTCATCAGCTGCTCACGTCAAAGCCGCCATATACCTTTCTATCTATGGCACGATCCTTGTCGCCGTGCTGCAGATCTACGCAGCGGCAACGACTCGCTCCTTATCTCTCTTCGTGACCATGGCGGAAAGTTGCTGCGAGGCAGTCAGTAACATCGGTCTTGATTATTTGCATAGGAAATCGAGGAAGCTTAGCGATTCGACCCGCTGGCCGGCGGGCGCTGGACGACTCTGTAATGCCAGGAATATCTGCTTTGCCTTTGCCTTGATGGCTGTGTCGCTGGTCTTGGCTGTCGAGTCGATCCGCGCTCTCGCGAGCCCGGACCACGAGCTGGGAACATTTCACGTCGCGGCTATCATCGCCGCTGCGTGTGGATTCGGAATCAAGCTCTTCCTGGCCGTCTATTGCTTCATCTTCCGTCGACACAGTAGTCAATTGGAAATGCTGCGGGAAGACAACCGAAACGACTGCTTCGAGTACGGGTTCGCGATATTCACCTCTGCCGCTGGGGCTAAGTTAGGCTGGTGGGTGGATCCGGCTGGTGCGTTACTTATCGCTTTTGTTATTATCGCCACCTGGATTCGCACGGTTTATTCGGAGTTTATGGAGCTTTGTGGACTTGGAGCTGAGCCCGCCTTGGTGCAGGAGATCGTGTTCTTGACACTGAGGCATTCGGATTTGATTTTGAAGGTGGATACGGTGAATGCGTATCACTGGGGTGAGGAGTTGTTTGTTGAGGTGGATATCGTCATGGCGCCTGAGCGGAGCCTGAGAGAGGTCCATGATGTCTCGCAGGAGCTGCAGGATAAGCTTGAGACGGTTGAAGGCTTTGGGAGGGCTTTTGTGCATGTTGATTACGGTAGGTTGTTTTGTTTTGTTTTGTTTGGTCGTTCGTTATGTGGCTTGAGTATCAGATGACTGACTTGCTTTGTGAATTTTAGAAACGTCGCATATGCCCGAGCACCGCAAAACGCGCTGATGAAATGTCAATCATGCACGATCACCCAGCAGAGTAAAGGAACTTTTGTGACATATCAGCCATATCAACAAAATCCAGCATTGTTTTGAACCACCGGATGTTGAGGCCAGATTATGCAACCCACGCGCTTTGCAGATATCCAGACTTGATGGGTTGGGTTTGTTGATTAACCCGCGAGAGGTGCCCAGGCGATGAAGGTAGCGAACAATATGTAATGGAACCTGTGGAGAATTCTATCGAGAAGACCGATAAAGTGCAGGTGATGGGAAATCCTGTCACTAAATATGCTCCGCTGCAATACCAAGAGCTTGGCTTCGGTGCCAAGCGAGGCGAAGCCAGAAAGCACCGCATTGATTAACAAGGAATCAAAATTAAGATCGGAGATTCACCCTATAGGTACAGTGGTTCTTTCGATCATCACATGGATGAGTAAAAGCGTGTAAGTTTGATGGTTTGGTTGATCGTGAATATAGGGTGAGGATGAAGGAGGATGAAGGAGGATGAAGGAGGATGAAGGAAGGAAGGTGAGCGTCATTATACCCTCATATCTAACGCTCTTAGCTACTTGCATTAGGCGGTATAAATAAAGTGAACAAGAAGCGTCTCATCCTCATACCCCACAGGTAGAAGTAGCTCGATTACTCTACACAGATATCAAAAGCAGAAATTGATTGCAATCCCAAATAGACCAGAATAACGTAGCATGCTAATAAAAAATTATACCCAAGTCTCAAACCAACTGACTTGCCCAGTCTGAAACACATACGAACAAAGAAAAGAACATATTAGGAGAGATGCCACCGCAACAAGATGCCATAAAATGTCAGTAGATAGATAAAACCCCAAATCCACATCCCACAGCTTGATATCCCATTCGATCCAATTGACATGAACATGGACATAAACATAGAGCAAGGCTGGGACTTAGGATAGTAGAACAGACCCAGCCCAAAATTCTAGGTATCAAGTACCATAGACCGGACTAATTAGTCTCCTCCACCAGACCCAACTCGTCCAAGAGCTGAACGGTCTCGGCGGGACCAGCGATCCAAGCCGTTGTGGAGGCCAAACGGGCCTGTATGCACGTCAATCAACTATACTCTACCACAGAGAAGAATGGAAGAAAAGAACATGGCGAGTCCTACCTTGAAATCATTCGCGCCCGCAGACAAGAACTGGTCCCCGACATGCAACGTGCGGGTTCGTTCGATGCCGCCGAAGTACTGCTGACACGCCCGCACACCCCAGGATTTATCACCGATGTCGACAAAGACGTCATTTCCACCTATTGAATTCAATGTGCATCAGTAACAAGACAAAGAGGGAGATGACACACGAAAGCGAAAGGAAATGTCTCACCATTAAAAGCACAAAACGGCAACCGTCCACCCACCGCCGACCGCTCAATCGTATTCTGCACCACCAGAACCGTCTCCTCCAACTGCTCACGATTGACCCTCGTTCCGTTCACCGGACTCACGCCGACCGCGCGATCCTTCCTCAGCACCGTCACCGGGAGTCCTAGATTGTTGACGCACGCGCGGAGCGATGACTCCGCCAGGTCCAGGAGCGCCGTGATATCCGAGTCCTGCCAGGTGGTCATCTCAGGTAGAAGCCACTGGTCGCGGGGCACGTAGGACAGGCGATGCGGCGAGCTAGCGTCATAGCGGAAGAGGAAATTGCTCTCGCCGCCCATGACGACTAGACCGGCGCGTTGGTCGGGGGAGAGATCGCCTGCCTCGTCGTGAACGGCATCCAGTAGACCCTTCAGGCGTGCGTAGTATTTCTCCGCCTCGGTGTATCCGGCTGCAGTGACGATGCCGACTTTGCGGCCCTGGCGGAGGAGGCGGAGGAGGCGCGGGATGGAGGGGTTGTCGGAGGTGAGGCAGGCGCCGTCGTCGTAGAGGGTAACGTCTCCGTCGAAGGTAACGAGATCAACGTGCGAGCTGCGGACGAGGCCGAGGAGTTGTGCGGAGTTCAGGATCAGGCGGATATCGTTGAAGGAAGGGGCGACGAAGCGGCGGCGGCTGATGGCGCGCAGGCGGTCCTGGTATTTGAATGCATCTTCGAGGTGTAGGGGCGTGAAGAAGGAGCCGACGGAGGGGACGAGGAGTTTCAGTTTGGATTTGCCGGGGAGGTCTTTGGCTTCGTGGTCGACTGCACAGATAGGTGTCAGTCTCAGTTGTCGCCCTCGTAGTCAGTCTTGCGGCAGGACGGCAGGGACATACTGTGATCACGAATCAAACTCTCCACGTCGCGAAAGATCTCGGCATAGCGCTGATGGGTATCGGCGGCGACGGCGACCAGATTCTCGCTATCTTCCTGGTAGATAACGGTGGGCTGGGAGTGCAGGACGAAGGGAACGGCGAGGAGACCTTTGATCCATTCGATCAGTTGGTCGCGGCGATGGGACTGCGATGGCGCAGCGGGTTAATTATCGGTCGGGGCGTGTCTCTGGAATGAATCCCACCTTCAGCGCATCTGAGCACATTTCGGTGAGCAATCTGGATCCACAGCCAGGAAGTAGGTAAACAGCAAGGGGAACTTACACTCAACGCGGTATCTGGTCGTCATTGTATATAAGCAATTGGGGCGAGATGCAAAATGGACAGGTCAGAGAGCAAACGATAAAAAATAAAGAGGACGAGAGGGGAGATCAGAAGAGAGAGAGAGAGAGAGAGAGAGAGAGAGGAGCGGTGATATACGAAGGAGACAGCAAACGGCGAGTTGGAGAAGGACAGAAATTCCCCGCAGTGAAGGACGCCAAGACCGATAAGAAGGACCTGCAGTGCTGATTGAACTAGTTGGAGTACGTCTCTGCACCAGACCCGGTGATCATGCCGCATCTTACTGCTTTGAGCAGATCGATTCTTATATAATGGTCATGATCTCACATGACTCCATCGTGATCTCCACCGGTCGCATTGGCAAAGCCTCAAGCTGGACCACCAAAGCGACTGGTCCAGCGCTGTAGCCTGTGGAACAGGAGAATCCGGCGATCGGCGGTCGTCGGGCGCGACCGACCGAGGAATCTCTACGATAACCAAAATAAACAGCACATAGTTAGAAATAACAATAGGTGTCATTCATTTCATCACACTAATGGATCCGCCAGGGAAACACAACCAAACGCTACCAACCCATCGGATATCGAGATCATCATTCATGAGAGAAACTACACGCGCGAGTGATCGATGCGCTCGGTGCGCTCGACGTGCTCGTCGCGCGTTCCACCAGCCATCTCCGCCTTGTCCAACACGATGAGGTCGCGCTGGGCGGCGTCGCGGTTGCCGTAAAGTCCGATCTTGTACCACGGCAGCTCGAACAGCCGGTCCATGCTCTCTAGGCTGCGTCCCGCCGTCTCGGGCACCGTCACGTAAACCCAGAGACCGCCGAAGATCGTCACGGCTGCGAAGAACCAGAAGGTGCCGTACGGGCTAAGGCCGCCGGCGTCTTGGCCCAGCAGCATGTTGGGCACCGCGCGCGAGTTGCCGTACTGGTTGACAAAGTGCAGCGTCATGGCCAGCGAGGTGGCCAGGGCGCGGATCCGCAGCGGGAACAGCTCGGCCGTCAGCAGATACTGCATCGAGTTCCAGCCCAGCGCCCATCCCACACCCGAGATGTACATCATGGCGATGGCGCCGCGACTGGCGGGCTTGTCCTTCTCGGGAAGCACGAAGCTCTTGTCAACGCCCATCTCCGGTGAGCTGGTGAGGAAGCCGGCAATGTAGATCATCGCGATGGCTTGCAGCGTGATTCCCAGCAGCAGAGCGCGCTTGCGACCGATCACGTCGACCAGGAACAAGGCGCACACGACAGCCGACACCAGCTTGACAATACCAAAGACACCGGTCACCAGCAGCGACTCGTTCTCGCCCTCAATGCCCAGGATCTTGAAGAGATCGGGCGCATACAGGGTGATGGACCCGGCGCCGGACCACTGCGACAGGAGCTGAGCTCCGCACGCGATGTACAGGCGGAAGAGGTTCTTGGGCTCCAAGAACGCCTCCTTGATGACGCCCATGGGACCGGCTCCGCGAGTGGCCTCCATCTCGATCTCGTGGGAGTTACGGATGGCGGTGATCTCTTCCACCACGTATTCGTGGTCGGGAGGAAGATGACGGATGCGCGCCAAGTTCTCCAGCGCCTTTTCATAGTTGTTCTTCTTCACCAAGAAGCGAGGAGACTCGTACTGGAGGAAAGACAGGCAGAAGATAAGGCCGGCGAAGATGATGTGTAGACTGGTGGGTACCAACTATTGGTCATATTAGCACTGACTGGTGGAGGGATTTGGGACGCAAGGAGGAATGAGGGGGGAGGGGGGTAGACGAACCCATCGATTGTGCGTGTTGTCTCCCAGATTGATCTGACAGCCATAGTTGGTGAAGTAGGCAAGGACTATACCCAGGTAGACGAAACCCGTGAAGATACAGGTGCAAAGACCTCGGATAGAAGCCGGTGCCTGTCATGGTCAGTACGGCGTTGCCAGTACAGACGGGGGATACTCACGATCTCAGCAAGATACACAGGTCCAACGACGACCGTTTGTCCAACTCCAAGGCCGGCAACAAAGCGACCAGCATAGATCATGCCCAGGTTGCCGTTGGCTCCCATGAAGATAGCCATGCCCAGAATCCACAAAACGCAGAGCTGACGAGTAGCCCAGATACGGCCGATCCGATCGCAGACCAAGAAAGCACTACATCAAACGAGCATAGAAAATTAGTACTGGGGCCAAGTGATCAGATGGAAAGAGTGGACGAAGGGAAATATACAAAAGAGCACCGCCAACAGAGCCAATCTGGACCATAGCCGACACGTTGGCCTTGATGTTGGTCTGGTCAACCTTGCTGTATGAATCGAAGTGGATGGTCCGCTGGAAATCCTTGGAGTTGAAAGCACCCGAAATCAATCCCTCATCCACACCGCGAGCGGCGCCCATGAGACCGAAGGAGACGACGGCAAACCATAGCCGCCAGTTGTACACCTCTTTAGGATCCCCCAAGTTTTTCATGCGAAAAACGTTGAGGGGCTTCTTGGGACCACCTGCCATGGTGCCGGTGAATGCCTGACTTCTCTCTTATGGGTATGGTAAATGTAGGCGTAATAGAAGAGGAAAGGCAAGGAGGACAGGGAAGAAGGCGAGAAAGAGGAAGAGAGAAGTAGGGGAGAGGAGAGAGGGGGAGGGAGAAGGAGGAAGAGGCACACAGTTCAGATCAGGAAAATTCCAGAGGGATGTAACCCTCAGTTAAATATGTGCAGGTCATGCATGCAGCAGCAGCAGCAGCAATAGCAAACTAATCGACAGCCGAAAAGCCTGTCTCTTTTCAACTCCGAGTAGTCCCTTTCCCACACGACCCAGAGATATTGAGCACACGCACCACGGGCCACACAGCATGCGGGGGACAGGGGCGTGGGGTGGAACGTCCACCATCCCTGGGATTCAGCTCAGAACAGAGCCTACTACTCCGTATTTCCTCGGCATTATCAATAGGAACTTCTGCTCGATGGTTTGATGCTTGCCACCATGGTTCTATCCCGTACAACCTAAACCGAACCGAGGACGGCCAAGCACCGGCGTCGCCAAGAGAGCTTGGGGTGCATATTCTGGAGATACCGAGAGAAACACGCTCGCCATGGGGGAGCTTATTAGCGCTTGACTTATTGGCCCAGCCGGGAGCGCCGCACAACGAAAAGTCAAAAAAAAGTATTCCAGGTTCTCGTCTTTTGGCACCACAGGCGGGACAGAACGGGTCCTTCCTCCAGGCCTCACCTGGGGGAAACTCTTTGGAACCGGCAACCCCGCATGGGGGATTCTCGTTAATGTTGGATGATATCGTCATGACAAGCCAGGAAGGAGGCGCTAGGTAACTCCTCGGTCGGTCGGAGGCCAGGGATCCTAGTGGACATCTACTCCGTATCTGGGTCGGACAACTCTAACCTGGGGATGACTTCGGACAACGTCCGAAAGGAATTCTGGCAACCCACCTGGGGAAGTCGCTTGGCGGACCTGGGGAAATTCCATGGCATCTTTGGGGGTCACGACGGGAAATTGCTTAGTGGACTCGATTAAGCCTTGGTTGTGGGGAGTAAAATCGCGTGTCACCGCTGATCTGTCTGGGCAAATACACATGGCGAGGCTGTTTTTCTGCCCACAATGTTCGGCTCAGTATGCGCACGGAATTCAACGACAAGTTGGAATTTTCGGATGCAACTTCACGGCATGCCTTGTCTTGCAGCAATCAGCATCCTGGTCAACACGGTCAACACGGTCGGCAAGCCTTCCCTTCGGTCGAAGGATTCGGTCAGCCAGAAGGAAAATTTTCTGCTGAGGTGGCCTCCGCCGGCGGTTCACCGGCCCCCAGAAACGACTAGGAGTAGCGTTGCCCGCCTCGTACCCTGTAAGATGAGGAGGGGATAGACGGCCCGCATGTGAGAATGTAGGAAAGAAGCCGGTGGGTTGATAGGACTCATAGGACTCATACGAGGATAATGCCCTCGTCGCCATTGGCAGATGCGACCGGAGTGGAGCGTCAAAGGATGAGGTCGAGATCGTTTGTCCCCATACCCCTGGTCCATCGCGCGACCTGCCTGGCCAATATACGGCCAGAAGTCGACTCCTAGCCTCGGGCTTACAGAGTTAAAAGTCCAGCTTGCCTCGGGGAATTCTCTGCGTGGACTGTGGAGGGGCTCTGGAAGATTAGCCTTATGCCCTACTGGGCTTGGTCTCCATCCACAGGACAACCCCCCATCTCAGGTGAGAATTACCAATCCTCTATCGACCCAATCGGACAATTCTACGTAATCCCCGGTTAGGAAAAAGGGTGGTATTCGAATTCATGTTCAAAAAAGTGTGGTAGCCCAAGTGGATTTAATCAAAAGTGATATGCATGCGTAGCCCAAAAGAAGTAAGACCCCCAACAAGTCCAAGAAGACCACACACAGTGCGTGGACCAAATGACCAAAAAAAAAAATTTGTAAATAGAAATGATAAGAGGAAAAAGCGAGGCCGCCCAAGGCGCAAAAAGTGCCCGGAATACCACTTGGCCTAAGTCCGCCACCGGAATGCAGGATTGCGCCAGTCCAGGTCTTGGATCTGCTTCTGCGACATGCCGGCTAGGGCCTGGTCCACGTCCATCCTTTCCCGTTTCTTGTTATCCCACTTCATCCATGCCCACAGGCAGGAGCTCAGGATCAAGATCGTGGACGACGTTGCCAAGTTCAACCCGTTGCCGATGTGGTAGTTCGGCGCGTCGAACGGCAGGAACGACCAGGTTGAGATAAGCCCTCCAATATTTCCCATCATCACATTGGTCCCGATCGCAGCTGAGCGCGCCGTGTCGGAAACCACGTTGTTTGACACATGCGCATTGCACAGTGACCCAAAGGCAAATGCACCGCTAGCGATAACGAAGGTCGCTCCGTATCTCACCATCGGATCGGTACTGGCCAGGAACATAATGTATCCGGCCATAACCAAGGGGGGTGCGATAACATAGAAGATCATCCGGTTGTCAAACCGCCCGCTGAGGAAAGGGAAGAAGACGGTAAAGAAGGCCCCGACCACATAGGGTGGGACAGTGTGGAGTTGCTGACCAACAACGCTGCTGTCGGGATAGATAGTCCGAACAATGGTGGGCGCGAAGAACGCCAATCCCTGCACGGTGATATTGTTGAGAAGAAAGATCATCGATGTTGCCAAGGTGACAGGACTGAAAATGCCGCGCAGCATTTTGGCCCGATCTATCTTATCCAGAACCTCGGTGGTGGCCACACGCTCTGACTTGAGCCGGGCAATGGCCAGATTCTTCTCTTCCTGCGTGAGCCAGCGAGCGGTCTCGGGGCGGTCGGTCAGTGTGAAGAACGCAATCAGGGCCAACCCAATCGTGATGATTCCCTCGATCGCGAAAATCATCCGCCACGCATGCAATCCGCCGAAATGATCCAGCGTCAGAATGGCCGACGCCAAAAGACCACCGAAGGCACCGGCGAGGGGGGCCATGACAACATAAAGCCCCAGGCGGAAGGCCAACTCGCTTCTCCGGTACCATCGCGACATATAGTACGCGATACCGGGCAACATACCGGCTTCAAAGATGCCAAGCACGAAGCGGACACCTGATGCGCTGTGAATATCATTCACAAAGGCCGTACAGACGGAACAAATGCCAAAGATCAACGTTGAAGCTGGCAGAAACCATCCTGGCCCAATCCACTTGCAAGCGATGTTGCATGGAATCTCGAAGATGATGTACGATATATAGAAGACAGAAAGGACAGCATTATAATCGTTTCCTTGAAGATTGAGATCCTTTTCAAGCCCGGCAAGCTTCGCATTGCCTACCCATCCGAAAATTGGTCAGCTCGCCAACGGTTATGTCAGAATGCACGTGGAGGTAACGTACCGATATTGGCTCGGTCGATGAAACAGAACAGGTACAACAAAGCGACCGTGGGTATGATATAAAAATCGATTTTCAGGCGCAGACGACTTTCAGCTCGGCGATCAAATTCGACAAGCGCACGGCCGTATTGGTCGGTGGCCGCCTGACCGCGCCCAGCCGCTTCATGGGCAGCTTCGGTGACAAATTTTTCCTTGTGTTGCGAGACACCCTTCTCATCCACTATCGTGTCAGGGGGCGTGTCGGATGTCATAGTGCTCCCGGTCGTGTCCAGATTCTCGAGCCAGGGGAGCTGGTGAAATACTTATCTCTCCGCGGTGAACAATATCCCCACAATAGACTGCCACGCAGCGTGGTCGTGAGGGTTATAAAGGTCGCTGGGGTCGGATAGGAGAGCTTTCTCGGATTTGCCGAATACTAGCACGGAAGCAAAGCTCGGATGAGACCTGGGGAAAAGTATCGCATCTGGGGTAGGGTCGATCTCGAAACGTGGGGCGAGTGGCGCTGAAGATGCCCGAGTGCTGGACGCCTGCTGTTCTTTGATCGTTACCGCTTAAGATGGACGGCACTTGACAGTCACTGCCCTGGCCCGAAACCTGGATGTCGATACAAACGGGTAAGATGGGAGGTCCCAGAAGCCGCGGGGAAGCAATGGATTCACCGAGGCAGAGCTCGCATTGGCCGGCGAAATAATCACGAAGACGGGATTGGTGCAGGTCTCCAGACGGTTCAGCATTCACCGAGGAATTACCAATGTGGGAGGCCAGAAGCAAAGCCAGTACTTTTCTGGCGGCGTTCCTTGGCAGTCAGCAACGCTCGTTCTGGTTGTGCTCCCGAGATGATCCATAGCGTTTTCCTTATCTTGGCCAGTCGCCAAGGACGCGTCCGTTGGCATGGCGGAGAACGGGATTTGTCAAGCTGAAAAGGAGCGTCAGCCACCAAAGTCTACAGGTCCGAATTGAAACCGCTAGTTAGGGGATGACATCCTGTCAACCGTGAACGAGAAAAAAGAACCCGATGAACTATCGAGGTGTGACAGAATCTCCAGGAGCAGATAACATTGATAAGAGGCTTTGTGTTGATGAAAGAAATAAAAGAGAGACTAGAAAATTAACCTTACCGGGGATGATTCACAGAAAAGCCAGTCCAGCACGCCAGGAATAAAATCAGGCTAGCGAGCCCGCCCCGAAGACAGGGGACAAAGTCCCCGCATTCGAGAACTCCACAAAATCCCCAGATCAGCTGGTTCGCGCCAATGATAGTTGGTGATGGCGATGGCAAAGACGAGTTGGAGAAGGGAAAAGACGCGAGGGCTGGTCGAGGCGAACGGCACGTGCGCAGCGGGGAGGCCACGTGAAGTCATAGGACTACCATCTATTCCCCGGCCCATCCCTAGAGACTTCCCCCTGTTATCTTCGAGATGATTTCTCACGAGTGACATGATGGTTCTCTCCTGCAGACGGGCTTGCGCTGATCATCAATCCTAGATCAAGGTTACATTCCCACCCCTGCTGCCTTACTTAGCCTGCGCTGTGGTCCGTCTCCTACCCTTCTGATCCTCCTTCGCCAATATAATCCCCAGGACTCCCCTGGCTCTATGGCGCAGGTGCAGCTTGGCAGTTGCTTCCCCGCATCAAATTCCGTGCGGATATGATAAGCGAAGTCCTGTCTCCGTCCCAACCAAGCGCCGAACATCGGATCAAGTATCGGCAAGAAGGGCCAGAGACCAAGGATTCCAGGGGGAATGCGGTACCGACGTGTAATGACGCGCTCAGTAGCTAGGGAAGGGCTTGTTCTGCCAATCAAGTAGAGTCCTCCTCCTCCCATGGTTGACTATCGACCGTCCAAGAATGACCAGGCCGACAATCACTTAGAACGACTTGTTATTTGTGCCCAGGGTTCTCTGTCGCCCGGCGGATTGACTGCAGCGTGTGTCTGCTCGGGCATTGGACGTTAGACCGAGTTTCTGATGGATAACTCTGACTGCGAGTGACCAGTCTGCTCTCCGGGCCAAGCGCGGTAATCTACCGAAAGACCGGGTTCTTTCCAAAACTCCGCGGATTGAGGAGCGGAGAGGACAGGGTCGAAAATGGGGCAAGACCAGTAAAATGATCTTCTAGTCCAGTCCACGAGTCATGGTACTATGCCGTACGCCCAGTGCGCGAGTGCGTGCGATACTCTTTGAGCACCTGGCTTGCCATGTCATCGACTATATTAACTAGACACTTGCACACCAGCAGCTTGCCAAGTGAGCAGAAATGAGTCCATTAGCGTGTACTGCAGGATTGTGGGGATCGTGAAGATGTATCTCCTCTACCTTGATATATTATTTGGGAAGAAATAGTAAAATTCCGTATAGAATCCGTCGTGTACTAGACTCGTAGCTTCTTGTGGCTGCGCTCGAAAGAACCATTCCAAACTTGTTCAAGAAAGCAATCAACAAAAAAAGCACCCCCCAGCCCTTTCTTGACCACGCTCAAAGCAAAGCCACAGCCCCCAAAGCCCCCACCACTCCAACCAAACTCCCAAAGACCTCCCCCGTAGGACGAGGAACACCACCCGTCGAGCTCGAAGTAGCAGCAGCTCCTTCTCCTCCTCCTGTCTTGTCCCCTGTCTTACCACCATCCCCATCCCCATCCCCATTCCCACTATTACCATCATCATCACCACCCTCACCCTCCGTCTCACTCCCTCCCCCACTCCCAAGCCCTCCCGTACTTGTCGGCGTAGCACTAAAATCAACATCACCTTGAGTAACCTGCGCCTTCATCTTCGTCACATATCCTTTCACATCCGGCGGCAAGCCAGCATACCAATCGGGTGTATGTCCAGCACGAAAATCTGACGCAATCGATTCACGACCCGCGGGCTGAATCAATTTCGCAAGAACAGACGGCGGGATTCCGGTGATGATGGCCCCGACCAGCGAGGAGGGCGGTTGGATCAGGTTTCCACCTGGGATTTCAAATGGCTTGGTAAATGGCGTTGCGTCGGGGAAAGCGGATTTAAGAGCATCTCTGTTTGATACGTAAGATGGTTAGTTAGTGGGGATTCGTGGGGAGGGCGATGAACAAGGGGGAAGCGTACGCTTGGCTGCGGAGAAGAGCGCCGTCAAGAGTCACTTTACTGGCGATGGTTGGAGAGTCTTGGCTGAGGGTTTGCGTGATGTATATGGGAATTATTAGAAGAATTGAGATAAAGAGGTTCATTTTTCTGTAGACCATGAAGTGCGAACTGTTCATCAACGACTCCAAGATTGAAACCAGAAAATTGTGCCTTGGACTCGGAGTAATTATATAGTTGAAGCCGTGAGACGCACTATTGTACGGTGGAACAGAAGATACCGTGAGCAAACCCGTTTATGAGTCGCGATACGCTGAAAAATTGCTATACAAGAGGAAACCCTCATTCTTCGGGAGACGCGGCATCAAATCCTCGGCCATCCTGAGATCTTGTATGATTCTTTTGCAACGTTCTGTGGGTATAGATTGCCTGACTCGAACATGCTGATTCAGAATGTCTGAGGTGCGAAAAAGTCCATCCACTCAGCCAATTCTTTTTACCATAATGTCATCATCCACGAAGCCACCGGTCACGCATGAACCCCGGATCCTTCACGATCAGGTCTAGATCAGAGTGCGGAGATGTAATTCGGCTTGGACGGGCCGAGGGTGGCGTTGGGCCTTTGACGTCCGCAGACGGACCGAGTATCCTTTCCTACAGTATTCCGAAGAGAATACATCGATTCATCAAGACATCTCAATGTTTAGAATGTCTGTATAACAGTTCCCTGTGGCGAGTGCTCTGCGTTTCTGAGCCACCGAGTCAGAAAGTATGAGTCGTATATTGTTCGAACTACAGGAACAGATTTGCCTCCTCAGAAAGACATATTCCATTCTCTAATCTATACCCCGCAAAATAATCTAGCAATGAGATAATATTCAGAATTCTATCATTCGAGAGCAGTAGAGGGGATATGGCGTTCAGAAAACGCATCCTCCACCACCTTATAAAAGGCACGTCGAGTTCAACAGTGAGACTCATCCCAAGACACCAACAACTCCCCAGCCCTCGCTAGAAACTCCAGCATCAAAAACGAACACCCCGACAAAATGAAGTTCTTCAAATTCTTCCCCCTCGCCATCCTGCCCTTCACGGCACTGGCAATCCCAGCCCCAGACGCCGTCTCCAAACCACCCAGCGAGCTCGAACTGACCGACTTCCAACTCGCCAACGCCCTCGTCTCACGACAGAACAACGCGAATCTGTCAAATCTCGGCGACCTTCTCGGCGACCTGACTAAGTCCCTCGGAGCGGTAAAGGATCTCCTGTCCTCCGAAAGCCTGAACAACATCCAGACTATCGTGACAGACCTCTCGTACCTTCTTAAGCAGCCTACCGCGAAGGAAACGAAGAATCTGATTAGCACCGTGAGCTCTTTGCTGAACTCCAAGGGTGTGAAGAATCTGGTTGATCAGTTGCCGGACCTTTTGGATGATGTCGGTGGGCTGGTGACTCCTCAATTGGTTAACAATGTGACCGATCTTCTGGGGAATGCGCACGATCTCTTGACTAAGGAATTCGTTGGAAATACGAAGGGGCTGATTAATGACGTTGCTCCGGTAAGTTAGGATGCTCTGAGAGATGCGAGGAGGTCGTTGTGCTGACTGTTTCTAGCTGGTATCCGCCATATCTCAGGTCATTACGGCCCTGTTGTCGAGTATTTTGGGATAGTTGTGGCTGACACCAGACTGTCAATTATATGAGGACTTCTGATCGTTTCCGAAGATCTAAGTCTTGGCAGTATGGGTGCTAGTGTTTATGTGGTTCAATATTGGATACGGAACAGCTATGGGAGTAACCATTAGCATGAATAGCGACATGGGAGTAATCGATCATAATTTGCACGAAAGTATTTTCTGAACGGCAAATCTGGTTGCGATAAAAGCTATTGACCAGTCAAGTAATTATCAATCGTAAGCTTTGAGCAGCTGTATCATCATAAATTATCCATGAATCATTGTGCAGCTTTGATATTCCAGAACCGATGCTCTCAGCGTGCGTCATCACCCAATTAGTCACGGAGACACAATCCCAACACCTTTCGGATAAGACATGACTCGTTATGAATCGAGAAACAGGAACGGCGCTGTAGATCATGACTAGATCCATCGGTAATCTGGGTCCATTGGACGAAAGAAGGGCGGGGAAGCATCCTGCAGATTAAATTATATTGGAGTGGCGGGGAAGACGAGTTCTGAACACTGACGCCAACAAGTCGCCTACGTTTGCCAACGGCTCCAGAGCGGCTTTACTATTGCTGTTTACACGTGAAAGCCGAGACTTCCGTATTGACATTTCTCTAATAGCAGCGATCTATAACTGTTGTGGAGAGCTCTCAGCTGGTAGCCCGGTACCTCACACGCACATACTCGCGTACTGGTTAATCCTAAAATTCTTCAACATAACATACTAGCAATTTTTGTTTAAAAGGTCGTGGAAGAAAATACCAAATCAAGCCTTGGACTAATACCCATCGTCCAAAGACCAGCCAATGGATAAAGCTCGGAAGTCACCTAGAGCCCGTAAATCGTCCGAAGATCGAGTGGCACGGAAGCGAGAACAAGATCGACAAGCCCAACGAAGCGCTCGGGAAAAGACCAAGACACTCATTTCTCAGCTAGAATCTCGCATCGAAGTATTAACACAATTCCATGACAGTGGAAATGTGAAAAGTTTGTTGGATGAGCTTGAGTCACAGCGAAGCGCGAATGACACTTTGCGAGCTACGTTACGAACGATCGAGAAGGTGATCGGTTCGGGCATTTCACAAGCTAGTAGGTGCCAAGTGTGTGTTGCAGGCGTATGATGATGCTGATGAAACGCGTACTGGAGACACTCTCTGTCCAAGTCGACCTGAGTTGGAAATACCTCGTGGTCTCGTGCCATCGTCATCCACCGACGGCGGCTGTTGCATGCCGCAAAGATCGAGCCATAATATCCCGGACGAACTTTATTTCGAATCTTCAATAGGTCAGACCCGTTCCAGTCCTCAATCTTATGATGATATCTGTCCCAGCGGGGCGGTAGACCGAGCCAACAACCTCAACTTTGCTCTTCCTGTCAGCGACGAGCTGAACGATCCTCAACATGATCCCTTTATGAGATTGCGTGGCGCTAGCTATCAGAAGACGAGCGCCACGCTCGACGCCTTGGCAGCAGTACCATCAATGTCTCAGTTCAGCCCTCTATGTGAATGCTGCAAGTCGATACTTGACTTCAATAGCCTTCTAGGGGAATATACTCCATCCTGCGCTCAGAGAGCGATAGACCAACGAGAATTGGACGCAGATATCCCGATCAGGGCTGTGCTTCACGGATGGTCGGTTGTTGAGGGTTTATACACACTTGATCCTGTGTGGACTATTATGCGAGTAGCCGATGAATCCATTTGGCGACATTGCGGGGCGATCGAGCGGTTGGCTATTTTGAAGGTTGTCAGCTCAATGCTTCGCGTATGTCAACTAGTCTGAGGGCGTTTTCTGACACGAAGTCACTCATGGCTAACATTGCCTTTACCAGTATCGGACTGATCCCTCCGAAGTTAGCTCGAAAGCACTCCCAATCTTCATGCGACAGCGGCCGTCACAGATACGTATCATTCATAAGCCGTTAATTGATTTCATCGTTTGGTATGTCCCTTCCAATAAGATAACAAAACGAAAGCTAACCCATCAAGGCCGGGACTGCGCGAACGATTAGTGCTTTTCCCTCATCAGCACTGTTCGGCCAAATTTTGGAATCTCTTCTGGCATTGCTTTCGGTTTGACTGGCCTTACACGATGGAGGATGCCTACCTGCAGCATAGCCAATCCGGGCTGTATCAATTCTCTAGAACATTTACTCATCACTTCTTTGACTTGCAGCGATGGCGCATGACAAACACCTTTGTGGGGGAATTTCCTGACCTGGAGCCCGACGTGAATGTTGTGCCCTCAGTCAGTGGCTCGGCATCTTCTGCCATGGACGACGAGGGCTTTCTTACTGGTCTAGAGGAACTCGTTCATGCACATGAACCCCAGTTGGAGGCGCTACCAGCCAGCTTTTTTACAGACTTGCAGTCAATAGATTGGCCAGCTAGCCGATCGAGTCTGTTTTAATTTCATCGGACTAAAACAATAAAGGGGCATCGAGCGTTATAAAGTGATCTCGTATCGTACCACACCTCCTCAAATCATCTCCCGTCGTAATTGAATTGCATAGATCCCACTGACACATGTCCAATGGCACTGAGAAACGTGCCATAAGTTCAGCTTCTCGGAGTGCCGCCACCGCGCAGTAAAGTGTCTAAACATAGGAAGTATTCCGGTCGTAAAGTGATCTGTCTACTCGTCTACTCAAATGTAACCTCTCTTTGTGCAGGGACTCGAATTCTGCATATCATAAGCGCTAAGGGTCTCGTATTGCTTGCCTCGCCCTAAGTACTCGCATAATGGATCCACATCGAGACGTTCCCCTTCAACATAAATAGATCATGTATTCCATCTTTGACTGTAATATGTTTCTACATCTCACTCGCCTCTGATTCCCTAAGCTCATAGGCAAAGTCCCGAAACAACAACGAAAATGCGTCTACCTTTTACCCTCCTAGTAGCAGCAGCCTTCTCCCTAGGCACAGAAGGGGCTGTTAAGAACGTATGTATTCCTCCTTCCTCCCTCACTTCGCACATATATCCAATCTTGAGCACAAGATCTAACTAACAGTCCATCTGAAGTGGGATTTCCATATCTACAAACCAGGCTGCAATCCCGAGGACGTTGACTACAGCTTATCTATATTCCACGCCATCGGGACCAGGGCCCAGTCCTGCACTGCCCTCGATACATGGGAGGACCTCGACCTCTCCGAAGCGGACAGTCTCTCGTGGAAGAGCCCAGCGGAAGAGCGCGCCCAGTTCGACCTGTGCATGTATGCAGATGGGCAGTGTAGTGGGAAGCATACCGATGTGATTCGGAGTACTTGGGATATTTGTTATTCGTATAATGGGTTTAAGGGGTACAAGGTTGTTCCGATTGGAGCTGCTTGTGAGTAAATGTTACGGTATCTGGTGATCTGCGAATCATCGCCAGTTATGAGATTGTATATTTTGCTACTAAGGGACCCCGGATTGCGAACGATTTTTGAAGTACGGTACACGCTCTCGTTATGGAAAACCATAATATGCGATTAAGATCATACTTAAGGCTCTATTTACTCAAAAAATTGATCGATTATGTCAAGTGAAGCAGGATGTTGCTATCAATCAAAAGCTGTTGCAAAATGCAAACAAACCAAACAAAAGTTCTGATGCGATGACTCAGCGATGAATAATCCCTTAGTTACTCGGGATTACGGGAATATCATGTGGCGTATATCCGAATTTTTGACTCCTCGCAGGATCAACCCTGCAATGAATTTCATGAAATCTATTAGCCGCGAATCAACCTAGATTTTGGCTACTCTCAATGGCTGAAACAAGTTCACCTTCACAGTCATCTGGATGGCGAATATCCAAAGCATGCCAAGAATGCCGCAAGAGGAAAATCAAGTGCAATGGCCTCGAACCGTGCAAAACCTGCCAGCTACGTAACACGCCGTGCACATATCGCGAGGTTATCCGGCAGCGCAAGAAGAAGTATCAATACAGTCTAGATGCTGATGCATATACTTCGAATGGCGCCCGGCAGCCGTCCCCGGATGTACCACGGCCCTCCGGGCGACGGAATCCTTCCGTCAGCTATACGGTTAACAACAGTGTTTCTGCCACGCATATGGAATCTCCATCATGCAAGGTGCAATTATATTATGGGTCGACGTCGCATTTTGCGCTCATGCATGAGGTCTACAGGGACCTGGTGGAGAGCAAGCATGCCCCCCAGTCTGAAGACTCGCGAGAGGTACAGGAGGCTGGAGCTGGCTTGGACATGTTCAGCTTTCGGCGCATCTTCTTTGGAGTTCCTAGTGACACACACGATTCGTTTAAAAGCTTGAACGCGGCTGATGTGCCGGTGATGTTTCTACCGCATGATTTGGCTAAGATGTTCTTGCACCGGTTCCTGTCTTCGTTGTATGTCATGGTGCCGTTTCAGTCGAAAGAGACGTTCGAACGGCAGCTATGGAATCTGTATAACCCGAGCCCGGACTTTCGAACCGATACCTGGAGTCACTGTATGATTTTGATGGCGTTGGCGATGGGGTCTCTCGGGACAGAGTACTACAGCTGGGGTGATGTGCTTTTCGAGCGAGTAAAAGCGTCTTGTGCGATGCTAGACGACGTGGTCAATCTCCAGACCGTGCAAATATCACTTCTGATGATGAGTCCTCCATAAATCTCAGTTGATGGCACTAGCTGACCAACACAGAACGCCCATTTTCAGACTGAGCAAGGGCGACCGAATTCCACTTTTCTTTACCTGGGAACTGGAGCCCGCAAGGCGATTTCCGCAGGGCTGCATAAAGAGGCCCCGAATAAGGGGGATGCAGGTGATGGCGTGGAAGAGCGAAGGACTACATTTTGGGCCCTCTATTTCTACGAAACGTTTGTGTTGCCTTTCATTACCCGAGTGACCGATTCATCTAATGACGAACAGATGGTTCTGCTTTCACTTGGGCCGACCAAGCTCACTTCTTAGCCGAGATGTCGGTATTGCATTGCCCGAGGAGCCATTCTTGCTCTCTTTGGTCTATCTTTCCAAAGTCATCGCCCGTTCAGCGGACGAAATGTACGGTCAGCACCATGAATCACTCCTGCAAATGTGGAGGATTGCTCGGTCGATTTCGGATGATCTCCGTTGCTATGACGCGAAGATGCGACGAGCTCTAGGCTTCGGCCTTGATAAATGCGCGCAGCAAGGCGTGTTGGGTGTACAGCAAACCATTCTTGTCACGCGTAAGTGGGACATACCTGCGACGAGAAATAGAAACTGATAAACCCAGTGTATTACCACACGATTCTGTTGACATTTCGACCATTCTTGATCTTTCGCGGTCGGTGGCAGAGAGACGCGAAATTGGCACCGCACCGTGCTGCAAATGAGCCGAGTAAGCGTCCAACTGAGGTTCCAGCATGGCTCAACGAAGCCTGCAACCACGCTCTCAGTGCCGCGTGCAGAACCATACATTTCTTATATGAAGCGTCGATCGTGAACGATCTCGTGAGGGTATGTCTATGTGTGGGATCCCCAACCAGCTTTCTAATTCGGCTAACCTGATAATAGGAACTCCGCTACCACGGCTATTTCCTCGGAAGCGCCTCGTTCGTTCTCATATACGACCTAATGCATGGCGAAAACCTCGCGAGCACCCATCTTCCGTGGATCCATGCAACCCTGCAATGCCTTTCAACGATACGGGCAGGTGATCCGATCCAAAGCACAATTAGTGCTATCGAGACGACTCTGAAAAAGATCCATCCTTCCTATGAATGGATAGCTCATCCGGGCATAAAGAACCAGGCCCCTGTTCTTGACCCCGTCGCAAATGATGTGCGACCGCCTACTAGTATGGTAGACCAGCAAGGAAGCATCATGGCGGATGGGTCCCTGGCCGACCCCGTGGCAGCTGGGCTACCGATGCTGTCCGACTTTCAAGGGAACTCGTTGCAAGACGATATTCACCCGGCTAGCGTGGGGAGTGAGGAGCTTCTCGATTTCACCATGTCGGACATGGGATGGGATTTCGACTTTTCGACGATGGACCTCGAAGCTTTCTTCTCGATCAATCCGACGATGGGAGCACCTATTGTGTGATGCGTCTGATAGTAGTCCCAGGTGACTCTTTGGTCAAAGGTCTGGGAGCCAGGCCAAGAAAGCCACTCGCCCTTGCCGTTCTTCATGAAAGTCCAAACCAGAAGAAAGCCCTGGATGCCATGCTTTTTCAGGGCTGATCCAAACAATCGACAATGGCTAGTGTGATTTGGATGCCTCAAGCCTCAACGCCACCGAACCATCAAAACAGCCTCGGCCCATCGTCTAAGTAGGCAAAAAGAGGCCAGGGATGTCTGGCAATCCATATCCACGGGTAGATGTCGGTGTTTTGCTCAGGAGTATCGACTCCGAGCCTAGCTCAATTATGCATCTACACTATCACGTTCTCGTGCCCTCGCCACGTCTCTTCTGGTATATGACTACACAGTAGAGATCCTGACCTGGTGGCAAACGGTGGCAAAACCGGGCACGCCAGGCCGTACGGGTGTGGCCGACACGTGGGGAGACTTTCGTGCCGATCTGATTATCAATGCTTTGCTCATGCCGCCCGACTACAGCCGATTGGGTACTTTTATTCTCTCTCGGTTTTGAAGACCTGAGACGTTACTGAGTAACTAGCTCTTGTGGGTTCGGCCGGACACGGACTATGGTGTACTGTGTAGGCTAGCGGCTGACTAGCTCGTTACTTTGTTGATTTTTTCCGGGAGTTCTTTACCGGCTTGGTTAGAGTCAGGTTGAGATATTATAGCAGAGATGTAACATTAAATTGATACGCGAATTCTAGACAGGTCTATTAGTCTATGTATAGTAGCCAAGTGCGAGCTGGGGTTTAAGCGAGACACCAAGACCAGGGATAGTTCTCCGGGTCAATTCACGCATCGAGGAGAGACGTCTACGCATGAGTGACCAGTGAAGTCATAGACGCGTGAACAACCCACTCTAGCTAGCGAGGAGAGAAAGTAAGGGAGAGAGGGAGAGAGAGAGAGTTCAGTACGAGTCAAGGCAGGTCACCTGACCGGATGATCCGAGTGGATGAGTCAGCCATGCAACCCTGGCGCCGATCTCGCGTCGCCTTCTGCTGCGGGTCTTTGACTTCGGCTGACTCCTCGAGAATATTATCCGTGCCAATGCGAGCCATTGACTTCCTACGTCCGCTCAGGACTTATCAATCCTAGCGTTTACTGCCCACGGTCTGTTGACCATAAGGTTCTCTGCACCCATCCTGCACAGCCAAGGGATAATGGACCATCCGCCACAAGCCTGGCCATCGTTCACCACTTTTATGACGTGATTCCATCTTTGTATCTCCGCGGAGAATTTAGCAAAAATTACAACATCATGCCTCGAGATCATGACCTCAATTCCATAACAACTGAATTGCCCAAGGAATTAAATCGGAGCCGAGTCGATCGGACTACGCCGGTGGGCTTTCGGCCGATGTGCGATAGGCAGCGATGACATGCAGGAACCGTGGGACGGAGCGGTCGATCCCGGAAATCTTTAGACTTCGTCTTCGTAGGATCAATGACCCCTTCCAAAGTTTAGCTAGGAGGCTGAGAAAAGTTTCCCCGATAACCTTCCCCCCCCCCCCCCTCGAGTTTCACCACCGGCTCTTCGGAAACACTGCACGCTGCAGGAACCTGAGAACCACAAGCCTCATTGCGGATGTTTCTGGCTTCTGAGAAATCTCGGAGCTACAACAGTATATATTCAGTTATCGATGCTGAGTCGCACAGGGATTGAAATCGTGCGGCAACGGATGCTATGCGATAGACATCATGGTGGTGTTGGACTCTTCCGCGTTCCAGCACCCTGGTGTGTCATCGTCAGGGCCTAAGATGGTCTCTGAACTGTTAAGGTATGAAGCATCGCTTGAGAGTTGCCCTTTTCCTTTTTACCCTGCTTAATCCCGTGCTGACTCTGTCTTGAATAGATTATATTGCCCTCCTAGACTTAATGGCGCTGACGGTGTTCATTCTCGAAATTCAACGAAACACGATCGAAACTCCTCAAGAGCCGGTCTCTCGGATGTAGCGCTACCAGCTCTGGTCCAACTAGGGCCTTTTCGAGTCGCCTGTAGCAGAGCGTTTGTCACCCTCATCCACAATGGCAGCGCAAAAGTCATCTCCCAGGCTGTGACTTGCAGCCCGTCTCCTAGTCGTGTTGGCGACATCGGTATGGAAACTCTCGGCCTGAAGACGCATGGAAAATGGGGTCATAACGAATCAAATGGAACGACGGATGGCTCTCGCATTGTCGGGGATTTGACGAAGGAAGATCAATTTAAAGGTCACCCCTTCGTTCTTCGATTCCCCGAAACGCGGTTTTATGCTGAGATTCCTCTCACCAGTCCCCGCTGGGGTACATTCGGCACTTATTGCGTGGTGGATGAGGAGGATCGCGTCTTATTAGAGGACGAGAATATCACGGACCTCAAAGATGTTGCCGATGCGATTGTTCAGCATCTTGAAAATGTCTACACTGTGCATTGTCAGGCCCGGCCGGACCGCCTGCTCCGTACCCTCATGACCGTCAAAGGCCTTCCCAGTGTCGACGACATCGAGCAACAGGATTCAGAACCACCGGCGCAAGCCCAGTCTGGATTGTCTGAGAAGATGGATCACCTTTCAATTGTAGTTAAGGAACTACATGATATACCTCCCATGTCGACAAGGGTTCATCAGCCAGAGTTCCCATTCTTTCAACAACATGAACAAGTTTTCAACCTCCCACCAGCTCGAGAGAAACACCAAGAACACCTGAGGAGATGTTCTACCGCATCGAACCACTTGGTGACGGTGCCAGAAAAAGTCACTCCCTCACCTCTCAGTTCTCTGCTCTTTTCTAGAGCTAGCTCGTTGCTTCAAAGCGCGATGGAACTGGATGGAGCTTTGTTCCTGGACGCCTCAAGAAGTAACTCTAGGCGGTATGGCTAATCTACCTCGCATTTTATCGCGCTTGCAGTGGCTAATCTTCTTAATAGGTTTTCTTCAACCAGCGGTAGTGACTGGGATGCGCAGTCTAAAGATGGCAATGGAACCATTTCGACACATTCATCTATATTATCATCTCACGGTGGTTGGTCTGAAAAGCTGTGCGAGCCACTGGGGCTATCACTGTCGCAGTCGCAGAAAGCAGGCTCTTCATTCAAGCTTGTTATAACGGAGGCATTGCTACATGATCTTTTCACGTGGTTTCCACAGGGTGATATCTTCTATACCGATCCTTCCATACAATCTCCCTCTGTCCAACCTACCTACAGCGATGGATCCGCTGATGAGCATGAACACCCAGCGAATTTTATTGCTGCGACGCGCCTTGCAAGGGATTTTCCAGATGCCAGGTCACTCATATTCTACCCTTTGTGGAACTGGGACAGATCTCGCTGGCTGGCTGGTATTGTGATCTGGACAGGCGACAATGAAAGGTTGCTCGACGAAGATGATATGTACTACTTGAAAACGTTCGCGGATTTGGTCACCGCCGAATACCTGCAGATTGGGTGGACAGCCACGGAAAAGTCCAAATCAGACTTGCTCTCCTCTGTCAGTCATGAACTTCGGTCGCCTTTGCACGGTATGCTCGCTAGTGCCGAATTGCTACAAGCCACTACTCTCGAATCAGTCCAGCGGGATATGGTGGCTATGATTGAGACATGCGGCCTCACTTTGCTGGATACGATGAACCACTTGTAAGTATCCCGCCCGTCGCATTGTGACTTCAATTAACTTGCCTTCTAGGCTGGGCTTTACAAAAATAAATAACCTCACCAATATTTCACGCCTTCAAAAAGACAGAACGGAGAACCAAGAGGTAGATGTTGATCACCTGGTTTCCGAGTTCGACCTGGGCGCATTGGTTGAAGAGGTGGCTGACGTTTTGTACTCGGGTCACCGATCCCGCATCAATGCTTCGAAGATCGCTGGTCGCTATCTTGACAGCGGAACTGGCGTCAGCAGTCGCACGGTCAGTTCAGAAAGTAATCAGTCAGATGATTCCAATGACCTTTCTGTTGTCGTTCGCATCGAAGAGCAACCATCCTGGGTTATCCAGTCGGTGTCAGGCGGATTGCGCCGGGTCGTTATGAACCTTATCGGAAACTCTTTCAAATTCACCCAATCTGGGCTGATTGAAGTCTGCTTATCCCAACGAGTTGACCGTGCCAATGGATCAAAGTCGGTGCAGGCGCACCTCTCGATCAAGGATACGGGCTGCGGCATCTCCCCTGAGTTTTTAGAGGATAAGCTCTTCCAGCCTTTCATGCAAGAGAACGACTTAACAGAAGGGGTTGGGCTCGGGTTAAGTATCGTCCGACAGACGATTTCATATCTTGGTGGCACTATCGACATCAGGAGCGAGGTGGGGGTGGGCACACAAGTTGATGTTTTTATTCCTGTCGAGTTGATTCAGAGTCCTTCCGATGATCTCCACTCAATGCTTAATAGCCAGAGCATGAAGACGACCACTCGAGTCTGCCTGATCGGCTTGAATGGATTCGCTGGCCTTGATGGCGTCCCAACTCAGGTTTTGAGCACCGATGCCAAACGCAAACTCTCTATCTGGGGCGCGCTAAGCAATGTGCTTCTGAGCCATTCCGGCTGGGCAGTCTCGTTTGCTGATTCGATTGAGAAGTCAGCTGGTGACATCGGAGTTATGGAGGAGTCAATGTTGAAGAAGCTTTCGAGGAATGGTGACGTTCACGCACACTTTAAAACCGTTATCATCCTTGGCCAGCACGGGGTATCTCTGCCAGGCAACTTTGCCATCAAAGGAGCAGATGTCATCTACCTATCGCAACCGTATGTATGACCGACTTATCATTAATAACGGATACTGACTGCCAATAGAATCGGTCCTCGCAAAATCAACGACGCACTGCGGCGGTATAAAGTTTCACACCATGAATCCAGCCCCTCTACTGAGACTCCTGTATCTGGTCCTTTCCCCGGCATTCCCACCCGTGGGCGATCCTTGTCAGATGCGTTTGCTCTTGCGAAGGGCACCGAGTCGCCGCCTGTGGTAAAGGATAGTGTGTCCAATTACTCTCCTCCATCCCCCCGAGACACGCAAGGAACGGATCTACATATTTTGCTTGTAGATGACAACGACATTAACCTGAAGGTATGTTAGCATTTTTCCTAGCCTCTTGATCCATGACTAACTCGTCAGATCCTGTCAACTTTCATGCGAAAAATCGGCTGTAGCTTTGAGACAGCCAACAACGGACTGGCCGCATTTGAAAAATACAAGGAATCGAGCGGAAATTATGACTACGTCTTGATGGGTTCGTACCTACCTGAGTCTGCATTGCAGAGTATTAACACTAACCCTGAGCAGACATTTCCATGCCAATCATGGACGGAGTAGTCTCCACAAGCAAAATCCGCGAGTACGAAGAACAACATTCCCTTCCCCGGGTGGCCATCATGGCAGTGACGGGGGTTGCATCAAGCAGCATGCAGCAACAGGCCTTTGCGGCCGGCATAGACGATTATCTGGTAAAACCGTTGTCGCTTCACGACTTGAAACGAATTATGAACATCCAATAAATGAAATAATAAGTGGGTAATATGTCGCTGGGGCGGCTTCGGAGTTGGATTCAGGCGCATAGAAACATGTACGGGTTTACATTTTGCATTTATGTGGAGCTGGCAATTTTGGGAGGGAATCGAGGTTAATTCAATGATATGTTTTGTGTATTTGTCTTTGGTCGGTTGGGTGATTCTGGGTGGTGACCAAATCGGCAGGCCGAATCCGATGGATATTAGACCGAAGGGGTCAAAGCAACGAGTATATTATTGCCGATCTATTTCCAATTGAATAGGCTCTGAGAGCCTGGATTACATTTGAATCCTTCTCAGTTCTTCCTTTTGTCCGATAGTCAGCGCTAACCAGCACCTAAGAAGGTCCTACTGAGGTATTCTCCGATCTACACGGTAGACAGGAGCACTGTGGCCTAAACCACGCACGCCGAAAGTCGAGTGGCTATGTTATCGACTATAAAAGAAGTTGCAGGGTGGGCAAGATTGTCTTCTACAAGTTCAATTCATCTTGTCTAAAGCTTTAAGCAGATTCGTTGCCAGACCTCATATACACTTTTGCCAACCCTCCGATATCAACATGGCAACTCGACCCGCGAACGTCGGCATAAAGGCCATTGAGGTCTATTTTCCAAGTCGAGTACATTCACCCTTCTAGATCCCATTGCCTTTCTACCTATTGCTGCAATCGCGGTCGTGGAGTTTGCCATTGACTGACCAACCCGCTCTAGTATGTCTCGCAAACCGAACTCGAAAAATATATCGGCGTCAGCACCGGCAAGTTCACCATTGGCCTAGGCCAAACAAGCATGAGCTTCTGCGATGACCGCGAAGGCAGGAAAACACCCTACCTACCTACCTACCTACCTACCTACCCTCCCAAGCCTAACCAACCCACCTAACTAACCAACCCACTCCAGACCTCTACTCCCTAGCCCTCACCACCGTCTCCTCGCTCCTCAGAAAACACACCATCGACCCCAACACCATCGGCCGCCTCGAAGTCGGCACCGAGACCCTCCTCGACAAATCCAAATCCGCCAAATCAGTCCTCATGTCCCTTTTCCCCGATAACCCGGACATCGAAGGCATCGACACCTACAACGCCTGCTACGGGGGCACCAGCGCGGTCCTCAACGCCGTGAATTGGATCGAGTCGTCGTCGTGGGACGGACGCGATGCGATCGTTGTTGCCGGGGATATCTCGTTGTATGATACGCCCGCGGCACGACCGACAGGCGGAGCTGGGTGCGTGGCGATGCTGATCGGGGCTGATGCGCCGGTCATGGTGGAGCCGGTTCGTGCGAGCTATATGCGCCATGTGTATGATTTCTATAAGGGAGATTTTGGGTCTGAGTATCCGCTTGTTGATGGGCATTTCTCGAATCAGTGCTATATGCGGGCGTTGGATGGGTGTTATGGGGGTTTTAGGGAGAAGGTGAGACGGCGGAGTGGGTATGGTGAGATGGATGCTCATGCGACTGATAAGCGTCCACAAAAAGAGGGTGAAAAGGAAGGGGGAATCGACATGTTTGATTTCTTCATCTTTCATGCCCCGAATTCGAAGATGGTTGCTAAAGCTTACGGTCGACTCCTGTTCAACGATTACCGCTCCAACCCGGGCGCCTTTGACACGGACTCTGTCCCTGCGGAATACGCTACTATGGACGTGGACAGCTCGTTGACCGACAAGGGTGTTGAAAGGCTGTTCATGTCTTTGTCCAAGACGAAGTTCACAGAGCGCGTCAGTCCCTCGCTGACTATCCCGGCCAACTGTGGCAACAGCTATACGGGCAGCGTATGGGCCGGACTCGCAAGCCTGTTAAGCAACATCTCGAGCGAGACTTTACAGAACAAACGCATTGGGGTGTATAGTTATGGAGCTGGGCTGGCGAGTACACTTCTGACTTTGCGAGTACGGGGGGACATCGAGGATATCGCTCAGAAGTTGAATCTACACGCGAGGCTAGCGGCCAGGACGGAGGTGACGCCGGAATTTTACAACGAAGTGAGTCTTATCAATCGAAATGAATGTTAAAAAATAGGCTAATCATCTAGATAGATGTGTCAACTTCGTGAGCAGGCTTATCAGGCAAAAAACTACCCGCCCAGGGGCAGCGTGGAGGATCTTGCGCTGGGGACGTATTATCTGGTCCATGTTGACGATCAGTTCCGACGGCAGTATGAGGTGAAATTTTAATGGGGATATGCCACTCAGTACAGTTTAATCAGCATTTACTAGCGATATTAACTCAACGTCCTGCTATCCGCTCATAGAAGCGTTCATCGATTTCCAGCCCGTGCTAAAGCAGGAAGCCCGTGGCAGTAGCGGGTTGTTTGCCTTATGGCAGGAACTACCCAAATATTGCCTAGTTGTTGCCGCTTTGGGCACCGGGTAATGTGGCCGAAGCAATGATGTGCGTGGCTCTAGTGGCCCCTAGTCATCTCTCTCTGGTCCTTCTCTACTCCGTGCTAGTACTTCCATTGCACGGCAGCATTAGGTAGCTTATTTTTAATTTTCGATCTCCCCGACAAAATTTCAAACTGATCGACCAAGATCTAAGATCAAGTGAACCGTGGGTCGATCCAAAGTCGTAACATTCCGAATTCCGAGATTCCGACAAAACAAAGCTGACAGCCAAGTTGCTTAGCAGTTTGGCATGCAGAAGCAGCTACAGTTCTGACTCATGCGCGGAATTGGCTTTGTAATCATCGGAGATAGTTAACGTATTTCCCCACCGAGTCGGCCACACCACCGAGTCGGCCACCGCCTACCAACTTCTAATTACTAGGGCC